GTATGCAGAAACGCCGCAAACACAGTGGCTTCGACCTCGACTCGGCGGAGCCCCGAGTACTGCTACCTCTGCCTCGTAGCTCGTAATGGACTGGCCCAAGTCATTTTTTTTTTCTCGCCTCAATTCTCTCGCAAACGGTCTCCAACACTTTGCAGTGGGACCCTCCACCACTACTCTTTTTTTCATTACCACTATCCCCTGGCCCCTCCAAGTGGCGGCTTGGCCACCCGCCGTTGGTCGAGGCTGGTGATACTAACGCCGTACGCGTGCTAGCACCTGTGCTTGTGAGTGGGATGGAGGGGTGGGGGATCGGGCTTGCCAGGGTCTCGAGAGGCCAGGTAAGGACAAGAAAGGATGGGAGAAATAAGAAAATGGGCGGGTTGGGCGTTGTGACAAGCCCCTGTCCCGTAGCCAGAACCGCTCCAGCCCCTCCATCACCGACTCCTTTCCCGGTTGCAACAGGCGTTGAAATGCAAATCGTCTTGCTGCTGCGAACCATTGCCTCTCTTTTTGCTCCTCCATCCTCTCGCAAAGGCATCATCTAATACCCCTTCTTCGCCTCTTGTTTTTGGCGCGTTTGCGGCTCTGTCCTGCATCTTCAGTTTCCAGCTTCAGCTTCTTTTTTTCCCACAAGCTAATCCCACCAAATTCCCCCACCATGCCTGCCGACATGTGCGTATTGCCTTGCTCCCCCTATTCAGCGCGAATAGTTACGCCTCCTGCGATGCTACTCGCGTCCGAAGCCTTCTGTGTAACGAGTTGCTGACCCAATTGCAGTAACGTTGACGTCCTCGTCATTGGCATGGGACCTACTGGTCTCGGTGCTGCGAAGCGTCTGAACCAGATCGTGCGTAGCTCCTTCACCGCCAGGTTTCTGGTACCCCGCGATAAGCTTCTGTTGATGCTAATATTCTCGCCAGAACGGTCCTTCATGGTTGATCGTGGACTCCTCTGACAAGGCCGGTGGTCTTGCCGGTACCGACACCACTCCTGAGGGCTTCGTAAGTCTCCATCTCGCGTTTTGGAAATCTCGCATCGAATCGTTGCGCTGACAGCTGCAATCTCCTAGCTGTACGACGTTGGTGGCCATGTCATCTTCTCCCACTACAAGTACTTCGACGACTGCCTCGACGAGGCTCTCCCCAAGGATGACGACTGGTTCGTCCACGAGCGTGTCTCCTACGTCCGCTACAAGGGCCTCTGGGTCCCCTACCCCTTCCAGAACAACATCTCCATGTTGCCCAAGGAGGACCAGGTCCGGTGTATGGATGGCCTGATCGACGCCGCCCTGGAGCACCGCGTTGCCAACACCAAGCCCAAGGACTTTGACGAGTGGATTCTCAGAATGCAGGGCCCTGGCCTCGCCGATATCTTCATGCGCCCCTACAACTACAAGGTCTGGGCTGTTCCCACCACAAAGGTAAGAAAAAGCGTTCCAGCCTGTGTGCGTTGTGTCTGGGTCTCAGAAAACGCTGACATGGTTATTTTTTCTAGATGCAATGCCAGTGGCTCGGCGAGCGAGTTGCTGCCCCCGACGTCAAGACCGTCACCAAGAACATCATCTTGAACAAGGTCGCCGGCAACTGGGGTCCCAATGCTACCTTCCGATTCCCCGCTCGGGACGGTACCGGTGGTATCTGGATCGCCGTCGCTGACACTCTCCCCAACGAGAAGAAGCGCTTCGGCAAGCAGGGTGAGGTTACCAAGGTTGACGCCGAGAACAAGACCGTCACCATGGCCGACGGCACCACCATTGGCTACGGCAAGCTGGTCAACACCATGGCCGTCGACCACCTCGTCGAGAAGATGGGCAACAAGGAGCTCGTCAGCCTGTCCAAGGGCCTCTACTACTCTACCACCCACGTCATTGGTGTTGGTATCCGCGGCGCGCGCCCCGAGCGCATCGGCGACAAGTGCTGGGTAAGATTTCCTCTGCACACATGCAACATAACGTTTCCTAGGTCCAGATGCTAACCCCAATTGCGTAGTTGTACTTCCCCGAGGACAACTGCCCCTTCTACCGTGCCACCATCTTCTCCAACTACTCCCCCTACAACCAGCCCCAGAAGGGTGAGAAGCTGCCCACCCTGTACCTTGCCAACGGCGACAAGGCTGCTTCATCCGAGGCTAAGGAGGGCCCCTACTGGTCCATCATGTTGGAGGTGTCACAGTCCACCCTGAAGCCCGTGGATGTGGACAACCTTCTCAAGGACTGCATCCAGGGTCTCATCAACACTGAGATGCTCAAGCCCGAGGACGAGATTGTCTCCACCTACCACCGTGCCTTTGACCACGGATACCCCACCCCTACCCTGGAGCGTGAGGGTGTCCTGAAGGAGCTCCTGCCCAAGCTCCAGGATCTCGGCATCTACTCTCGAGGCCGCTTCGGCAGCTGGAGATACGAGGTCGGCAACCAGGACCACTCCTTTATGCTGGGTGTCGAGGCTGTCGACCACATCCACAGCGGAGCCGTTGAGCTGACCCTCAACTACCCCGACTTTGTCAACGGCCGACAGAACGGCGAGAAGCGTCTGGCTCAGGCTTTCAGCTATGGCGCCCAGCCTCTGCCCACCCGGGAGAGGAACTAAGCTTCTCTGACATTGTTATGAAATTGAATAAAACCAAGGGCGCATGTGCGCTGTAATTTGACTTGTACGTATGAGGGAGCAGCCATCAGAGCGGATCTAAGCTATCTATGGTTTGCTATGGATGGGATTCTTAGGATCTGGAAATTCACGAAACGGCTCGAATGATTCGAACGCCTAGGGTTGTCTATGGGCAGTCGGGCATAGTATAGATTCTCTCGCTACTTAATAGCGAGACATGGTTACGATAGAAATAAAGGGAGCTGACCAGCTCTTTCAACAATAAATGAAACTTTTGTTAAAACATTTCCCCGTTCTACAGATGTTCTCAAATATTGAAACTCGCATTCGGTGATATGAGAAGCCGGAACTTCATTGTGCCGCTACGTACCTACTTGGACCCCGAGCATGTGCCGAGCGTGCTAAATTAATTCACTTGAAACATTGGGTACAACTGCTGAAGATTTGTATCAACTCTGTGGTTTTTAGTGGATTAGGAAACTCAGCTTGGCCACCTACATCATTCCATCTCAGGCACTAGACGCCAAAGGCGCTAAAAAAAAAAAAAGAAGATTTTTTTTTCCTACTCATTCTGTCTCCATGGAAGTAACACAGAAGCGGGAATGAGTCAAAAATTTCTGGGTTTGTGCCTGAGTAAGGACAGCTGACGAAAGCATTTGCCCAATTCTAGGGTATCCATTCAACCATTGTATCATCATTGCCGTTTTCAGACGTGGTCAGTGCACTTTGAGATAGGATTGGGTTGCCATTGTCCGAATGTAACTGTACTTTACAGCATTTTTGATGGAGAAGAGCAGAGAAAAAAAAAATGAAAAAGAAGAAAGCCACGTGAAGTAACGCCGCCCAAGGATGTCATCCACGGCGGAGTATATGTAACTACGGGCCAGATCCGACTGCTATACCGTGTGTCTACGCAACATGATTGTTGGTGTTTGTGGCTCAGAGAAAAGCGCTGGTATCACGAGTTGGGTGGGGACGTTAAGGCATCTGCAGGTATTTCTCTGATACCTTGGCGCCTGGCAGTCGACGATCAGCAGACAGGCCCGATATGCCAAATTTCCCTCAGATGTGTCCGGAGTGATGTGGGCTTGGGCTTGCACCGCGGCGCTGTTGGATCTCGCACAGGATCCATAACATGTATGTACGTGTATAGCCTTTGCCCTCAGCGAGGATTACATACCTATGCAAGTAAGGCAACAATTTCATCCACCAGCAGTTTGCCAGCGGATCACCCGACGATGCCAAGGGGGGGCACGATTGGCGGGGTTATATAACTGGAGTGCCTTTTTGCGGGCAACCCAGGCCCTTTCGCTCTGTGTGCTAACTGAAAGCACCGATCAAATTACTGTAGCGAGCTAAAGGCGCGTTAGCTGACGAACTTGAAGGGACTGGAGAAAAGAGTCGGAACTTGGGCGGTCTGTTAGCGCCTCGCTCTGGGATTCCCGCCGAATTGCTCAGGCCCAAGCCGCAACGGGGCACAGCGTCTTCCGCGTTGCCGTCCTTTTTTGGTGCGAGTTGAAGATATGGGCTGCGTGGCGGGTAGATGATGGGCCTGTCAAGCAAATCACTCGTCCCCTCTTCCGGCAGAAACCTTTTTGGCGTTTTGGCTGTTGCTCTGGTCTTTGGAGGGGGAATCGTTGAGGAAAGGGAAGAGGGAACAGGCTGAAGAAGGTGGGAGAACGTGCAGAGGAGTCGAGATATTTCACATTCCGACCCGGGTTTTCTGATTCGATGCTTGGCCTGTCCGCCCTTCTAAGGAAGCGCTCACAGATTTGTAAAGTTGAGCTTGTACCATGGTAGTCGCCCGGGCTCCAAAAGAACCAGAGGTACCCTGTATGGGAGGCACAGTACCTGTAAGGGTCTAGTGTGGTACCTGACTAGACCCTCTGTCGCAGCGGCAACCCGCTAATAACTGCGAGCAACCAGCAGGTAACTGTATATCCACATGTCGACAGCGCAAGGTCGCTGAATCTGCGTATCAAGTACTGCAGTAGCCTCAAGCCGGGCGCAGTACAGAATGCATCAAGTTTAGTACCTGTGCTCTACTCGTAGCCTCTGCCAAACAACCACCACCGCAGTCCGCTGCAACCACCAGACCGGGCCCCAGTTCTGCCAAAACCTCACACCCCGACTTTGCAGCCCGCACCGCAACGCAGGAAAATAGCAAAATTCCCCAAAATCCCACCAAAGGGTAGCCGACCGCCGTGCCATTACTGGTCGCTGCGCTGCTCGTCGCAATAACCATCCTCCTTTTGCCGATACAGCCACCGGGCCGACGATGGGCGCTGCGTGCGGGCTTGGATGACCGTCGACTAAGTGAACGAAGCCGAGCATCTCCCCTCCGCCAGAGCAGCCAGCTGGGGGCTTCTCTTTTTCCTATGAGAGCGCGCCATCATGGACGGTCCAGCCCTCGTGCCCGACGATGTGCTCGACCCTCTACCTCCGCCGCCGCCGCGGCTGTTCGAACGCCTTCGCCAGATAGCTGGGTATAGCTGGGATGAATCGATGCCGCCCTTCCACTCAACATATGACTTTTGGTGAGTCGCCCTTTCTATCTTGCGGGCATCGCCGTGTGTGGTGCACGAACAAAGTGGAAAAGCAAGGAAAAGAGGAGGATAAAAAAATCAGGGAAAAAGATGACGAGATGGAACAAGAAATGCAGCGGGAGCAGGAAGAAGTTGGATGGAGGATGTGCTGGAGATGATGACAGCAATCGCAACGACGACTACAACTTCCCACCAGATGGCCAGATCGAGAGGCTAACCTTTGGCGTTTCTCCCGCCTCCCTAGGCACGTCTTCGGCACCCGATATGTTTCTCCCTCGCTACCCCCCTCCTCCTCATCGCAGAACGCTTCCAGTCCCGGCTCCGTTTCCAAGCTTCAGTCCGGTCGCCCAACTCCCTCCGATCATGGCGGCCCGCTCTCCAGCTACAGCTTTGGCTACAGCAGCGAACCGCCCGCCTCTCCACAACCTACCGCCCACTCCAATCCCCTCGCCTCACCTTCTACCGATGCAACATATATCGAAGAGTCCGTCGTGGCGCGCGTGTCGCACCATGCCCTCCGAGAGGAGAGGGCCTTCCAGATCGCCAAGAGCGTCTCCAACACGGCCGACCCCAACGGCGACCATATAGTAAAACCCCTTGATTTGATCCGGCTAAGCCCGGTGACTGGCGACCGCGGGGCTATCGTCGTGGCCATATATCAGCACCCGGGCCCCAATCAACTGCTTGATCTCTTGGACATGGGGCCGGCCTTTTATCATGCGCGCAAAGACGGCGATGCATACCGAGCTTACTACAGCAGACCGACCCTTCAGCCCCCCATAAAGCTTGAACTCTTCCTCGACTTTGCGATTGGTGCGACTCAATGCTTGGAGATTCTCCACCACAGCCGAGGCATGGTCCACGGAGAGATTCGGGGAGATGCGTTCCACTTCAACGCCGAAGAAAACAAGGTCCGGGTCATGTCCTTCGGATCCGGCGTCCGGTCCTTTGAACATGGCTTGACTAGCACCGGCTGGTCGATGCTCTCGAAAGAGCTGGGGGGCAGGAACAAGCTGCTCTTTATCAGCCCCGAACAAACTGGTCGCATGCCCGCCGAACCCGATACCCGTACCGACATCTACTCGCTCGGTGTTGTCTTCTGGACCCTCCTCACTCAACAGCCCGTGTTCACTGGCGAATCAGCTCTCGACATAGTCCAGGCAGTGCTCGGCCGCAGAATTCCCAATGTCGCGACCGTACGGATGGATATACCAGATGTCATTGGGCGGGTTATCCAGAAATGCACGGCCAAAAATGTTGCTGACCGATATCACTCGGCCAGCGGGTTACGCCACGATCTAATCAGCATTAAAGAGTACCTTGAAGATGGCAACTCAAAAGCTCTCAAGGAATTCAAAATCGGCACGAGCGATGTCTCATCCTTCTTCATACTTCCAACTTCCATGATTGGTCGGCAAGAGGAAAAGGCCGCCGTTCTCAGGGTTATCAACCGTGTTGCCAGGAGCCATGCTGCCCTTCGTAAAGGCCCTACCAGCAGATTCTCGGACGGAGCTAGCCTCACCGAGATGATGGCATTTGACGACATCTCCAGCGAAGGCGGTGCCAGTTCAATCGATGGTCACAACCGCAGGAGCGGATCGTTTGCCCAAACAATATCGTCCGAGACTAGAGCAACGAAGAACAACTTCTTCCCCACAGTTATATCAGAGACCATGACCTTATCAACTGATACCACCTCTTCATCCCAATCTACTGCTGCCGCGTATCCTAGATTTACGAGGCCATGGGAACGATGGGAACGGCATCAGTCTATTTCCTTGGGCTCGCTGGACTCCTCAAGCATGGTTGATAGCTTAAATGTGGAAGGACCCCGGGGTCCGCTCGATATAGGTGCGTCCAGTCTGTCTCGGCAGCTTGGCTCGTCCAAATTTCGACGCCATGGGCACTGCGAAGTCATCACCGTTGAGGGTGCTGGAGGCGTAGGAAAGAGTATCTTTGTGCAGTCAGTGCTGGCTGACGCTCGGCGCAATGGCTACTGCGCTACGGCCAAGTTCGACACTGCAAAGAGGGCGCCCTTTGGACCGTTGCTGAAGCTGTTGTCGTCCCTTTTCAAACAGGTGTGGGGCGAAAGGGATACGAATACTCAGTTCCACCAGGGCTTGAAGCAGTACATTCGTCCGGTATGGCCAATGCTGCACAGAATCTTGGGGCTGCCCGAGTTTCTACTTGGCCCACCCGACATGAATCTTGCACGGCCAATCTCCTCGTCTCAGAGCTCAGCCTCGCGCAAGGATATCCGGCCGGTACTGAAGCGCAGAACGTCATCCCCTGGAACCGAATCTCCCGGACCATTGCAGCGAAATCTGGCGGGTGGCGGATCCCAGTCGTCCCAAGACTACCTCCGTGCTGGAGCCTCGACCAAAAGCACGCGTCTGATTAACACCATCCTAGATGTGCTCAGGGTTTTCACCACCCACAAATTCATCTGCTTTTGTCTGGAGGACCTGCACTTTGCCGACGACGAATCCCTGGAGCTCATCTCGCAAATCATAGCCGCTAGGATGAAAATGGTTGTCATCGTGACTTACAGACCAGAAGAGCTTTCACCTGCCAAGCTTCAGGCTGTTGTACAGCCGATAGAAGTAGACGGTGAATATGCTTCTTTTCGCCCGGCCTTGCTAGATGCTGATACCGTGGCAGAATACCCTCGCAGCTCACGGACGCAGGTAACGAGAATCGTACTGAATCCCCTTAGTGAGAGTGATATTCTTCAATACGTGTCAGCAACCCTTTGTAGACCTCAAGACGAAATTCTTTCCCTTGCTTTAGTTATTCAGTCCAAGACAGCCGGCAACCCGTTTTACATGCGAGAGATGCTCAGCGCCTGCCACAGGAAGAGGTGTATCTGGTATGATTACCGCGACAGTCAATGGCACTATGACATGGATAGACTATTCGCCCAGTTTCAGGGCGAGAAAGATTACGACGTTTTGGATACCGCATTCATTACCCACCGATTGGGCGAATTACCGTCAGCTGCTCGAGCGGTGCTTGCTTGGGCGGCTCTCCTTGGGGGCTCCTTTTCGTTTGAGCTGCTATGTCGGCTCATGAGTGGAGAGTTTGAGTACCATGACGAAGACGAATTTCTAGCCTGTTCGAACCATGTCACCCAGCGCTCCTACACCGAGGGAGAGGCCATTGCAGGCTTACAAGCAGCCATTCAAGCTTATATCATCGTGCCAACCGAGTCAGACGACCGATTTCGTTTCGCTCATGATCGATACGTGCAGGCTTCTTCAGCTTTAAAGGAGTGCAATGCCCGAAAAATGCACTTCATTATTTCACAGACTCTACTGAAATACTACGCGGTAGAGGCCAGGCAACGCGACAGCACTGCTTCGCACATTTGTAAGGCCGTGGAAATTATCAAGCGCCGTGTACGCTGTCGTAGGGAGTTCCGCAAACTGCTGATGGAGTGCGCACGAGATGCGACTGAGAACGGGGCTAGGCCTACGGCGGCGAAATACTACAGTGCCGCCGCCAGGCTCTTACAGGATGATCCATGGTCTGACGATGTTGAAGACGCATCTTACGACGAGACAATCCAGCTTTATCTTCGGTCGGCGGAGTGCCATCTTTACATGGCCGACGTGACCGCGGCTGGCGAACTCCTTTCCATAATCTTCGCCAACGCCAAAAGCCCGGTAGATAAGGCGCCGGCATATGTCCTGCAGTCGCGGATATATGCTCAGAGCGGCAATTCGCCAGCGGCATTGGTTTCTCTGAAGGAGTCATTGGCCTTGCTCGGCGTCTCGCTCGACGACGAACCGACGTATGAGAAATGCGACGAGAAATTTCACAAGATTGTTGCGCAGATACAAGATATAGATCGACAAGAACTAATCACCCACAAGAAATCAAGCGATCCCGACATTGCATCCATCGGTGCTGTGCTTGCCGAGGTAACCAATGCAGCCTGGTGGAGCGACCGCTTACAGTTTTATCATCTCAGCCTGGCCATGTTTGATATCTACCACGATCGAGGCTCGTTTCCACAATCCGGAATGGTGTTTCTCAACCTGTCCGTTATAGCACTGGCGCGTTTCAACATGGTTTCGTTTGCCATAGATCTTAGCATGGTCTCTCAGGACCTGCTCTTCCGGGCCCGCGATGCCTACTCATTGGCACGGGGTGAAATGCTACATCAATGCTTCGTTGGACACATACACTGCTCCATGCCACTGGCTATTTCCCAGATGGAGGACGCAATCGAACTGGCATCTGTTGCCGGCGACAGGATGTCGACAATCCACAGCTATGGATTGGCTGCGCAAATCAAATTCTTTGCGAGCGAAAACTGCACCGAACTTGAAACGTTTTGCGAACTAGCCTGCGAGGAGATTTTTAGATGGGCTTGTGATAGTAGAGGTGGAGTGATGCTCATTGCTGTCAGACAAGCTTGCCGAGCGCTGCAAGGCAAGACGCGCGTCCATAACGCTCTGGAGATCATGACGGACGAAAAGCACAATAGCGCATCGTACAAAAACTGGATGGTGGAACGAACAGGAGGCAGCAGCCGCCCTATGCTTTTCTATGAAAGCTTTGAAATCGTCGTACTCTTCTTATACGGTCACTACGATCGAGCCATTGAGATTGGAGAGAAATGTTTTGATCAACTCGCCGATCTGTGGTCAGCGAGGAATACGAGGATGATTATCTTCTTCTATGGGTTGGCTCTTGCTGGTCGTCTGCTTCGACAAATGCAGGACCCGCGCAGTCAACCTGGAGATTTTACCGAAGAGATCGCGCAGCTTGTTGAGAAACTCACTGGATTTTTGAAAATGATTAACGATTGGGCGACGGTGTCCAATGTGAACTACTTTTCATGGGTGAAGCTTTTGGAAGCACAAATGGCAGAATTGGCCGACCACCATGGCGAAAGTGTCCAGGGCTACGAAGAGGCTCTGGATCATGCTGCCGAGCATGACTTTGTGCTCGAGGAAGCTCTGGGCAACTATCTCATGGCAGGCTTCTTTATCCGACGTAAAGCACGGCGATCTGCCCGGGCTGCTCTTCTTGATGCTTTGAGCTCGTTTAGACAAATGGCAGCTTCTGGTGTCGCCCATGCCATCGAGGATGCGCATTCTCTTCTCTTACACGGGCCAACTAGGAACCACCGTGTGGCCGATATGGGAGTGCAGACCGATTTCGTCACCGATGCGCCGTCGGTTCAGTATCGACCCGTGGATGGAGAAGATGATGACGCGCTGACCCAGATTCCTTCTAATGCTTTGACTGAGTCCAAGGGGGAGCAGATTGGGGCCTGGAGAAACTCAATGCACATGCAGACGGAAGACAATGGCGGGCTCCCTGCTCTCGATATGATCGATTTGCATGCGATCCTCAAGTCTTCACAAGTCATCTCATCACTGCTACAGGTGGAAGAGCTGCTCAAGACCATGTGTGATGTGGTTCTGCAGACTTGCGGCGGCTCAGCTACCAACGCTGCTATTGTGGTTGATACTGACAGCGATGGCTGGTGTGTAGCTGCCAGCGGCGACCCGGAGAAGGGAGCCTCGGCGCACAAACCAGCCTTGCCCCTCGCGAGCACGCCTTTGATTGCCGAGAACGTTGTACTGTATTGTACGCGATTCATGGAAAGCGTCTTTATACCGGACATCGTTTCCGACGAGAGATTTGGCAACGTTAGCGAGTCTTGGATGCAAAGGAATCCGACAAGCAAGGCCATCATTGCCATTCCGATTCGTCATGCGGACAAGCCGCTGCTAGGCGTCCTGTATCTCGAAGGCGTCCCTGGATCCTTTACAGACCGCAACGTGACTGTTCTTCAGCTTCTGGTTAACCAAATTGGCATCAGCTACTCTAACGCCCTGTCAATAAAGAACCTTGAAAAGGTCTCGGCCGAAAATCTTTCCATGTTGGATGTGCAGAGGGCCGCGCTGAAGAAGGCTCTCGAGGCAGAGACGAAGGCGAAGAATGCGGAAGCGGAGGCAAAGCGAAACGTCAAACTGGCCGAAGAGGCTGCCAAGGCTAAATCCATCTTCCTGGCCAACGTCTCGCATGAATTGCGGACACCTTTGAACGGAGTCATTGGAAACTCGGAGCTTCTACGCGACAGCAACCTGAATAGGGACCAGTTGGAAATGGCAGATTCGATCAGGGTTTCGGCTGACCTTTTGCTCACTGTCATCAACGACATTCTCGACTTTTCCAAGATGGAAGCGGATAAGATGAAACTTTTCAATATCGCCTTTAATCCAGAAGAGATGGTCAGGGAAGTCGTCCGGGCAGTTTCCTATAGCAACCGGGAGAAGACGTCCAAAAAGAATGTCAACATCATCCAGGATATTAACCTGCCTTCCATGCTGATCTACGGCGACCCGATTCGCCTTCACCAGGTCCTCGGGAACCTCATTGGCAATAGCTTGAAATTTACAGAAGATGGATCTATCACCATTGGCGCTCGTCTAGACGAAGAAACCGAGGAGAGGGTAACTCTGACTTTCTGGGTCCGAGATACAGGAATCGGCATTCCACCCCAGCAATTGGCCAAGCTATTTCAACCATTCAGCCAGGCCGACGCCAGTACGGCCAGAAAGTATGGTGGAAGTGGCCTAGGGCTGAGTATTTGCAAATCACTCATCGAGATCATGATGCAGGGCAAGATTCAACTCGAGAGTGAGGAAAACCTCGGCACAACTGCCTGGTTCACCGTTTCTTTTGAGAAGGCCAAGCCTGATGTTGCTGCTGGAGATGCTCAAACACAAACCTCAGGCCCTGTCGACAGGTACACGGCCAGGTCTGCTGCCTTCGTGGAGCGAGCGGCCTCTCCGAACCCCTATCTTGACCTGACCCGGGTTCCCAAGAAAGACATTCGCATTTGCGTGGCGGAAGACAATCCCATCAACCAGAAGATTGCCATTCAATACGTACAGCGTCTAGGATACGCCAACGTTAGTGCATATGAGAATGGTTTGAAAGCGGTAGAGGGTCTCCGCCAAAAGGCCAGAGAGGGTATCCCTTACCATATTGTTCTCATGGATGTCCAGATGCCGGTCCTTGATGGATACGAGGCCACCAAGCTCATCCGAAACGATCCAATCGACGAGGTGCGCAAAATCCTCGTGATTGCCATGACAGCATCTGCAATTCAAGGCGACCGAGAGAAATGTCTGGCTGCTGGTATGAACGATTACCTTGCAAAGCCTGTTCGTGCTGAGGTTCTCAAGCGGAAGCTGGATGCATATATGAGCAACTCCAGGCCGAGCCCTCCGTCTTCTACCCCTTCTCCTCCCAACGCGTTGACATATCCGAATACGACGAATGGATATACCAGTGAAACAAATTCGATCGTGCCAAAATTGCCACCACCCCCGAGAAAGCCCCTTCCTAGTAGCGCGTCCAGCACAAGTTCTGAGCCGGTGATTCGGAAACCGGTTCCTGTCAGGTCGGGGTCGGGTTCATTGCACGAGTCACTATTCGACGGGCCTCACAACTCGGAGGATTTGGAGCACGAGCACCCTGGAAGTCCCATCTTTGACGTCGAAGAGCTGGAAACTCCCTACGGGGATGATTCAGTTGCCAGCCAAGCTGATACAAAGAGCCCCTCAACAAGCAGGACCTCGAGCGATCAGGAATTCTCCGATTCTGGGGCAAGAAGAGGGTCCGCGCAGAACCACCAGCCTCGAAAACTGAACAAGAGTCAAGGGAACAGCACCACCAGCGAGGTCAAGATGGAAAATGGTGTTCACGAGAAGGGGCCTCCCGTCAGAGAGGCCTAGGATTTATTTGCTCATCCTTGGTTCCGATTTGTCGTGTTGTTTTTAACCGTTATACTTTACATTTCTCTATTTCTTTCTTTCGCATCATATGTTCGACACAACAGCTACGGATTTGGATAGACGGACATTTTACGGGCGTTTTTTTCACCCAACGCCTATGGATTACTTTTTCGGGGGACATCAGGGCCTAGGTCAAATCAATGGACGAAGGTAGCATTCTCGAGTTGACGGGAGCACCCCGGGATCCCAGCTGTTCCGTCTCTTGGCTTTCACGCCTTGGTTGGTTTCTCTTTCATGATCTTATTCTTTCTCTCACCCCTTTTTACTTTCCCCTGTTCTTTTCCTTTTTCTGCTTTTCACTTTGATTTCTTTTTTGCCTTTCTCCTTTTGCCTTCGTTAATCACTTTTGATTGATGCTGGAGTCAAAAGAGCAACCGGTTAGCGTTACTCGGGGCATGACATGAACATTTGATACGAAATGATATGGATGGAAACGAACCAAGGAAAGGGGCAGCTGAAACAAGAAAAAAATGGCTTTACGAGTTGCTGGACGATATGAAACGATACAAAGTTGACGAAAAAAAGAAGATAACGTCAAGAAAAAAATTTGGCAAAAGGGAAAATGGAACAGTTTGATGGCAAGAAACATTACGGAAGGGGGAAAGGGGAAGCGGATAACCGCAAATCGAAATCAGGATGAGCTTTTTCTTTTTTGCTTTTGATTCTTTATACTTTTTTTTCCACACCGCTTTGGCAAAGGGGGAGGGAAATGGGAAGCGCTTTGATGTGGTGGTGTTTTTACAGGATATAGCGTTATCATGAAGCTCCGGTTTGTGACGGTTTGCTATTGTCAGTTAGATTTTGTATCATTCCCTGTATGGTGAAGAAGCTTTTGCTAGCATTCGGCGACGATTGATTGATTGGTAATTCAACAAGTTTCTTATTCTGCATTTTCTTTCAGGGGAGTGATTTCATCCCGCCCCCTTTTCATTTCATTGACATGTTGCTATTGACTTACCCAGGTAGTGTGCCTAGAAGACGATCACACACTAGGTTCGGGTCACCCACAGAGAAGAATCTGAGAGTCTAGAAGTCTGCACGCATTCATTCCTAGCTCTGAATTAGCCTTCACTCCCTTCTCATCACAAAGTAGATCCAATATTTTTCCCTTCTCAAATGGGAAAAACCCATCCTCAGCCGACTCCACGCGTGTAAAAGAGCGGCGCTCGGACATAAAAAAACCCAGCTGCGGATGATCCGTTTGTGGGCTGGAGGCGCAGCGCCTGTGGCATTCTTCGCATAGATTACTAGCTACGGCCGCTGGGGGCCAGTTTCGTCTCTGCGTCCCATCCTGATTAGGGAGCGGAGCATCAACGCATCGTTGAGGCTTTAAAGCAGAAATCCAACATGTTAGGAGCCAATAGTCTTGGTGGCGAGGGGGCAGAAGCAAGGGAGGGACTTTCAGCTAGCGACGTCCTGGAGAGATGCGGCTTTTGCGAGCGGCCAGTGGGAATTGGTGGTATTATCCCGAAGCTGAATAAGTGTCCCTACTTGTGAGGGTGCAACTAGATGAATATAGTATAGAGTTTGTCGGGATATTCTGTGTGGGTGGTGTGAGAGAGCACCCAACGACGACTAAACAAAAGCGTGCATGCCTCCATCCCACCGGGCAACCTAGATGTAGGGAACATATGTTCCACACGCGGAAACAGCACTTGCATGTGCAGGGAAGTTAAGTCATCGCCCACACTACAAAGCACCCAGCGGTTATTGCAAGGCGGCATGTGTGGTGGCGAAGACGACAACAGTTCGTTCTTTCAGAATCCGTCGTCTCCCGCTAACAGCGTGGAGAAGTATAATTCTCTCCCTCTCTCTTTTGATGCATGGGACAAGGAATAGCGGCAGTTCGGCTACTTCATGTTGACGCACAGCCAACAACATACCGGTACTTGTACTCGTATGTGACCGTTCCCTTCCCTTGACCATCAATTCGTCCCTTGAGAGGAGGGAGGAGAGAAAACGTCACAGCTGGGTGTTCGTTTGGGTGTGATAGACGTACAATCTCGGCTCAAGGGGCATCGAAATTGTCCCCCCTCCATGCGCCCTAGAGTTGTCAGAAGCATAATCAGCTTAGCTGTGTCAGGAACCTTGATGAAGAAAGCTGAACCGGCAAGTGAAAACCTTGCTCTGTGCGGCTGATTGCCAGGAACCGCCTGTTGTTCTCGGTATTATGGGACCGATTTTAGGATTCAACGCCACTGTGTGATGTTAGCCACTCTTTGTATGAAAGTCTACAAATGGCCACAACATGGTCTTTGACTCAAGACACTCCGTACCCGGACTTCTCTCGACTCGCAATGTCTACCTTAGTCCCGAAAGATTCCCGACTGCACCTACTCCATTGAGCAGAACTACAGATGGCGGATCCGCCGTGGCTGCGCCCTATTCTCTCCTAACAAACATGAGGGATAAAGGAATAAATACTGCCACGCAGTATTTTTTATTTCCTTGAGCGCCGCGTGGGTCTTTTGTGGCTGCAGGTTCCACGAGTCTAGCCGTTTAACAAATTGTGACGAGACGAGACGAGACGGAACGTAGCGGCCATCTGAGAATTTTATACCATGTTCACATTTGGACTGGGCGTCGTACTTGTAAGCCGCTATTAAGGGTGCCGTACGAACCGTTTTTTCTCCGTCCCAGTAGCGCAGTGCTACTCTGAAGCACACATTCGAGCATGAAGAGTTCGTTTGACTTGGGACGCACTGTAAGACGCCTTTGTCCGGCCGTCACTGGTATTGCCCGCCGGTTCTCTTCAGCAAATTCCAACATAGTTACGGCGATGCAACAATTTTATCTCGGTTATCTGCAGCTGAGCTCGTCGGGCCAGGGGTAGAGGACGGCTGAAAATGGTCCTGGCTCCGGTGTGACTCTTCCCTTTCTAGGCATTGGCTCTTGGAGCTGCTGTTCCGTCTGGCCCGGCGATGTAAATAAGCCAACTTGAACTTGGTGCTTGATGCTGAAGCTTTTTAAGCTGCATATGTAACAGAAGCTAAAAGGCAGATTTGGGTGGATCCCCCTAGCCACATCTTTTTTTGTCGTAATATCAGACTTGCAAAAAATCCTGGGTGTAATTACCAATGATGCAGGGAATATCAATAGTGACACTAGCAAGACGAAACGACGCACATCCTTCTGACGCTGTGTGCCGTCATATCTAATGTGTAACGGCAATAAGGTCATAACGTCAAAGCCGAACTCAACACGGCCAATGCTAGGACTCTGGTCTCGCGGGCCGCAGCTGAATGTGGCGACCCATATTCCCCAAGTAGGTAGTCCAAGGATGAAGCAGAAATTCGCTTTATCCCAATTAGGGCAATGACCCAGGATAAATGAAAATTCTTTCGACAAATTCAACATAAGTTCGCGGCAGGAATGCCTGCTCTAGGCACATCGCATCTGAAAACTGGTCCAATCGGATAGAAGCTGATCAGGCCATCCCCACGGGCTTGTTAGTCCCGGAACCGCGTTCAAGTAGCAAATGAGAAAGGAAATAAAAGGTTGCTTTAATCTATTTGAAACTCAGCCATTTCATGGTTGAATGGCGGCACTGTGAGGTAGCTTCGAGTCTCTGCTTCAGCAACCACTCGAATTCGGCATGGTGCGTGGCTTGCCTGGCTTACTTTTCTGCCTCTTGTTTATTCCAGGTTAGGAGGGGCTCAAAGGCTGCGAAGTCGAGGACAAAGATGAAAGTCTATTCAGCTGAGGGTGTGGCGAATGCGGGGGGGCAGCCGTCGATTCTCATTGTAAGCTATCTCGTACCCGGTTCTGCGTACCCAACAAGATGCCGCTTGTGAAGAAACTCGTGTTAAGGCGATGGCCTCACCAGCTGAATACAAATGACTTGTCAATAATTATCATAAGCCCTGAGTTGACTTTGACGGCATACTCCGTGGCTAGAGAAGGGAGACATCATTACCAACCAAGTAGAGCAGATCATTTTGGAGAACAGTCTGAGCCTCGGCTTATTGGCTGACTCGATTCTTATCTTTCTGCGTATCGAGGCCGGCCAGCCAAGAACGAACGGCAGTTTGCTGGCGCCAGATGCTCGATTCTTAGTGGACAAATTGCAATGTGTGGAAACTTGATGTGAATATGCTAGCCGAAGGCGTAGCATCCGAATAGTGTTGCCAAACTGGTATGGCTCAGTAGGCCGAAGCGGAAGATACAGCGGAAAGACTTGATTAAGGTGAACCGAATTCTTGTGTACTACCCGAACACTTTGGTCAGAAAAGCCTTCTTTCTGCAGCTCTGAGTTGAAATTGGCTCGTCCACAACATGGCCATTCAGACCACGTGCGGCTGTGCCGGCAGTTGCTGGGTGTCAAGTTGAGACAATGTTTATAACACCGAGTAGAATCAGGGCTTTGTAGCCAAGCCCCCCTCCAAACTAGTTTCCCGATTCTCCAAAAAGCCACTTTGAAATGAAAGGCCTGCAGAAAGCCAAGGTTCTCGACCTACATTTTGGTCGATGACCGACAGGAGCCTCTGGAGGATTAAGCTAATGGACCGAATTTGGCGTGATAAGGTTGGCTTGCTGCTAGTTTGGTCGTGTGCTCGGGGCTAGACGGTTCTTGATCTCGATCTTGGTTGCCAAGAGCGTCAAAAGAAGAGAAGGCTGGAAGAGAGCTAGTAGTCCCGAATCCAGCGAGGCCGAGGGCATCAGCGCGAAAGCGAGGTATCACAAGAGACTATTCCCGCCCTTTGTGAAACGAAGTCATCCCAGTTTCGGCAAAAGAGAACGAGCGGTGAATGTCTAGTACAAAGTGTGTTCAGATTATCCACCCGCAGCCAAGCAATGTACTGTACTGTAAACAGGGGCGTTGCTGTAGAAGTCGGTAATTGCTCTGCGAGGTTGCTTTGGGCGATCCTTGGGCGGCCTTGGTTTCGATGTCATCTCCAATAGTCTCTCTGACCATGCTTGGCAGTGTTGTCAGTCACATATTCCTCGACACGGCAGAAGAAGACGGGAAGAGAACGAGTAGGTACCCACGGCCTGCTCCTAGCCGCCCAGCAACACAGTTCTGGTTAACGACAACCAGAGTGGTCTGTTAGTATAAGAAGTTGAGTACTGACAAACAATGTTTTGACTCGATACTGATATGACATGGATTGAGGGAGGCTGCATCATTCTCCATATTCCTTTGCCCTGGATCAAACGCTAATTGCAGAACTGCCGGGCTGTAACTGCCTAAAGTTCGTAGTAGCAGAAACTCACCGCATGTACCTGCCTGGGAAGGCGTATCCTGGCGCTGCCAGTTCTGCATCGTACCTGCACGGAGGAGTTGACGACATGTTTGAGGCGCAGCACCCAATTGGGATCAATCTTTTGAGTTTCGTGTACGAGGTGGTAGAGCGGTACCTCTGGAGTGGGGGACGAGAGGTCACTCGTCCTTGTGCTAGTGGTGCGATAGTACTCGGCTTCAGTGCCTGGTCAAGTATCGCCAGGATGGAGGTTACGTCTACGGCATTATTACCGCTAGCGAGCATTGCTCGAAGCAGTGCATTTAAAGACAGTCAAACACGGGCTCCCGCAATATAGCATAGCAATCCTTCAGCTAGATTGATTTCAATACTTATTATGTCCTAGCAACAGTACGAACTAGGTAGGTAGATCTGCAGTCATGGTGCTCCGTGCATAGTGCTTGAGGTCGTTCCAATGGCCAGCTCTTCATGTCTTAGTATAGCATTCAATACAGATCGTTGCGTGAGAAGAAGAGGAGATGCAGATTGCGCTAACAATGGCTTCGTCTCTCTACAAAGTAGGTTCATCGCACGCTCAGCACGGAAGGTGCCGACTGCGGAAAAAAGCTAAATCAAAGTGGGCCTGACGAAGCTCAGAAGCGTTCCGTGGACCGTCATTGGCTCATGCAGTCTTCGTCCTAATGCAGCTGTAGATGCTACGATGGAGCATCCAAGCAAGAGTACAGTAGCAGCAAGTGCTAGTACAAGAACCAAGCCAGTAGGGAGAGCTTCTGCAAGTACATGTATGTAAGGTGGCAGCAGCTTGACTCAACAATGGGTATTGACAGGAGAGACAAATCGTCGGATGCAACCATTCAGCAAAGACTACGGAGTAAGTGAGTTTCTTTCTTTCTTTCTTCTTCTTCTTCTCTCTTTAGGTTCCCTTTTGCTGCCGTTAATTTTTCCGCTGGAAATGGTAGCCTTACAGGCAGATGCACGGCCGCCAATGCCTCTGGTCCATCAGCATTCTGCGCGTTATTCAAGGCGTATGCGATGCGGCAATCCTGGCTCACATGCCACCATGCTGGTGCCAAGTTTCGTAGTTTGAGATCCTCCGTAGGGCCGTCATCAAGACAATTGATGACATGTACAAGGACGAGTACCCGCCAGAGGCCTAGCAGGGGAAAGCGCCCTGGAATCTTACTGGTTCCATGTAGATGGCACAAGCTGAAATCGGAGGAGCAACATGAAGGGTCTAAGACACGCCGCCGCCTCTCGGCTCACAAGGGTGCAACGAGCTTAGTGCGGCGGTCGTTTCCCCCCGGCTGGCTGCTTCGTATCTTGCTTGAGCAACCTGTGTCTTAGATCATGAGACGGCTCATGGCGCGGCCGTGGATGCGGCCCAAGTTACGGAGCACCGAGTACGGAGTTGGGGATGCGTGTTTGGGGATTAAAGTGGGAAGCCGAGGAGCTGAGGCTGACCTCGTGTTTATTAGCACCCGGACCTCACATGAACTTGGCTGACCAACAAGGGAGGTCGCACGGATCCAGATACTGGTATTCTGCCTGTGTAGGTAGGTACAAAAGCAAAGACGGAGCCTCTGGTATCCGCACGAGCAAATTCCAGGTCTACCTACTCCGTGCTCTGCACCTCCAGGTGGTACTGCAAAAGGACGAGGTCCGTCCTTGGTGGATATACCGGCTTGGTCTGCACCTAGTGCTCAGTGCTACCTGTAGGCTGTAGGTACATATCAATAGCCCTCTTATGCATTATGCGTAGGTAGATGCAGAGGCACGGAGAGCTGCTAGTCCTTGAATACTACCTGTAATGGTTAGTGGTTGCTGTAGCAAGGCAAGGCTTGCCTGCCCCTCCCAACAACAGCAGTTCTCTCCGTTAGACATGCAGATCCAGCCGCCCGCATTTGCTCGGAAGCTGGAGCTTTTGAGATGGTCCAGCGATAGTGGCAATGACATGCCTCCTCCTAGTAGCAGACCCTGGTCCTGGCTCGGGCAAAAGAAGCGGATTACATAACCGTACCGTTGCAAGCGGTGGACAGAATAAACAAGAGGAGAGCAATAGGCAATCAGCCGTATCTGGGAGGATATCCGTATACACGTTTTACTATTGCGAAACTGCAGTGCCTATGTAGGTACGGAGTGCATGGGCACCACCTATACCTTGTATGCCTCTTTTTTTTCTCTCCTTTAATTAATTTTCAAAGATCATCTTTCCGTAATAATATAGATTATTTCTCTCATTTTCCTCAACAATTCCCGTCGTCGTATGCTACTTCGTTTTTTGTCTAGCGTTGCCCTTTCGCCCTCAATGGACTGGACCATGGCCAAAGCGGCAATGACCAGCGGTTTGCAGGGTCCTCGCGTGCAAAGGTCTTCCGACTGTCTGCATCCGAAATGCGCTTGTTCAGAGCACACGGCAACTCTGGATTATTACTGGATCAGGCTGACCGTTTGAGATGTGTCACCCCCGTCAAGTCTGGCATGGATCGGCTCGACTTGGTGCTTCCATGTAGCATCTGCTCCGTTCTCCGTACTTTTGTCTCCATGCTCTGTCCCTGCTCTCGTACTTGGCCTCCTTACCTGCGCATAAGTGACAGATACGCATGCGTCCTAGATACTTGTGCTAATGTGAGCCTGCGTTGTGACACGGCATCTGAGCTAAGGTAGTCGGTCGTATTTTGACCCTCCCTGGCGGTTGTGCGTTGCGAGCCCGCATCGCAACGGCTTCTGTTAGTGGTCTCATTGCAAGGATCCCGGCTAACGACTACTAGCTGTGCATCTGTTGATGCTACTCCATTTGTAGTATTTACAGGTAGTAATGTACTGCAGAGTATTGTAGATGGCATATATACTCGTATATATAAATATAGAATCTGACTAGCATGGCGGCGGGATTGTTATTCCCCGTTCAAGAGTGCTAGCGCATCGAGCATCTGTCGGCTGGAAGTCGGTTCTTGCATGGCGACGATGACACACCAACGGCAGATGCATCAGGCTGGCGTTGTAATACTTAACAAAGACAAAATGCATGGATATCAAACATGGCACCAGCCACCGCTATTCTGGTATTGGTAACCGTGTATACCTTACTTGTAGGTGGGAGGTGTGAGAGGAGGGAGGTGGGAACACCGACCAATACAATGTCCGAGCTTGTAAAACACCAGCCTGGTTTCTCGTACTGATATCAACAAACACGAGGCGTGTACATGTACTCTGTGCTTCCGTACATTGATCAACTCAAGGCATGCTGAAGCATCCACAGCCCTTCAATGTCGCCGTTTCCCGAGGCTGTTGCCAACCCTGTCTTGTCGTCATTGCAGAACAGCTTCTGCAGCACCTTGCCACCAGCCTGGTTTTTGTGAACCTACGCTGTTGCTTCGTCTAAAGAAGCATAGCCCATACCCCAAAGTTCCCCATGGCTCTGCGGAGCTGACGGCGGTGACAGATCAGCAACAGGCCGTCTTTTCAGCCACCCAAAGTTAACCCATGTCGACTCTGCTCTTGCATTAACAGAGCTCGACTCGATTAGGACATGTTGGAGCTTCAGAGCTGCATCATCAAGGTGACTGAGTCGTGGCTCCTCTCAACTAGATCCATAGTCGAATAAAACAGCCCCCCTCCTCCAGCCAGGCCATCCATTTGGGCCAAACTCACTAGCGGCTTTGGGGGAGGGGCGTAAGGCGAGCAGCAAGCCACACAGACAAGGTCCAGATCCCCATCGAGTCAGTCCACTTGTCTGTCCGCACTTCCGTCCCTGTTTGCAAGCCGAGCTTGTTCAATCGGATCGGCTTTTTAGCATCCCTGGCGGCGGGCGATACTGCCCTGTTTCCCTCTCGCGTCTCCCTCGTTGGAAGCTGGTTGTGAAGTCCCCCCCAGCAGCCCTTGTACAGGTATAAACCTGGCCAACTACGGCAGCCCTGCTTCGCAACCTGGCATTGCAAGCATCCATCTGGACGAACCTGCCATAGCCGTTTGCGAATCGTCGGCCGGTAGTCGATAGGGTGCAGCGCTACTGTACTGTAGAGAATGCGTTGCTGGGGGAGCTTGTGCTCCTCGCGATAAGCTCTGGGGCTGAGCTGTCGTTCCATGTTCCCAAAGTGGATAAATGGTAGAGGTACCTAGATACCTACAAGTACGGACCGCAAAGGGAGGCTGCGCGGACTCCTACATGTGTCTAGACCGGCTTGGCCATGATGTGCCAAGTACCGAACCAGTGCATATTTGGCCATGTTGGTGCCGAGGCTGGTAGATTTTAGGTACCCCATACTTGGACTTGTCCATGCAAATATATGCACTCACGGCTCAGGTTTCTCAAACATGCTCAACTATAACTGCTGCCTTGTGCCTTGGATTGGTAGAGCTCGTACTAAAGATAGGCTCATCAAGAGAATGGGAAAGGAATCAAGAGGTGCTTGGTAAAGCAAAATACTGCCTCGAGGTCGGTACGCAGCAGCCACATATAAAACATTGAATTGAAAACGAGGCCACTAGCCACTCATATCGATAACGAGGCGAGATCCGTTTAATCGGTACTCGTAGACAGGGCAATAACGTGACAGCGACGACATCAACACCACCCTCGCCAACATCAACATCAACAAAAACAAAAACACCAGCCAGGAAGAACAACAAACGACAAACGGCGGACACGACATGCATACGGTGCGTGCACCTGCATACATACACCGCATGGCCAGAGACTATCGAGTACTTGCGTGCGCACGGAGCACTGCCCAGGCGGAATGTAGCTACTGTACTTCCTGCGCACCATATGCACCGAGTATTATGGCGCATCCATCTCGTCCTGCGGACTTGAGACGAGAGCCAGCTCTGAAACGGCCTGGTCCTGGTCAAGACACGGCAAGGCCACAAGACGATAGGTGAGCCATTCAGCCTAAGAAACCGCAAGTCTCCGTCCGTATCTCTTACACCCGCCCGCTCAGCTAATGAACGACGACTTGGTAGCAGAATGAGCCATGCCCGCCACCAACCCCTCTCCCCCTCCACTCTTAGAGCCCTGTGGCTTTCTCTCAAGCGCAACATCTGCCTCATCCAGAGAGGGTAGCTCCGAGCCGATGAGTTTAGATGGGTCACTGAGATCGGTTCTAGAGGCTGATGAGTAGCGCTACAGCACCAAGTTGGCATGACGGACGAATCTCGCAACTCCAGCGCCCCATGCTCGTGGCAGCCACGGCCAAGGCCAGACCCGCGGCGATTGGGTCGGGCGCGCAAGATGTCGCCCATTTGCCTCTCTTCCAACACACGCAGCTCGTTGCCTACTTACTGGTATACTGTATTGTACTGTACAGTACAGTACGGAGCACTTCCGTGACCCAATGCGGCGTAGCTGCCAGAGGGTTCCGTACCGCGGAAGCGCAGGGCAAGCTGCCACTCATTGGATGAGCCCCGTTGCATCGTGTACTATTTTTTGCACATCTCCCAAGACGTGCAGCAGCCGCACACAGGCGCACAAGGATGCCGGAGCTGCAGAGTGGTGCTCCCTGCTTGGCTGTTGTCTGCCTGCCTGCCTGCCTGCCTAGCACATGAGTGAGTGTGCTTCTTCTCAAACTAGTCTTATCAAGGGATATCATGTTGGGACAGTTTGTTCTCTGCCCGATGGCTGACCCTGACTTGCCCCTGCAATGGTGTTTTTGATAACGGCCGGTTCGTTCGCGCGTCTCATTTGTCTCGACAGCTTACAGTTACTTACAAGTATACGTCTTACAGGTCCTCCGTCGGTATAAGCAACCCCCCGCATTCGAAAGACGCCATCTCACGTTTCCCTCGATTGCGGCGATAGCCGGCCGCTCCTCTCCTCTGTCTCTCTTGCCTTGCGCTGCATGTGCGGGAGTATTCTGAAATGTATGATAAGATTTCTATTTGTCTTCTTGTATTTTGAATCTGATGCCCTGTATGATTCCCGTATCATCGCCGGCTTGTTTGCCCATCTGTGGTGTTATCCCCTGCAACTGGTATGTACTTTTCAAAGCACCAAAGAGCAATCCTCTATTTGCTGCACCATGGTATCCAACATTTTCTCATAGCTTCATTCTTTATTGCTTCCTTTTTTGCTTCCTCTACATTTTTTCCCTCGGTCTCGTCCCCCTTGTCTATTTCGGCTCTGCTTGCCGCCAATCCACAAATCTTGGCTGAGAATTTTATTTCTGGGTTTTCTTCCTTTCCTTTCTTTTTTAGAATTCCCCCCTTCTTCTCGCACTCCCTATCTGAAACGCACACGCCCTCCGCCCACTTCCCTGTTAGTTGACGTCCCATCGATTCCCTAATCAGATCATACGCTCTGATACGTGCACGCTCCTGTGAATAGACCAGGCACACCACACGCCTTCTCCACAGTGGCACGGTGCCCGCTCCGGCCCTTGTCTTGCTGTTCACCCTCCTTCTAGCCCAGCCGATATTCTCAGGCCCCCCCCCCCCCCTTGGGGCAAGCCCCTCGTTGGCCAACTCCGTCCCGCGGCGCTCTGTCTCCATTCTAGGAAGCACTACTTGTACACAAGGAGCGGATGGACCACCATCTCTGATATTGGATAGCCTGCATGTGCCCGACAGGGTTACTTCAGCCCTCTCCATCTGCTTTCTCTCCCTGTACCCAGTACTGTCTGTTGACACCAAGACTACCCTCAATGAGGGTGGCTAGCTTATCCTCAAGCGTCATCCGTCCAGCCCCAGTCGACAGTCATTGTTGTTGTTGTTGTTGTTGAGCTGGGCCGTCACCTCCAGCCTACGCCTCGACTTGTTATAACGAACGTTATATCCACCACGTACGCCTCCACAACCTCCCATCCTGTCCTTCTCTCCTCCTCTCCTGTTTTCTTACTTGCCCAACTCCCCCATCCCCAGTCATCGTACTCTCATTTTATGACTTTGATTGTTACAAGTATTGTTTCTTTCTTGCATGCCCCGCAGCCTGGTTCTTTTTTGCACCATCCTCTGATGTCTACTTAAACACATGCATACACTCCTGTAACTCGCGGCATATGTGATGATGCTCACCATCAAGCAGCAATCGACGACATACGGCTACAAGTCCGTCCATGATTTGCCAACTCCGCCTTCCACTTCCCGGCCCTCTCCTCCCTTGAACTATCAAGATCCATCCTACAAACCGTACCTTGTCTCTCAGAACAGCCCGGTGCAGCCCATGTCTACTTCCCATCGTGGCCTGCCTCCTCCGGCGGCCATGACTCTACCTCCACAGCAGCCTCCTTCCGTTGGCCCTCCGCCGTCACATCACGCTCAACCACCACCTCCTCTACCGCTGTCACAGCCCTCTCACCAGGCACAACAACCATGGCCTTCGCCTTCGGCGGGCCTGCCTCCGCCACCACAGCAATGGCAAGGAGCTGAGGAGTCTATGCGGACCTGGCTCCAGGCCAAGACAGAGGAGGAGAAAACGAGGCAAGAAGAGGAGAGGACTAGGCAAGAGACTCTACGTCTAGAACAGAGAAAAATCGAAATGGATATTTTGCGAGCCTCTCTTGGCGGCGGCATCCCACCTCCCATGGTTCCTCTGGTCTTTGCTGGTATGGGAAGCGGAGGTACTCTTCCCCAGGCCGCCCTTGAATGGGCACAGCAGTTCATGGCTCCGGCTCAAGGGCATCATCCCCAGCTACTTCCGCCCCAGCGACCGCACTCGCCAGACCATTCGAGGGAGCCTGTAGGACACGGCATGGTGTACGCTACTTCTCCAGCACAGGTGACTTCAGCTCAAGGCCCCGGTGGGTATGGGCCGTATCCAGGATCGCCAACGAGGCCAAGAGGCCAGACTATCTCTGGCGCAATGGGCCGACCAATTGGAATGGCATCAAACATGGTGGGCGTCGCCAACCCTCCCCACCCCCCGGGGCAAGGACCTCCTCCTGTGATGCCGCCTTACCAAGGACACGCGCATACACAGTCACAGTCATCCCAGCATGACACGAGCCCATCGATCTATTTCCACCACTGGCAGCCACCGGCGACGCAGAGCGGCAGCAGCTCGAACCGGCCCGGAACACCGTCTGGTTCGTCAAAATTCAAGAGAAAGCGAGACTCCCTTTAAGCTAACCTGGGTTTGTGCCGCTGTAACAGGGGAGGCTCAGAAGAAGCGAAAGACAACGGGAGGAGCTTCTCAACAGGTAACCAGAGCTCCGAGCGAAGACCGATATCGATCCCCGCCGCCATTTACGCAGCCCGGCTCGTCGAATCCGGCGTCGCCCAGTCGAAAATCGCACAAGCGCCAACGGAGCGATGTGTCGTGGTATAGGCCTCCTGGCCAGATGTACGGTGAGGACCCAGACCGGCCTCGAGCGAGAACGCCAACACAAGCCCCGTCCTGGGGCCCCTCACCACGCGAGAGGGAGGATTCGAGGAGTGCAAAGCAGTCGGTATCCTCGCTGCTATCCCGCGAGCCTGATGACTCGGGTGCACTGTCACGACAAAATGCGCAGCCTCCGCGGCTCGAGGCGCCGCCGCCGATACCACGAGCCAGAGGACCGGGAGAGCAAAGAGCTGGGGTAGAGACGCCGCTATCTGCAGGAGAAGCCGATCCAAGGTCCCGAATGGCAGGGGCTGGGATGCACGAGAAAGAGGCCTGATTAGGTTTCTGGAGATGACTGCCAATGGGATGCTTCGGGTGACGGGCTCATTTGGCATCAATCAAGACTGTGAGAGCATGACGACAGTGTCGCCAACTCGGGAGGCCTCTGTTTTTTACGGTCTTACCACATTTCTCTTCTTCTCACCTTTTTTTTCTCACCTTTCATTCTCACATTCATTTTCACTCTGGGTTTCATTGTCATTTTCAATTTCAGTTTCACTTCTTTTCTACACATTGTTTTCTTTTTTTCAAAACATTTGTCCATTTCATGATCATGGCCGACCGGTTTGGCTTGGATCGCCGCCCCTTTTTGTATATTTGTTTTGGTATACGTCATGCACCATCCGCGCAAATTTCCTTTCATCTTTCAAGGCTACCATCGGGGCAGGAAAGACCAGACTGGTCATTACATTTCACAGACTAGAATGGCGGCCGGATAGCATAGTTTGTTTGAGGGGGACATGCACATATAGGCGTTTTTCGTTTTACTGGGAAGGGAGGGGATTTTGAGCTGTTTCGCATTGCACAAGGAACAAAAAGTGTATTGATAGGATGAGATTTGACGGGGATGCCAGGAACGCATCCATGGAGAGGAAAGGAGGGAACAAGGAGAAGAAGAAAACGAATCAAAAGCATTTCCAAATGGCCCCCCTAGGTGCAAACGTCGTCGAAGTACCTCTGGTACATGTATACAAGCAGCATACAGATGAAGCCTTCCGAGTTATTACTGCGAGTACTCCCGTACCTGTGTACCAGTACGACTCCTTTGCCTGATGCCTATCGAAGCAGCTAGCTGATGGCAACCGAAATAAAAGTGCTATTGGGCTCGCCGTGGTCGGGGCTTAGGACTGATATCCGAGCGCAAACGGCCGCGAATGGTTGCACAGGGGGGTCTTTGGGTTGCCAATCACGGCATGTAGATGAAACAGACGACCCATGGGGATGGTGCAGTCCAGGAGCCGGCTAAAAAAAGCCACGCAAGACGGGCAAGGGTTCGGGCCCGAGCAAGAGGGCACTCGAGCGATCGGTCATATGATATCGCGGCTGCCGCGTAAGGCGCATCCGGATTCCGAGGCAGGGCTGATTGTGGTCGTAGTTTGGACGGACGGGTATTTTGGATGGTTTGGCGGTAAAGGTTGCGTATATAGAGGTACCTCTCATTACTAAACCAAGGGGGGCACTTATGCAGGAGGGCAGCATTACCCAAAATTACTTACTGTACGAGGATGTGTGTATGAGTGAATGAGTGAGAGTGTGAGAGAGCCGGTTTGCAATCAAAACGTGGTGCTGCCTTGTAGGAAGGTACATAACCAAATGCCATTGATTACCCCCCGGCCGGTCAGTTACGGCACTCGGGCCCTGTGGCAGTCAGAGGAGCAACGTTTCGGAGGCTGCAGGTTCCTGGAATGATTACATGTACGAGGCAGTTTGCATCAGCAGGGGTTCCTTTTTGGAGTACACGTATACAGTTGGATAGTACAAGTTACTTTGTTCTCATAAGGGCATATGAAGCACAGAAGTCATGGGTAATATTGCGTATATATACAGGCACAAAGATGCTAGATTTGCAGTATACTGGTTCTCGGTATTATTACCAGGGAGGTACGTATCTGTGTTAGTGCATTACCAGTGTTTTTTCCAGATTCTCAAATTTTTTTCCTTTACACGGTTTACCTGAATTGGGCAGCCTGACCGCTGTCTTCGATTATTGTCTGGCAAATCCGGTGCGTTGTTGCAAGTACCTACTAGGTTGCTAGGTGTGTAGGCAGGCCTTGGAGCGAGTACCGAGGCAACGTACCTGGCAGTAGCGGCCGATGGGATGGGATGGGATGGGAATCGGAGAATTGGTGGAGCAAAAGTTTTCCCAAAGTTTGCGAGGAGTTTGTGTACAGGTTTCCCTTTTTACGGGCACGGGTGACGGACGGAAGAGGAAAGTTGCGGGATGTTGAAGAGCCCGTTACGGAGGGCTTGCTTTGCTTGGGTAAGGTGGTTTGGACTGGGATTTGCTGCGGGCGTAGGATGGATGGGAGTTCGTAGTACGCTGTGGATTTGTTGGTGTGGGTTAAGGTAGTACCTGGTGAGGCAGGGGGTAAATGTTTATCCAGTACTGCAGTAGTATGGAGTTACCTGCAACACGTATCCTCAATGGTGTTGTACCTCTTTAGCATCTCGGTAGCACAAGAAGTGCCATATGCGGACCATTCTCTCCGTCTTGTGCCTAACACGGAGTCGGCAGTATTTACGCATGACCCAAAGAAGAAAAGAACGAAAAAAATGAGGCGGGAAACGACAAGAGAGCAAAATTGTTGTGTGTTTCAGACTTATTGGGTGCATATATCGTGTGTACACAAGGCATGTACTGTACGAAGTACACACAGGGACAGGCCCGGGTATCGCTCGAGGAATATTATGGGGAACCGGAGCATCGCCGAGAAAAGAGGTCGAACGGAGTAATCAAGGTCGGGCTGCTAACACCAACTTGGCAATACTAGTCTAGTAGCTGTCCAGAGTGAGCCTGCCGACAAGGGGGAAGAAATGGGAACGGGAAGTGGAAAGGCTTCGGGGCTTGCTGTGGGTGGATGGGAATCTGAAAAGGGTTTTCTTCTTCTTCTCGTACTGCCCTTTTGAATACCTGAAATGTTATAGCACGTCTTGGCTATCCAAAGGGGGAGTGTGGGTGAGGCTCTGCTTCTACTATAAGTTACTAGAATTAGTCCTTGCACTCGTATACATCGTACTGAGAGGAAATATATATAGTAGGCATTGCGCTGATCTAATCTCGGGGGGGGTTTTCCCCAATGGCGTGCAAGAGGTGAAGAGGGTGTGAATATTACTTGCTCATCCGAAACTAACAATAAAAGGCATCATTGAGGGCTTTTATGGAACAATCTAGCTGCTACGGGGTATCAAGATGACAATCTTGGATCATGGACGAGTCAAACAATGCCCGCATACGCGTAGTTTTTTTTGTGAGTCAGGAACAGGGTTTTTCTTTTCGTTCTCCCGTCCCGAGTGGGATTTTTGACATACACTAGTTTATTAGTGACACGAAGCAATTCCCTCTTTCTGCCGTCAAAGAGAGAACAACAAGAAAAAGAAAAAGAAAAGTCCACTTGCAGAATTGAGAAGATTCGGAATGATGGATTGTCCCGCGCGCCAAGACTCTGTCCCAGGGGCCCGGCAGAAGAACAAAAAATGTGACCTGTCACATAAAAAGCTGCTGAAGAAGACAAAGGCAATCCGGGCACACACTTGTCAAAAAACTCAAAAGGAAATTAGAGGTGAGACACACTTGAAGAATTATAGCGTGTGTGTGTGTGTGTGCTCTTACGCCAGGTACCCGTACAGCAACATCCCGTCCCTTTCCCACCACCACAACCCGAAACTCAAAAGTACATGTACATGTACCTACCGCTTTCTCACATGCATCTCCGAACAGACGCCCGAGTACCGCTACTCGTACTTTTTTAGCTTGCACCCAAAAACCACATGAAAAAAAAAGCGCCCTGAAAAAAGCAACAAGCCGTCCATCTTCGGTGCGATACCCGATTCGTAACACCCACCTTCATCCTTTTTTGTCTTTCTTCTCGCTTCCCGGACATTCAAACCCAATCCGGGGAACCGGCGACAGAAAAAAAACCCCCAACATGCCCAAAGACGGCTAAGCCTTAAAAAGAAATAAGAGAGAGACGGTACTTTGTTTGCGTGCTCCGTTTTTTTTTATTTCTCTCTCTCTTGGGCACCGTTTCTCGATACGGAAGTACGGAGGACAGCCGGGTGCCCGTTTTAGTGCTTCGCTCCGTACGGCACTTGCGAAAGTACCTAACCTGCTATACGAATATAAGGTAGTACTCCTCTTCACATGCTTCTTTTCTTTCGTCATCTGGTCCCCTTGTATCCTTTTCTTTTTGTGACAGGTGATGGGGTGGGATGAAAAAAGATCCCCAGTAAAAAAAAAAAAGGAAAAAGCTTCGTGCTCTAGTCTGGCTACCCGTAGCGAGCAACCCGGAAAATGGCACTTGGCACTTGGCATGGTAGCATTCGGTCTGCTTAAAAAGGAAGCGCAGCCATGGGTCTCCAAAACGGAAAGTCGTAACCCCATCTGCCGAAGCGGTTCCCCATCTAGGGGTCCTAAAAAGGTCCCAGTGGATTGGAAGGGGGTCTCTCTCCCGGCTTCGTTCATTAGGTTCGCGGTACGGTTGATGACCAAGCATGTGAAAGAAAAAAAGAACACATCAATAAATTACAATACTAAGACCAAAAAAAAAAGGTCAATGCATTGTCTGTCTCGCTATCCCACATAGTAGCATCAAATAAAAACACAAAACGCAAAACACGAAGAAAAAGAAGAAGAAATAATGAAACACCCCCCCTCCGTCAAAGCTTGCATTCTTCTCTCCCCTCCCCTCCCCTCCCCATCCCCCTTCTCACATCACATCAACTTCCAGAACCTTTTTTAAACCTTCTCCACCACCCCTGGCCCCTCGGGATTTCGCAATCTCACCCAATTGTAACACTTCACTCTCGGCAATTCCCACCTCCCACTTTACGCCCCCTAGCACACGACAGCTCAACCGAGAAAAAAGAAGGAAAAAAATTGACGAAGTATCCTGAATAATTCACCCTCCTTTTCGTATTTCTATATATATATATATATACATATATACGCTCTTAGTGTTGCATAACAAACATCTGGTCTCTCCGCACATACACAAATACACATGTAACGACGAGCTATATTTCTTCCAAAGTGTCAAGAAACCCAAAACAGCTTTATTACCGATGCGCAAGTGGGTAGTAAGAAACAAGTACAAGGCCATGGGGCAAGGATACGTGACAGAGGGAGCCCCCCCGAGCGAGACAAATCTCACGTGTGATATATGAAGCATATTCCATATCCAGGAACCCAGTTTCGGGAACCCAGTTCCGAGAACCTACTCGGGTGCTTCGTTGCCCAAAACACCACGGCCAAGTGCTTACGGGGGTGTAAATGCAAAAAGGATCAGCGCTCATACTGTAAAAGCTTGGCTGAACAAGTCTCCGCCTGTATTAATAGTACTAGTAATGCTTTTTGTTACCCCTTCCATCAAGCAAACAGCCATCTAGTTACAAACATCTGCCGGTCCCGTCCGCCCCCAGGACGCCAACTCCAGCCAATCTGACAAACTACATCGCCAACCATCTCCAACCACCCACTGCTCAAAAAGAACAAAACGCCTCCGTGACGGAAGGGTATCCATAAGTCAGGGCGTACCGTACGCCCGCTCCGCGCCACCCTGTCCCAGATCCTGGTATATGAAGCAAGCAAACAGACAAACACAAACACAAAGTAAAAAAAGATCAATATAGTGAGGGAGGAGCCGAAGCAAGATTAAATCAGCACGCATCAAAACAAAGACAAAGGAGAGACCATATATGAAGAGGTGTCAAATAGACCATCTGTTCATTAATAGAGGGTATCAGTAGCTGAACAAATAAAAGGGGGGTATCGGGTGGTACGGAGATGAAAGTGACAAAAGAAGGGTAGAGCCATAGGAAGCTAAATGTCCCGTTCCCCTGCGCCAATTTCAAAAGAAAACAAAGGCAAGATAAAGTTTAATACAGTAGAATAAGAGGGAAGAATCAACCCGTCGGGGTGAGAGTCGGGAGAGGCAAGCGTGCTACGTCTTCTTCTTGCCTTGGTGTGACTTCCATTCGGCTTTGGTCACCTTCATCAAGAGATCCTCATCCTTGATGGGAATCCATGACGTCAAGGCCTTCATGGCGTTTTCGAAGTCCGAGTCTAGGAGTACCTCGCGGAGGGCCTGGATTAAGGCAGCGCTCGTGGCGTGCAAAATGTCGAGTCCTGTTGCCGGACTTGCTTCGCTGTCGTCAACTTGCGTGACAATGTTCGCCTCGGCCGCGCTATCTCCCAGCAGGAGAAAGACATCCCATACTCGCAGCTGGGCTGGAAATGGGATGGAGAGGTTGAAGAGGGTAAGGTACCAACGTGTACCATACGCCGTTATGTCTACGCTGAGCTCGGTCTACAAAACAAGAGAGATGAGAATGTTAGATTAATACAAGTATTCAGATTGTCATCGTCAGGACTCACCAGCCTCTTGGCCACGTCCTTATTCAGCCAAGTTTCATCAAACTCATGCAGCGCCTTCATCAGGCCCTCGAAGCCTGGGCGATAGAGGCGATCGAGCCCTCGTAGCTGCCACATGCGCACCAGCATAACGAAGCACTTTTCTTCGTCAAAGTAGCAGAGAAGCGTTGCTGCCAATGACGCCATGCCCTGGACGTATCCTGTTTCTGGAAAGAAGATGGACAGGCAGTGCAGCACGCGGAACAGAAGCCGCTGGCCGCCGCGGTACCTTTTGCGGAACATGATGTGTCGGCTAATGGTTCGGGGCACGTCGAGGTCAATCTGAACATCGTCCGGCGAGCTTTGCTCCAGCAGTCGGTGGAACGACGCAACAATCTCCTCTTCAATGGCATGGACTCCGTGTTCCGTAGCGGAACTGGCAAGAAAGGACCACCACGCGGCTGCACGCCAGCGATCGGGAATGCCTTTCCACGTTCGCTCAATGAGCTTAGGGTTCTTCCTGTCAAACTCAAACTCCATGCCTTCGCCCTGGCCGCCCCTTCGGACAACCTTGGCCATCTTGCGCCACTTCTCTGACCTCTCCCACTCCTTGCGCTTCAGTGTTTCTGATATCCTCTCTATATGGGCTTCCTCTGCGGCATCTTGGAGGCTTGTTGGAAGCGTCAGCATGTCGCCAGCCTCGTCCAACCATCGCCGATCTCGGTTATGGGGTAGCAGATTGCTAGCCTGTCGAATGACGGATCGCGAAGATCGTTTCGAGGCGGTAGACAGTTCCGAGGCTTGGGTGTTGAGTGACCTGGCGGACATCTTCCTGCTCGGGCCCAAGGGAGATAGGCCAGCCAAGTCCCGCTTCTGTAGCATGTTCCTTCGCCTGGGCGAGTACTGGGCAGACTTCATCTCCGTGGGCGTGCCGAGCCGTGATCGGGGGGCGGTGATGAAGCCATATCGATCGACGCTGGCGCCGTCAACATCTTCCCAGTCCTCTAGGCCGCCAGCGAGCTCCGTGTCTCGCCTATAGTCAAGGTGAACCGAGGAGCTCGTAGACCTGATAGATCTCGGGGTTCCCCAGACAGGGATGGGGGGCGGCAGTATTATGCTACAAGTCGAATAGGCGCAAAGCGTTAGCAACAAGATGCACAGAAGACGAACAAGCAGACAACCCGACACACGGCGCCAGGAAATCGTCAAGGGAGTCCATACGAGTCATTCCCATCTTCCTCTGCTGGGAGCTCTGGGGTAGGCTCCAAGGGTTCGCAGTACGAGCGCCTTGCGCCATCCTCCCAATTGATGGCATCGCCGACTCCATAGAGCGATCTCACCTTTTGGGACTCCTTGTCGACGTCGGATGCTAGCAGGCGGATGTCGGGTGGCGGCTGAGCGCGGGGCACGAGGTTGGGGTTGGAGGCACTGGCGGCCAAGGACTCGATGCGGTCGACGCTGGTGCTGCTGGATCGTGCATGGTTGTGAGTGGGTGTTGAAGGAGCAGAGACATCGCCTCTGCTGTCGTTGGCCCCGTCGAGGCCCAGCGCTCCAGCGCGTCGCCCGCCGAACATGATGCTGCCGCGGTTCGAGAAGGACAACGTGGCCATAAAATCATCCTCGAGCAGGCTGTGCGTTGGGATGCTGATGCCCAGAGGCGCAAAGTGGTCGTTGACGTCGCCCGGAGAAGCAGTGTCGCGAGATAGTGTCTGTATCTGCAGTAGCGGAAGAGGCGACTGTTCTGCAGTTGACCGTTGTGGCTGCTTATGAGTGGAGGCTTGCTGCGAGCCCCGCATCAGGGGCTGCATTGGCGCGTTTGCGGCAGCAGATCCCTCGTCAATTGCCAGGGCTTGCAGGGCTAATTTCCCCTTTGCCGAAGCAGAGGAGCAGACGCTAAGGCGCTTAAGAATGCTTTGTCTCTTTGGCGACACTGGCGACGACAACGAGCGAGGTGGTGAGGGAGGTTGAGGTTGAGCACGGCTCGGAGCGACGGCGGTATTGGCTTTTTCGAAGCAGGGAAATGACGCAGACGCGGCTGGTTGATGAAACTTTGTCTCACTTGTCGAACACTGCCAACCAGCCGCCACTGGGCCGACAGCTGTTCCGTGCTGTGCTTGTGCTTGTACTTGTGGGACACGATGTCGTGGTACCTCGTCGACTTTGGTTGGCTTGTCACCGGCAGAGTCTTGGGCGTCTGCCAGCTGCTTGCTGTCTTGCTTGGCCTCTTCTTCCTCGCAGTCCTCTTCGTAAATGGTATTTGCTGAGGTTGGCGTCGGCGCGAGCCCCGAGTCTCTCTTCCAACTCTCGTGAGCAAGCTTTGCCTGGCGTACCGGCGTCCTTAACGCCGGATGCTGCTCTGTTGGTGGCGTAATAGGCAATAAAGAGAGCTGCGGTGGCGTAACAACCACCAGACTTGGCGAGTAGAGTGACACCGAGTACAAAGAGGGAGAGGGAGACGATGCTGACGATCGTATCGACAGCGTACGAATGGTGTTGCGAGATGTGCTTCTGGGAGGCAGCGGGATGGGAGGCTCTGCCTGGACTGTCTTCTCGTAACGGAGGCCTATGGTGTTGTCGGCAGACCGTCGCGATCTGGAGCCAGTTGCCGGTCGGATGGATGTGATGGCCATGGCTCTATCTATGGCAGTTGGAGGAGCTGATCGGCCGCAATGACCTTGAACTTGAGCTTGTGAGCGAGATGGATATGGGTTGTTGTTGCTGATGCTGATGGCGGAGGTGCTAATGATGGCGAGAGTGCTGATACTAGTTTTCTCAGCGCTATGCGAGCGGAAGCCCCGAGCCAAGCGTCGAAGCAGTTTGGTGAAGCGTGAGACAGCCAGCTTGAAAGATTGTTGAGGCGTTTGGTATTTATAACTACGCCGATATGCCGAGTGTGCGGTGAGAAGCGAAGGTGAGGCTGGCAAGTGACACTTTGCTGTGGTCTTTCCTTCGGAATGTATATCGAGGCTTGCCGAGGCGATAAGATGTGAAGCGAGAGGAAGCGAGAATATCGCAGAGCAGACGAGGGGGTAATGATAGCGAGAGAAGTGAGAGAGATGAGAGAGACGAGAGAAGCAATGGAAAAGGAAGAAAAAAGCGGGAAGATGAAAGAGAATGAGTGTTGACGTGGCAATCGTTCAAGTCATAAAGTCGTAACTGCTGTAAACGAGAGGAACGGGCAGTCCGCAGCCCTAGCGGTGCACTATCACGGCGGGTAGGCGGGACGCAGATGCAAATGCAGATGTTTTCAACTCGAGTGCCTGGATCTGATCCGACAGTCGGTGTAAGAAGCAACTCGGTTTCCTGCTGACTCTCAGCCCCTGGCACTGACAAACAACCTAAGCAAAACGAGCATGTGTGGGGGAGATGATGGAGAATTATATACCTATAATAGAGCAGAAGCAAGTAATTTAACGCTGTGAAGATCCGGGGAGAGCGTAGCGAATGCCTTTCTCTCTGTCTCGAGAAGAGCGCCGGGCCAAGCCGTCCCTTGCATCCAAGTCATGTACTAAGGCAAAAGCAAAGTAGAGCTGAGACATGTGTCTTGGAAATGCGGCGAATCAAAAATGAGAGTGACTGAGAGCTGAAAACCAAGAGACGGGATAGGAAAAGAAACGAGAGTGGGAGAAAAAAGAAAAAGAAAAAGAGAGAGAGGATCTCGTTTGTTTCTATACCAATAGGCATTGCGCATATATGATGCTCATGCAGGGCAGAGGCCAGCGCAATCAATGGTTTGTCGGGGATGACGGGTACGACTATTGCTGATGTGCCATATTGCGTTGCGTACTCGTAATACCTTGCAGGCCCTGAGAGTCCTGATTCCTCGAGGACTTTTAGAATTTGCACTACGGAATTCAATTGCAAGCTCTATGTCGCCCGCACATGCATGCGAGTATATTGACGCCAAGTTTGTACTTTCATGCACCCAACAAGGAGCTGGAGTTGAAGTCAATGGCCAACACGCTCAACTGTATGAGTGGAAAAGAGGTGCCGAGCTCAGTCTCCATCTCCGGCAGAACCCAATCGGGGACCCGCGATAGAGCTGGACACACTAAGACGCTGGCTAGTGGCGGGACAGGGATCACCGATGCTCGACTTACAGGGCCCTTTTCCAGCGGTCACGGCTTTCGGGCACCCGCTAACAAGGCCAGACTCCAGCCTGCTGGGAACCGGCATCTTGATTAGCGTCAATTGAAGCGGTTTGTCGCCTTGGGCTCCATGTCTTTTTGGGCCTCGATGGATGTACCTTTCCATGATGCTTCCTTCGTGTACTGTAAGTTGATGTGGCTGTCAGGCACTCAGAAGCCCACCGCCTCCTTCGGCTACCTTCTGTGCTGTTTCAAGTCGTTTGGCGAGAGTGCGGTCCAAGCAAACGAGCAAATGAGACCCGACGTCAAACGGGGGATGACAGACGGGCATGTCAAATTGACAGGACGCACAAATACTGGTCACCCCATGTATTACGGTACTAAAATCATGGTTAAACAAGTACGCTGGGGAAAGGTAAAAGGAATTGACTTCAGAGGTAGAATTGAGAGCATAAACTGCCGTGGATTGGTAATACTACTCATTGGCCCTCCAGGCCAGCTCGTATATGCACCCTTGCGTCCGAAGCAAACGAATGAATGCATATGCAAACTAAATGTTCTGTTCACGTCGGGAAGCAAAAAGAAAACACGCCACTCATGCTCACCCAAGGAGAAAGCAAAGAAAAAAATTGAACCCTCCCACGTCTTCGGTGCTAAACGGAAAAGGTTTCACTCTACTGGTCCGCGGATGCAGGAACCGGCAGGACTATCACAAACCTGCATTTCGCACCGCCGCGCATCGCAGGAATAAAATGAACCCTCCCCATTCATTGCTCAGCTTTGCATGGGCGGTGGACACGTAGTAGCCGGCTGCTAGATTTTTCTTTTTCTTTGCCTTTTTCTCCCCCTCTTTTCCCCTCAGCTGTATTACTTCTCGTCCTAATTCGCTACCATCGTGACAAGCGACGAGCGAGAGGAGACGCCGCCTCCTGCAAGGGGTGTCACTTCTCACAAACGCCCTCCATCTCAACAGATGCAAGGTACCCGATGCCACCGAATAGACCCGATCCTACCTATTCACACCAATGCTGTACAGGTACACACGCTCTCCCCCTTCCACTCCTCTTCTCTCCCCATCTCCCTCTCTCGCCTGGGTACCTCCACATTGTGGGCACTTACACACACAAGGACGCGCACACACACTACAGATGCCATTGCCCAGCCCTTTCGGGTCAGACTCCCATCCGTCCGCACCCCTTCTGCCGATTCGTTTAGCCTTCTCTCCCCTCTCTTCTCTTTCTCTCTTCTTGGGGGCCTTTTGCATATTCATCCGCCCCCAAATTTTCTTTTCTCCCTCTAAAGCTCGGCATCGTGCAGTACAAACGCCGACGCAGGAACGCAATAGTCGCCCAAAGTCTGCCCACCACAAAAAAAAATCCTCATGCAAGGGAGAGAGAGGGGGGGAAGGGAACTCAGCTCGGCAATCGTCCTGCCGCCTCCCCCCTCCTTTCTGCTCAATTGAGTTTTCTGCGGCTCATTTTTTTCTTTCAATTTTGACGCTTTTGGGGACCAAGCGTCCGGTGAGGCTTCTTCGCCAAGCTGAACCTTCTTCTCCAGTGCTGCGAACATGTTGCCCATTTCTCCGCTTGAGTTCGGCGGTACTACGCCCGGGTTACCCGTCCATTGACGGATTTTGTGGCCCTTTTCGCTTTCTTTCTTCTCTTTCAAGTATACTTTGTGACCGTAGGAACAATTCAGGTCGGGTAGCTCCAGCATGGCACCAATGAGAGACTCAGCTCCAGCCATTGATTGCTGCCTGCTTGTGGCCTGTCATCTACTAAGTAGACGATAGTGCTACCTTGGCGCAACACCTTGGGCTTCCGGCTGTGAAAATACCTACATCCCTCCAGCAAGGATTCCTAGTAATTCACATGTCTACAGCTGTAAGAAACTCCTACGAGAGCATACGTATGTGTACATCCTTGATGGCCTTACATGCAACCCGCCTCTTTACCAATCAACTACCTCAACGTAGGCCGACTCGCCGGAAGAGAGAGAGAGAGAGAAAAGCAAACATCCGTCGCATCTCCAAAAGTACTAGCTCTCCCTCGCATATCTAGCATCTACCCGGAGGCTCGCCACGCACAGAGCCTATTATCAATATGTATTGACAAATGGTGCCAGCAAAGAAAGCCCTCTTTCTCCAGGGTATCCCGGCACCAACGCGCAGGCTCTTATCACAAATCAGCCCATTTGCTCCCAATCGATCGTCCCCCCAAACACCGCAAGGGAGCACAGTGGAAAAAAAGCAAAGCAAAACAAACTAAAATAAATTAATTGACCACCCTCTTCTTCATCCTTCCGGGCTCAACGTGGCCATTTTAATTCACATCAATGGCACAATCCCGCCAGCGCATTCCGCTAGTGGGGCCCAAAATGCCGACCCGACTAAGCTGGGCCCTGCTCCACTCCCCGGGCCACGGACCCTCTCCGAGCCGATCGAGCCTTTTTCTCCTGGTGCTCTCTCTCCATGCTCTCTATTCTTGTTCTTTTCCCTGTCAAATGGTTTAGCCAAATACAGAGTTGACCGATGCAAGGCTTCTGCCTCTTCATTGCTACTATACTTGTTTAAGTATAGACTACGTACCTTGTGCAGTTTTCCCAGAATGCGAGGTTTTTACAACTGTGAGTTGGCGTTAAGTGTAAAAGCGCGAGAGCTCTTATGGGCATGGAGGCAACTGTACACTTAGAGAATGGAAAGCCATTTGCTACTTGGAATTGGATTGAATAGGTAATCGTGGTCGTAAATTAGCTTCACCGTCAGCGGCGAGTATTATAAATCGAAGGGCAGTAGAATGCCTTTAAAACTACATGGCAAAAGCCACTCTTATACAATCGACGAATGCGGAAGGGGACCTGCATCGACACAGTACTCGTCAAAGGATTGGTATATCAAATCGGGAAGGGCGTCTACATAACTCCACAAGCGAAAACTTTTCGCAATATCCTGTCATCCAACATAATGACACGAACAATTGCAGCAAAAAAGCTATAAAAAAAAGCTGTCAACTTTGCCCGTTCATATCACCGATGAGAACTAGCATGCAACTCTTTTTCCCAATTCGCACGTCTACTACCCATCTGCCGGGCTAATGCCTCCAAGCTTATAGCCAAAGTTTTGAGCTTCCTATTGGTGGAGTGAGTTCTACGCCTTCCGTTGGTAATATTAATCCAGACGTCTTTCAAGCTGTGCCCGCACTCGGAACTTATCGAGAAACCCAAAGAAAGATGACACTCATTTCAGTTAGACCAATACCAGGTGCAAAAATATAGATAGGTAGATTAAAAATCGTACAGTACAGTATGTACCTCAAGTATGCAGTAGAGATCCCCAACAAGCTTCCAATTGTCATGATATGAACTCAACCGCCCAATTACAACGTACATACATATGCAGCCTCGGACCTTGTCCTCTTTACAGACAAGAGTCATCCTCAATCCTGCTAGTAGATCCAAGCATGCGTTATCCATCAGCATTTCCCCTCTTGGCCCCCAAAGTCGTCTCCTCCTTGCTGCATGCCATGCTGTCGCTCTTTATGCGTCCCCTCTTTTCGGCTTTGTTTTTTCCCAAATAATGTTAGAGACAGTTGTCCGCTGCGTCGTCTTGCAAGGCTTCCTCGTCTTCACTTCCATCCACATGCTCTCCGATTGGTGGACCTTTGCTAGCCTATGAGCAACAGAAAGAGGAAGAGAAAAGAAAACAAATGAATTAAAAATGAGAAATCAAAATGAGAATGAAACAAGGAAAAGAACAAAAGAACAAGAAAAGAAAAATCGGGCCTCCTCTTTCCCCATCACTTCACATAACTGGACCTCAAATGCGTCGGTCAACAAGTTGCGGCACCCGCTCAGTTGGAATTCGTCATGTACTCGTTCAACGTGCAATAAACCGTAGATGTTGCTCTCTATATATTGTCTCCCTCCCTGTCCACCTTGGCCTTTTGGAAATAAACGCTCACCGACGCTTTTGTGTGTTTTGATGCTGCCAACCACAATGTTTTCTCCCTTCAAAGAAACATCATCACCCCCGATCCCCTGTTTCTCCAAACAGCACATCGGTTTGACTCATCACACCTCTTCATTTTCCCAGTCCTTCTCCTGAAACATGGGCGGGTTCCGCGAACCATTCACTTCCAACTTTTCCAGAAACTCTGGTGGGACGGTCGGGATGTATTTGCGCTCCCTCTCTCTGTTGACACCTCCAAAACCTGCTCCATATGATACCAGCATGTCCGTTACTGATGGTAGTGCAAAAGGCAGCATGTAAGATGGATTCAGTAGCAAACTCTTGGGAGTGCTATCTTCGTCATCCGAGTCTGCACCACCAGGCGTTCTGATTTGAACACTTTTGGGAGTTGACTGTCCATTTCCGTTGAAATTGCTCGTTACTGGCGTAGTTGGGACGCTTTCCGACGCCTGGTTGCTCTTCTTGAGTGCCCCCTCCTTTTGGATTGCCAGAAGATATTTCATAGCACTGGGAGGTAGTCCCTTTTCACCAACTTCGGCGCGGTAATGCGTGGCTGAATGGATCAGTTGCTGAGGTGTCATTCTCTTCAGCTGTTGGAGAGTGTCGACCAAGGCCTCCAGGTCATCAGCATTCAGCGATGAAAAGCATTGTAGCCATTGCAAAAGTTGGATAACGGGGGCGAGGTGTCGCTTGGCCGCATCCATTGTGGTTTCACCAGTTGAGTTCATCTCGCCGCCTTCGTAGTGCTCCGCCTGTCTGTTGTTTGTCCGCGCCCAGTCCTCCACCATTGAGACGTTCATGCGGATTTGCATTGCCTTTGTCCTGGCTAGATACTTACGGTTCGATATGACTCTGTTGAACAGTTCGCATCCAAGCCAGTAGAGGAGTTGAGAGATGATTTGTGATGTGATGACCGAGTGAATGTCGTACAAGTCCAACACGAAGAGCGTCGACGACAGCAGTGAGGTGACATTTCTAGGGGCGGGCTTCGCCCTCTGTTTTGGAGACGGCGGACGGAATCGCTTCTCAAGAGGCTGCTCCTTAACTGTAGACTTCCTCTTGAAGATCTTCCATTCGTTTTGGAATGCAATGTCCTCGAATCCCGGGATCGTCTCGTGTTCCAACATGGCAGGATCAAGAACTTTATCCAGGCGTCTCTCGGCATCTCGCACGATTAGCACAAATATCTCATTGATGAGTTCCGCAAGCTGGGCCTGGAATGTTGTTGTTGCCTCGACCAATCCAGCATCTTTCTTGAGATAATGTAGGAGGAGCGTCGCGTTTGAAATCCAAAAAGCCAGAATGGTCATGTCCCACTGGGATTTTTCAACGACAGCGTTGATGCGAGCCATTGCAGATACGAGCAGTCTTCTCAGTAATTCTGGACTAGCATGGTAGTGTGCATATCTCGCGCTGAGGAAAATCATGTTGGCCGGGACTGGTTTCTGTGATGGCGACCGCTGGGGGGTCATCTTGGTGACCACAATATCCAGTATCCGATCCAACTCGTGCTCTTGAAAGACAAACATTTGGTCGTGGAGGCAGCGACTCCAATCGAACTCTGCTTGTTCTTCTTCAAAGTCATCCATCGGCTAGTAGTAGGGCGTGGGGGGTTAGCCAACAATACCAAACAGATATGAGAGATGGAGGAAATAAAACAAAAAAGAACTAGGACTATTCAGACATACCTCCGGTTGATCGTCCATACCAACGTTGCCCAAATCAACTTCTAGATCGCGGGCACTCTCCATCATTAGCCGTCTCCGCATTTCGTTTTCCGCCATTTCCTCCTCGAAGCGGTCCTGAGAGAAGCCGGGGTTATAGAAATCGCCCATGATACCTGCACTACCAATGGAATAACCATTGTCATGTAGGTAAAATGACATGTCGCTATCTGGGGGCACAAAGTCGAACGCCGTCCGTCCGGAAGATGTCTTTTGTTCTGAGGATGCCCCCTTGTCCAGCAACAATTTCGATATGCCCTTGTGGCGATTCGTCATTGCCCACATGAAAGGTGTCCATTGGTTGCGGTCTTGTTGATTCACATTGGCGCCTGCCTCGATGAGAGCCTCGACGACCTTCTCGTGACCCTGGAGATATAAGTTAGCTAGCTGTCACAAGCATATTTGATTTCTTATTTTGGTATTGTGAGAGCGAGACGAACAAAGCAGCTGGCATATATCAGTGCGGGGGTTCCATCGTCGTCGGGAAGATTGACGTCGACAAAGGGCTTTGCATCTCCCTCGAGGAGCTTCTTGACCTTCTCGGTGTCGCCGTTGCTGGCCGCCATGGTCAAGGCCCTTTGTAGTATGTCCTTCTTCTCCGACTCCGTCATCTTGTCGTTTGTTATAATGGCATCCTCATCTTCGAGCGCCGCTTCGTTGCGATGCGCAGCCTGGGCCGCCAGCATTTCCATGAGTCTGGCGTCGCTATCCTTTGGGCCGCTACCGACGAAGTCGTCCTGGTTCGAATCGTTCAGGGACAGATCCCCAAAGTTGAGTGGCTTTGCGAGCACCGGTGAGGTGAGAAACTGGGACTGGCCTATCCAGAAGTTAGCAAGTCCAATTCTATGCAAGGGATGCTCAGGTGTTGGCTATAAAGGGGGCCTTTGTTCTCTTCGCCACACAGCACAACCCACGACGCAACGCACCTTGCCAGCCGTCGTACATCTCCGTCTCCGGCATTGTGAATTCTCCCGCTGCGTGTCTTCGATCGTCCAGCGACGTGGGAAGATCAGCCGGAATGGTTCGCCGCTTCTCGCCGCCATTGTCGCTGCCAGAGTCCCCAGGATCCATGGTGGGAGGAGGGGCAGGACCAGAGTGTCTGGCTCATGGGATGCCGCAGCCGGTGGTCGATGCACGGGCGAGCTCGAGCTCGAGTTTGGTATTGCGATCGTATCAGAGGCCGCTGCTTGTTTGCTCGAGTAAAGGCGCGTTTCGGCCGACGTCTGGAGTCGCGTGGGAGGTGGCCTTGACAAGAGAGCGGTCTACTATCCTACCCACTTTCAACGGTTGTGAGCTATAGGTTCGTCATCGGATACGGACATCGACCGGGTGGTCCGTGCGCAATCTCCTTGGCCAACTCAGTGCACCTTATTGCACGATCAATTCCCCGTTGAAGAAAAATTAAGGTGCTCACGGACGGCTTCATCAAGCGACTGGGGAAACGATTTATCTATTTATGCTTTTTTAGATACCCTTAAACTTTTATTTTTCTCCTCTCAAAGCTTTCTTTCCTTCTTCTTTGTTTCGGTGGCTAAACCACAAATTGGTGCTAAAGTACAATGAAATTTCGTTAATGCCCAAATGCAATTTCCCGTTCTACGCCACACGTTTGCCAAAGGCTCGGAATCGCTTGACTCCTCCATCAGGTATCATGGTAAGCTTCACGTGCGTAAGGGGTACATCTCCAACCGCAGACACAAATTTGTGCTCTTGATCAGGCCCAGTCTTGCTGGGTGATACAGCCTCAACCCATCCCTCAGAGTTCGCTTCGGGCTGGCCCTCTCCTTGCCATGACAGACCGTGGACTGCAACCTTTTGCGGGAAATTTCCTCTAAAGTGCGCCGTGTCCACGACAAACTCTTGGATGTACCCTGGGGCACCCAATTTGACAATCGTCCAGTCGACGTGGTCCTTGCCTCGCGAACGCTTCGTCTCCCAGCCATCGCCCATGTCCTTTCCGCGACCTGGCAGCAGCAGGTTGTCTTTGGTACCAAAGTGCTGATCGCTGCACGAGATGGCAATGCCACCGTTTTGCGCCGCTGCAAGATCGAAAACGGCGTCCTTGTCCTCGGGGAATACAGGCACTGCGTGTCCAAACAGACGGAATCTGGCAATGCCTCCATCCGGGTACATGTTGAGTCTTACGTGGGTGTATTGCTTGTTGGTGGGCGCGTCAAGCTTCCAACCGTGCCTTTGAGTTGGCCCGCACTCTCGAATGTCGAGGATGGCTTCCCACTTGCCTCGACCACCTTTCCATGAGACGACCTCTTCGTCATTGTCACTGAAGCATCCCTCCACAGAGATGGCAGGAGCATTGTTGCCATTGAAAAAGGCAGTGTCTATTTCAACACCCTTGACGGTACCAGAAGCGACACCAAGCCGGATCACGACCCAGTCAAACTCTTCAGAGTTGTGGCGTCTAGTCTCCCAGCCGTCGTACCAAGCTCCGGTATAGACCATCTTGCCTGGCTGGCTGATGGGGGCCGTTGGGGTTAAGAGGTTGTTGGCCTCAGCAAACCACTCATCTGAGAACCCGAGAACCTTGCCACCCAATCCCGCTGAGACGAGATCTGATGCATTGAAACTCGTGTCAATAAATACACGCCCATGTCCGTACATAAGTAAATGGGAAGGATGAGCTTACCGATGCATGCTGGCCGAAATGTCTTGTCAATTTCCTCAGCACCCAGCTGTGTTGCCTTGACGGCATCGAGCTTGTACTCGACCTCATCAGCAAACGAAGACATTGTGTGAGAAATCTGAGAGTAGACAGTCTGATATGACACTAGAGAGTGAATTCGCTCGGGAGATGAGAGTTAAGAGAAGCAGAATACGGTTGATGTTGTTTTCTGTTGAAGTCGCGTGCCCCGACCGCCTGATAAGCAGAACTGCGGCCCCCTCCTTGAAGTGGACATTGCATGTGCTGTAGATAATCGGCCACCTCCGAAGCCGGCCGGCGCTGAGACCCGGCGTCAACCGGCCAAATAAGCGGGGAAGCGCATCAATCCTTCCAAAGAGTGGCTTGTATTAAGGTCTGTGGCCGTCTAACATCAGTTGGCCCTTGTAATTGTAAATTGGTGGTTGCTGTCTTATCAATGGAATGCAGCCAAAGAAGCTGGCTGATTGGAGTTTATGCTTCGACAATGTCTTCAATGAAAAGTAGTCGAGGGGATACTCGAGCGGATAGCCATAGGCGATAGCCACCCTAGATTAAGATTAAAATGATGAATCAACAATTCTATTACGTGGTGCATATATCATGAGACGAAGGATATCTTACGAGTGCTTTGGCATGTACAAGCAGCCAGTCGCGGAGCTTGGCCCCTTAGCCGCCACCTTTATTTTTTTCAGGCTTCCAGCAACGTCAATCGGAAGATTAACTATTGGTTACCGATATCGTGGACCAGATTATTTAGCCCGGCAGCCTTCAAAGATGCACACACGACCAATTGTCTTCTTCTGGGATTGCACATGGGGCCTGTAACCGTTCGTTCGTCTCCCCTCCTTTGATTAGAATGAGACAAGGCAAATGTAGGGTAAAGATGAAGGATGCGGTCCCCAGAAATGTCCGAGGCCAGCCGGTACACTCATTGCGGAGAAGAGGTGGCTGGACCTGCGCCTTCGGATCAGCGAAGCAGTCCGAGAAATTCATCTGCCAAGGCCATTTTGTAATGCTTTTGAGCACGCGCATTCTAATACGGGATGTGTCACCACTGCATTTGAGAACCTATGCTGTGCCAATACGCAATTGAAGTCCAACAGTTCCCCATACTCGCTGACGGTGGACGTACGCTCATGAGATGAAGGCACAACCGGGTTATTGCGTAGATAACACGCAGTGACACGGCTTAAGTGTCGTCTTTACTTGGACACTGCACATGGAGTTACACCTTTGCTTCCACCACCTCGTATCCACGCCCCAATGCCACTCAATTGACGTGCTGCCAAGGTACAATTATGTTTATTCGCTATCCCAGCGCCTGCTTCAGGGCTTCCCCGCGCTACGGCCCCCATATTTGGCCACCGTCGTGCTTGTGGTTTGCTAATCGACGGTGCTGATTGGTCCAACTTCCCGATTGCTGTTATCTATCGTATTCCCCACAGCGGCATCCTAAGCCGAATCGGTGCTTAAGCCTGGTCGCGCGGCCATGACGTGCTGCAATCGGAATCTACATCAATAACTCGTCACTGATCCGAACTGCCTTCATCTCTCTTGATTGCTGCTCATTTTTCTCCTCTTCATCCATCAATACCCTGTGATCAGCCGGCATAGCTCAAAGTAGCCAAGGGCAAAAGAATACCAATCAGACTTCCAGCTCCAGTTGCTGGATCATCACGGGACTTGTTTTCCGAAGCTTTGCAGCAGGACTGCGTCGGAGCTCTGTCCGCTAGCCTATCAAAACTTTCCATCCTTCAATATCATTTATTTGTTTTACATTATCAGATCGACGTCATGGCGAGCGCTACGGGCTTACCAGAACGATTTCCCAACGGCTCCGAGGAGGGGCTGGCAGGCCGTGAGACTGAGCCGCTTCTTGGCCGCCCTGGAGATGTTGCGCAAGAAGAGGGCAAATCAACTCTCAATAACCTGGTCCTAGGTATGTACCTCCTCGAGATTGCATCACCACACATAGATCGGACGTAAGCTTCCCTAACACGAAGCAAACAAGGCACTGGCATCATCGCGCAGATAGGCATCTGGCTCCTCGTCGTGCTCGTCTGGGCTAGCGTCTTCACCAAGCCTCTCATCCTCTTCTCGGGACACCCTCTTGCCCAATCCTTCGCCGTGCTGGTGTTGGTACAGTCGGTTCTGTTCCTCCAGCCCACCCATACAAGCGATCAGAAGCGCCTCGGGCAGCGTGTCCACGGCCTGCTGAACCTTATGGCATTCCTCTCCCTCGTCGCTGGCGTTACCATCATCGAGTACAACAAGGAGAAGAGCCACAATGCGCATTTCCACTCGGCGCACGGCTATCTCGGCGTCATTACTTCCATCGTGCTCCTGCTGCAATACCTTGTCGGCTTCACCATGTGGGCTACGCCGAAGCTGTATGGAGGCGAGGACAACGCCAAGGCCATCTGGAAGTACCACCGGTACAGCGGATACTTTGTTTTGCTGCTTCTACTGGCTACCATCAACAGTGCGACTCAGACCGACTATAACAAGAACGTGTTGAAGGTGAAGCTCTGGGCTACCCTAAGTTTGTCGGCTCTTGTTGTTATTGGGATTTTCCCCCGGATTCAAAAACAGAAGCTGGGCTTCAGCCGGCCGAGTGTGTCGCTTTGAGTTGGTCGAGAAGGTCCGGTCTGTAGTCCAGCCAGCTTGTTTGAAAAAGTGCTTCGTTATCACCTGGTCATTGCAATGTAATTGAGCCTCTCTTCTCTTTTCAGTTATGTAGTTATACCTACACAATACATTTGATGCAAATTGGCCAAGATTCGTCCATTGATTAAAGTACCCAGTCCTAGGTGCATGTGCTCGTATATCAATCTTGTGCATAGAATACAAAGCACCACAGTTTCGGATAAGAAGAAAGATACCACAACAGCTCAGCCATGTAATGGGAGCGCATTTCTCGTCGAGAACCGCAGCAGTTTATTTTTGGCCATGTTAAGCTTTACAATGCCGAAGCACGAGGATCCGCCGACCCTGGACTCTAGTATGAAGAAAAGCAATTTCAATGGTGGAGTCTCTGGCAAGGAATTGACAAGGAAGCCTCAACTGAGCCGGATTGCAGTGCTAATATTACCGGACTCCCGAAAGTGATGACGAGTGGAGAGTCCTCGTTTAGGTCCAGGTAGGACTTTTCCATCCCCGGTAGCCATTGTCTTCGGGAAAAAAAAAAGAAGGAAAATAAATAAGAAAAGACTCCAAGTTTTCGGCTTGAAGGCTGGGAAAGGGTCCCGAAGTGGAGCGCAGAGTGCGTTGTCTGGAAAACTAGACCTGTTCCTGACCCGTGGTGATCTAAGATCGCCATTTCTGTGGAATTCGGGTACGATTCATTGTTGATCTCGGATACGCGGAGACGGCGCAGTGGTTGACAGCGTTTGGAAGAGTGCGGATTTGCACATGTCAGTTGGTGTAGCGACGAGTCAATACAGGCGATTCCGAGCAGCAACAGCTAGCATGCCTCTAGGCAGGGCTTAGGTCTGTTGGCTTTAGAACCAAACGTACAAGTGCCCGTTGTCTTAAATACGACTACCTAGCTAGGTACTCCGTAGTAGGTATTGTAGATATCTTACCTTTGGCCTCTCTCTTGTAGAGGTCTTCCATACTAAGCATATCAAGGCTGCCGCCTCACGGCTTGCTTGCCAATAACTATGACTACAGGCATAATGTCAGTTTACCTCTAAATCGTCCATTCGCAGCGCCGTGCATTTGCATTAGCCATTAGCAGGCTCAGAGCGACACGTGTCTCCGTCGTGTCCACTTCCCCAATACGGATTCGGCCAGGATCTCCAATGGTGCGCCACCGACGCAATAGCGGGCCGCAAATTCACTCTCGACGTCACCCACCCGTTGGGACAAGGCGCCTTCCCGGTTTGTCGCCCGTACGGGCACAGTACGGTAGGTGCTCGTACTGGGGGTTTCGGTTGTTGCTGATGACAAAGAACGGACGCCTTTTGGACCACGACCAGCCGTGATCTGGAAATAGAAAGCTGTCGATTGTGGCGTCAAGTTTCCATGGCTCTCTCCAGTTCCCGAGTGCCGGATGCTTAATGTCTGTTTTCAACTGCCCGCTCCCTCTCCCCATCATCTCCTGCAGCAACATGTCACATCGTACCCAACATGCTAAGGGTTAAAATAGGTGAACAAATTGCCCGCCAGCGAGTGCGGCTGAACCTCCCCCTTTGCTACCACGACAAGTTGCTTTAGTAGCGGGTTACTACGTCATTGCGCTCCTGGACGCTGTGCTCGTTATACCTCAGAATGCCGCATCGTGACAAAGAGCTCGGGTAGCGGCATTGTGGCTTTCGCGATATCGGTCTCGTCGCATGTCTCAGTTGTAGCTTGGGCCGGTTTTCTCATTTCTTAGGTATGTGGTGGATGGTGGCGTGATGCGGTGAAGACAGACAGGAAGCCCCCAAGGGCCCGGCAAAGAGCATATCCACGCCGCGAGCAAGCGATTCCGCTGGCACGGCAAGCGGGTCGTTTGCCAACATTGAAATGAGCTATGTACGGAGTACTGTGGATACAATCCAGTGTCCCGGACAAGTTGCTCCCGCTTCTCTGGGATTTTCGTCGAAAGACGGAGAACTATTATGTACCTGACGGGGCCGTCGATGAAAGGGCCTTCCGAGTACATAGATTACGAGGTTTGGGTTGCCACAATCTCATATTACATGTACGTGCGAGTCAGCGAATACCTTGATTAGTTGCACAGCCCTCCAAGGTCCAGCTGGATAGTCGCACCGGAGTGGAAATATGTAGAGATACTCGAGTGAGCTTGCTCGTGCTTTAGGGGGTGAGCCATCGTCAGAGTTTCGCCCTTTCGTTTCTCCCTCTCCCTAGGCCACTCTCACCTTTCGATGGCTCGGACCGATCACCCTTCCGCCAGGCTGTATTGCATTGCATCCAGTGCCAAGGTGGGTTTGGTTTTGGCAAGTTTTGCATCACCTTCCCTGCCACTTATATCGGTGGCCGATTCTTTCTAGCGGATAGACATCATCCACTCCCCACCGCTACGGCCTACAGGGGGGTTCTTTGAAGTATCCCAAAGACAGATAGTTTGGCATCCTATTAGGTGGGTGGGTATAGAGGCCGCGGACGCAGGCGAATGGTCCGGGCTTTGGGTGGTCATAGGAGGTGTCTGTTTAGCTGTCTGGTTTTCCTTTTTGTTCCCGTTTGCACGATGCCTGTGTTTGGGTGAGGAATACTTGTACATGTCAGTGGCGGTCTCAAAGAAGGGCATGGAGTTGAGTCGAAATTCTCGCTTACCATGTATACTAGGTTTGGAACATTATGTCGGGGATTTTTACCAATTATAACGGACTAAAAATAACCTCATTTGGCGAAGAGCTTGCATCCGAAAAAAGAAGTCTACCTACAATCTACCTACACTTACAACATACAGGGTCAAGCAAGCCCGGACAGTCAAGGTATGTAGTCGTGGGAGCGGGGGGGTTTCGGTTGTAGCTGCGCACAAGCGTTCAGGTGACCTCGGGGGAGGTGACGGAAATGGAACAGCAATATGAGATGATAATGAGTTCGCCAAGGATCACAAAGTTTCTTCTCTCTCGATAAAAGAAGGGATAATACGAAGTATTTGCGGCTGCACCGGGAGACAGCCTTTTGCCCTGCTTCACAAATGACGTTGCTGCAGTAGGCCCCGTGGGGGAGATGTCACATACTGACTGGGGGGACTTTTTGTTTTGCTCTTACGAAGCCGGGCCTGCCTGTGTCTTGTTCCCATTTGTGAGACATGATTGTACGGTGATGCGCCGTCATCAGACGTACAGAGCAGAAGTTGAGAGCGTCGCCGCCAACGGATCAGCGGTCGATCTGTCGGTCTATTCCCCGGAGGGCATCGCATGTTGTTCGCGTTGCACGGAGGACACGAAACATGTACAGTATCATTTGAGGTCTGCATGATTACATGTACGTCACAACATGGCCTGACAAACTTCGAGTGGCCGTGATTCGTCCCTCGTACCCGGTGTTGGCCATCCCCTGCAGGCGGTAGCACGGCGTCGGCCTCGCAGCCTTTTGGCCAGGATCCATTGCATGAATGCCCTTTTTCTTCCATGGATGGTGGAAGGGCATAGGCACATGTCATGTACACACAAGCAGGGAGCGGCCGGATAGGAGAGCCGCTGGACGGGGACCAGTCAGCTGTGGCAAGCATGGAATACAGGATTGCAACACAGCATGAGGCATTGCTCAAACGGCCAGTTCGGAGCTTCGTTGGATAGGGCTAGTCCTGGCTGGCGTCCGGGGAAAGGTTGCGTGGATGTGGATGCTAGTCGAGATCAATTTGCAGGGCTCGAGATTGCTGGTACGGTGCTCCGTACGAGTGCAGGCAAGCTCGCAACTTGGCTACATGTGCTAAGAGATCCATGGATGGCATCGAAGCTTTTTTGTTCGGCGCCGCTGTGGTCTGTAAGCTGCTAGCGTGCAATCTGCGTAACCCACGCGCCCCTGGCTGGTGGACCCGAAGTCGAGCTGCCTGAGCGAAGGGTCAAGGAGGCCATCGTGTCGTTCGTCTTTGATTCCCGAGGGATCGAAAGGCACAAGTGCTCATGTTCCTTGTTCGGACACGCCACCACCTGGTACCCGTCCCAAACATGTACAAGCACTGGCCTGGCTCGTAACCTCCTCGCGATGGTACCAATCTTCCATGGCGGTGCCACTCTACCTGGCACTTTCGAGGGTAAGGTATCGACATGTATCCTCAACCGCATGTAAAGCATCAGCATCGGGCCGCACCATTGCATCGATACGGCGGTCAGCATTTTAGGCCGGACCGAGCAGACAGCTGTTTTGACTCCATGTACATGTCCTACACCACTGGCGCTGAAGCCTCAACTCGCAGCTGGCTGACAGATAGCTGTATTACCAGAGGCATTTCGCATTCAATGTTGCTTTAAGTGCCCATGTTTCACCTATCTACCTGGACACTTCCCATACGAATAGCTGTGGCACATTCAAGGCCCTGAAGCGAGGGAGTGGTTCAACAGGCGCCACGCAGCCAGCCAGCCGGTTCTGTACATGTACCTGCACTGTAGTCATCCATCCGTTGATATGGGATGGATCAATGTCTTCACGTTGTCAGCGGTCAGCGGTCAGCACCGTGCTGAGGTTACATGTAGGCGTTGCGTGAGCTGCCGTTGCTTGGATACACGTTGTACCTATGGCATCGACGACAGGTCGAGCGTACATGTATGCAAATGTGAATATGGAACAGACACGTCGACAACATATGCCCCGTTTGCAGGCAAGCGTGGAAAGCAGCCCGCCCTGAGGTAAGTCCCGTTAGCCTGGAAGCCAAGCCGGAGAGCTGAGATGCTCTGTACTCCGTAATTTGTGTAGACAATCCGCGTGGCCGCAATTTAGAGTTGGGGGAAAAGGCACGCGAGCTTCATGATGCCCGTTAGCACGACCAAGACCCTCTATCGCTTTGTACGAAACGGCCTGGTACAAACGCTCGGAGTACTTGCTAACTTCAAGTTATTCAGCACGAATTTAGGTGCGGCTACAGGCACTGCTAGCGTGTTCAAGCGGCTTTAGTACTTGTACGAGCACATTGATCTGATCCATTGAATGTATCCACGAACGTGCTTCATATGTGTTTGGCGTTTACAACCCAAGGCGTCGGTTCAGTCCTGCGTTTCCCAGCGCAAAGGACGAGGAATACATGTGCCTGCACCGCAAGCACAGTACAGGTAAAAAGGCAAAATCCCAGATAGACCGTGGTAATGAAAAAGAGAGAAAAAACCTCTTCACACCCCTTGACGTGGGGCTTCCTGGGATCGCTGGATTGGTTCACCGGAAGGGCCTTGGGGGTTGGCTGGTGCTTAGCGGGCTCTTAGTGAATAAGGCCTGGGCTGATGATGAACGCCAGCCTCCAGTTCCTGTCGTCACCTACGTCATAATTTTTTTTTTCGCTCCCCTAAGCGGCCTGGCACTGGCCCTTGCCGGGGGGTGTTTCTGGGGGGGCGATGACATGGGGGGTTTTGTGGAAGCGCTTTTTTGGCATGCAGAGCCAAACTTTGCCCGCCAAAACCAGACCATGCAATCCATCCAGTTTCTGCGCCCCCGTCGCGAGCCTCTGCAGCGTTCTCCAAGTTTTGTTTCCCCCCAAAGAAAAGGTCTCCGGCTCTGCAGCAGGCCTGGACCTGGAGAGCCTAAGCAGCAGTAGTGACAGCAGTACTGTCCTGTACGGAGCAGTGGCGGCTGCAGCAACCAGCACGACTGGACGGAACAGTAGCAGCAGCACGACTTGGCTCTCCCTGCCATCTCCCCACCCCTGCCCTGGCCCGTGGCTCGACTACCGCAACGATACCAGAACTGCACTGCACTGCTTGTGCTCGCTATACCTGCCGCACCGCTGTGACGTGTGAGGAGGCCCTACAGGGAAGCACAACCACCACCAGCACTGCGCTTTTCCCGCACCAGACACTTGACCTCCAAACCTCTCCACACAACCAACCCGTTTTGCCCGGCGTAGCGAGAACACGAGAGCGAAATAGAAGCCGAGGCCAAAGGGGAACGGAGACAAGAAGCAGGAAACAAGACACAGAGTGAGAGAAAAGAAAGAAAAAGCAAAGAGACAAAGAAGGAAGCAGAGTCACGAGTCACAGACAGAAACAGAAAGGCAGACGACAGATAGTCTGAAGAAAGTAAGTGAGAAGAGCCGGGCAAGGAAAAAAAGAAGCAGGAAAACAAGACAGGTAGACGGACAGACGGCCAGTCATTCAGTCAGTCAAAAAGACCAGACACCTGCAGAGAGACCACGCAGACGCCAGAAACAGATCCGAGAAGCCATCACCGCACTGGCTGGCCCCTCCTCTCCGCCTTTGCTGTCCTCTCGCCAGTTACCGCTGCCGTCGTCTCTGAGCCTTTCCTGCACCTTGGATGCTGCCGCCCTGTCCTGCGTATGCGGCATCCCACTTGCCGACCTGACCTGAGAGATCCACCGCCATCCCTCTTCTGTGAGAAGAGGCATGAGGCATGCCACGCCAGAGCTACTCGGCCGAAAAGAGAGCCCTGTTCTCGCCCTCTCTCCCCATCCCGGCGTCTTCTTCCTCAACCACAACCTCGACTGAGACTCCGTCTCCAACCTCGACGGCCTCCTGGACGCGTCGACTGGAGCTGCCCACCGGACCCTTTACTCATTGGACCGTCGATGATACCGACCCGACCGCTGCGAGAAATGGACGAGTGACGGCCAACACCTCTCAGGATCGATATGCGCATGCCAAAAGCGCAATGGCAGCACGCCGCTCTAGCTATCCGTTCTCTTCCTCGAACCCAACTGCAGACTCGACTGCCTCTAGGCCCTCGGTTTCGCGGCGTATAACTGATGTGAATGGCCGGGGTGCCAACGATGATGACTACCAGGATCAGGATCATGACCAGGAGCAAAATCAGTACCAGAACCAGAACCGGGACGATGTTGATGTCAATCTCCATGTCGATACCAGTGCCAATGCCAATGCCCACGCCAGTGCCAATCTCGACGCAAATGTCGATGACGAGCACGACAGCCATACTTCCTCGCCCACTACTCTACGCTCCTCTGTAGTCAACGGTTCCGCAGAAGGTGAGACGCCGACGGCTGAGGGACCAAACCAATCGCAGCAGAAGCTTGTTGAACATCGGGGAAAGTTGATCCGCCATCTGGAGCTGCGGGACATCTCCGCTCAAGAACTGCCCTTAGGCCAGCCCGATAAGGCCCGCGTGGCACCCATTCTCGAGGATGCAGTCCTGAATTCCCCCTATCCAACCTCCTCTGCCTTTACCACCACGTCGACCGAGTCTGGAAACACAATCCGAGGAGGCATGACCCCGGCACCCATCGCTAGCACTCCGTCGTACCCTTTCCCTCGGATGGCTATGCCGCCTGGAAGCCTTGGCCCGTCAGGTTTTTCTCAACCCCCCACTCAACCTTCTCCTGCATCAGGTTACTCCCGTTCTCCCCAAGCGATAGCCTTTGAGCATCGCGGCGTGCTCGATAGAGTCCTATCAGAGACGTCCACACCGGCTTCGGTTTTGAATTTTCAACCGGGAGCCACCCCGCAACCCGATAACTTTGATTTCCCCACCCCTAATCTATATGATCTCTCGTTAATGCTTTCCGCAGAGCCAGGTCTCGACGCCTGGTGGAGCACTGTCGTCCAGGTCATGCGAGAAGTGTACAAAGCCGAGCGTGTGACGTTGGCAATCCCGGCCGATACCACTGACATTGAGAATGTGCCGTGGGGACAAAAGGCTACATATAATGAGCATGAGCAGGATGACCTCAGTATGGAATACTTGGCGAGGGGCACCAGTGCGGTGCAAAGTACGGAGAACGACGCCGCCGATGATGTCGCCGCCAGCCCTACCGCCGGCACGCCCGTGGACGGGCCAAAGCGACCTGCTTTCGCAAGCCGTCACTCGTTTACCAGCTTCGAAGAAAATAAGGAGAGGTCGCAGGACGGACTGGTAATGGCGGCACCTCGTCGGCCTGCATACTTGACGAGGAGCCAAACACACTCTGCGTCCATCCACACAGCGGCAGCACCCGAAAATGACCACGCCAAGCTTAACAAGAGCACCCTGGAGCAGCATGACTGTATTGAAGAAGAGCAACAACAGCAACAGCAACAACGGGACATTCCTAGCTGGGAGGCGTCTTTTGCGGCCAAATACAACGGCCAGGGCAGAGTCCTCCCGGTTCTCCAGGCTCTCGATTATGAAGCCGACCCCCTGATTGACAACACCGGCGTCATGAGAGTATTAGAGCGTGGGCGACCTGTAGCTTTGACGAGGAACTATCCTTACTTGGCGCCAGTGGCTCCGTCTGTACCGCCGATGGGTCAGACAGGTGTCCTCAGGTCTGGTCCAAGAACACCCGGCCAAGAGCTACCGAAGAGACCAAAGAACAAGAGATCCGACTCTGCGACCAAGCTGTCGTCCTTCTTTTCCGGCGCCACTGGTGCCACCCGTGCCTCCATCAGAGCTAAGGTTCATTTTGGTGACACCATACTAGATGACGACAGCCCACGGCCGCCCACCCCCAAATATGAAGAGTACGAGCAGACTCCTCCATCGCCATGGTCGCAATCTCCGGCCCCATCACCCGCAGTTAGACCTGATCCAAAGGAAAACCCCTTCTTCACCGATGCCACCGTTGACGAGGAGTCTTTCAACCCCGATCCCACGCCGACAGACTACACCACACTGCGCCCTCCCGAAGCCATCGGCGTTGATCACTCATGGACGGTTTTACACATACCCCTTTCGAACGTCTTAGCCTCTAAGCTACAACCCCACCCATTCAAGCTTGATGCCACGACAATGCACCAGAAATCGCATTCGAGAAGCAGCCAATCACCAGAGAGTACTCATCGCCAGCATCTTACGGAACCCGAGACTCAGAAGAAAGACAAGCCTGCTCCAATTGCTATTCTGTCCATTCTGAGCCCCGTCATCCCATACCCGGCCAATCTACGGCACTCGCTAGAGCATCTTGCACCACATCTCGCCACGTCCTTTTCGCTGTCTCGGCACTATACCAACCTCGAGACAGAACTTGCCGGGCTTAAGCGTAGAAGACCATCTACGGCTGGATTTGGTGCAGTCTCGGCATATGGGCGGCCCATTGAGAGCGCTGCGTATCTCGCGGCTGACGAGACGGCTGTTTTACAGCAGTCATTAGCGGGGAGCATCACCAGCCCAAGCGACTATTCTGGCATTTCTAAGAGTACAACTGACTCCCCGACCGGCACTCCAGGATGGGATTCAGGGGCTCTGGTCTATCTTGCGGAAAGACGGCAGCCTGCAGCGAGCCCAGCTGGCATCTCCCAGTCCTCGGGAGGTTATTTCAGCAGCAAGCTTGCGAGGCAGAACTCACAGCGGTCTCGAGCTGGGTCCAAGGACGACCCTTCGGGAGATGTGCGACCATCTCGCTTGTCTGGTAGCAAAGTTCCTCAAACTCCCCAGGCTGCCATGATGGACACCGACGAGTTGGCAGATAGGCACACAGGGCGCTCTGATGAGCCTAATCCAAGAGACGTCCACTCCCGTAATAGCTTGGATGGGAGCGTTGACCTGGACCCCTTGGCGGGTGATAGATACCCTGAGTCTTTGAAACTCGAGCAGGGCCCGTTCAAACGAAGCCACACCCTTCTGCACAGTTACGGGGCAGACTTTGCTTCGACGTTCCAGTCCCTGCCCCCTGGCGCCAGTTTGCCCGGCCGGCCCCCGCTGGCGTCTAATGTAGGCGTTCTGCATAGGAGCAGCTCATTTATCGCCTCAGCTGCCGACATGCCACCGCCTTCTGACAAATTGAAGGGCCTCATCCTGGACTCGCTACCCGCCCAGGTATTTGTTGCGTTACCGCAGACGGGCGAAATCGTCTGGGTCAATAGCCGTTACCTGTCCTACCGAGGACAGACAGTAGCAGATTTGTCCGCAGATCCCTGGGGCAGCATCCACCCAGACGAGCGCGATGAATATCTTAGCGCCTGGAGTCACTCACTGCGAACTGGAGAGCAGTTTTCTAGTACCGTGAGAATCAAGAGGTTTGATGGCGCTTATAGGTGGTTTTACGCTCGCGCTGTGGCTTCCAAAGACAAGCGTGGGGCTGTTGTGCAGTTCTTAGGTTCATATCTGGATATTCATGAGCAGCGCATAGCAGAAATCAAGGCCGCCCGCCAGCAGGAAGTTGAGGCCTCGGAAGCGAAGCACCGCCTACTGGCCAACCTGATCCCGCAAATCATATTTACTGCGACTGAAGAGGACGGCGTGACATTTGCAAACGAGCAATGGCTGTCTTACACCGGCCAGAGCTTTGATGATGCACTGCGCCTGGGTTTCATGGATTTTGTCCATCCGGAGGACTTGGCCAGGTGTCGCATTCCTTCTTCGCAGCCGACATCTCCACCGTCATCATCAAACCGAAAAGACAATGGGAGCTCTGTTTCTAGTGACACCACAAACACACCTACCGGCGCAACAAAGGAGCGTCTGGCGCAGTCTCAGGGCCATGGACGAAAACCGAGCAAGCAAGTTGACTCTGGCAAAGAGACTGGCTATCAGCTTGCCAATCCCGAGATAGCAGAGCTTGCCAAAAAGGGCGTCATCAAAGTGGGTACAGACTCCAATGGCAGACTATCCTACACGACGGAAGTACGGCTGCGTTCAAAGACTGGAGAATATCGATGGCATCTCATTCGCTGTGTCGAGATTGACACCATTGACTTTGGTAGCGGCGCGAGTTCCTACTTTGGCTCTGCCACGGATATAAACGATCACAAGCTTCTTGAGGCGAAGCTGAAAGAGGCCATGGAATCAAAGGGCCGTTTCTTGAGCAACATGTCTCATGAGATTCGTACACCCCTTATAGGGATATCGGGCATGGTGAGCTTCTTGCAGGATACCACGCTCAACGAAGAGCAGCGCGATTACACCAATACCATTCAGACTAGCGCCAATAGTCTCATCATGATCATCAACGACATCTTGGATTTGTCGAAAGTAGATGCGGGGATGATGAAGTTGAGATATGAATGGTTCCACACACGTTCGCTCATCGAAGACGTCAACGAACTCGTCTCGACCATGGCCATTTCCAAGCGACTTGAGCTCAACTACCTGGTCGATGCGGATGTCCCAGCATGGGTGAAGGGAGACAAAGTTCGGATACGCCAGGTTCTCTTGAACGTCATTGGAAATGCCATCAAGTTCACGTCGGAAGGAGAGGTTTTTAGCCAGTGCAGAGTATACACTGGGGACGACTCAACTGCGGGAGAAAACGAAATCATGCTCGAGTTTATCATCACTGACACTGGTCGTGGCTTCTCTGAAGAAGAAAAGGCTCTTATTTTTAAGCCTTTTAGCCAAATCGACGAGAGTAGCACTAGACAGCACGGTGGCAGCGGACTTGGTCTGGTTATTTCAAGGCAGCTTGTCGAGCTCCATGGCGGCAAGATGGAGGGGACGGCAGTCATGGGCCAGGGCTCAACCTTCACATTCACGGCTCGCTGCTCGCTACCTACGCTCGAAGACCGGCCTATAATGCCAAGTAGTCCAGGGTCAACCGCGACACTCGTGCCTCCCACATCTGCTGAGGTCGGGCAGCGTGCCCATGATGCGATGCTCCCTCCCACCCCAGCCCAGCGTGGGCACGTCGGGGATGCGGCAAGTCTTGTGGGTGGCGAATTCATTTCTCCTGGAGGCGATTCGACGGGGAGCTCTAACCAATCTCCTCACTCTGGTCAGTCACTTGTTACCGATCGGTCGTCCATTACATCAATGAATACGGGGCTGGCTCGTTTTAGCGAGGCTGCTAAAGCTAGCGGCCAAGACTTGTCACAAATGAAGCTTGAAATGCCATCCGATCGGAGCTCAGCAGCACGGAGCGTAACGCCAGACAAGAAACTGCTATCTGAAATCTTCCGCCCGCCAATGTACTTGATACTGATTATCTGCCCGCAAACACACAGCCGTGAAGCTACTACACAGCACATCGAGATGACACTACCAAAAGATGTACCCCATCAGATCACCGCTGTCGCCAGTGTTGAAGAGGCCGAAAATTATATTGGCGGCGATGACCCGATCCGGTTCACTCACATTGTCATTAACTTGGGTGAGGCCGAGGCGGTCATCAGCGTCATGGACCAGATTACCAAGTCCCAGAAGATGGATAGCACAATGATCCTGATTCTCTCGGACTCGGTCCAGCGTCAGGAAGTGATGAAATACTCATCTGGCACCAAATACGAGCAGCTTTTCTCGGATAATTTGGTCAACTTCATTTACAAGCCCGTTAAGCCATCGCGCTTTGCAGTTATCTTCGACCCGGACAGAAGACGGGATTTGAGTACCGACTGGAATAGATCGACCGCACAACAAATGCTTGAGAGCCAGAAGGCAAGCTCCCTAGAGCTTCAAAAGCGCATGGGCAACAAAGGTTTCAGAGTTCTGTTGGTGGAAGACAATCCGGTCAACCAAAAAGTAATGACCAAGTTCCTGATGAAGGTTGCTGTCGATGTAGACATTGCAGTCGACGGAGAGGAGTGTCTCGAAAAGGTCTTTTCGAAACCTCACAACTACTACTCTCTCATATTGGTGAGTTAATGAGAGCCCTCTGATTTTTGACAAAAGAAGATGAACTTGTTTGACTAACGTCTGTCGCAGTGCGATCTCCACATGCCACGCAAAGATGGCTATCAAGCCTGCCGAGAGATTCGGCAATGGGAACTTGGGTATGGCTTTCCTCAGATGCCAATCATTGCGCTTTCCGCAAACGTAATGTCGGACGTTCAAGAAAAATGTGCTGCAGCGGGATTCAGCGACTATGTGACGAAACCTGTGGACTTCATCGATCTCAGTAGAGCGATGGCCAGATTCTTCTAACCTCCGGGTTTCTCTTCTTCTTTACCCAAAATTGGTTTTCGTTCTATTTCAAAACCCACCGTTTGTGTTGGGGAAATCTCATGAACGAAGGTTGGCGGCTTGTAGAGGATGTACATGCAACAATTTCCTCTCATGAGCCTCTTCTTCTTCTTTTCTTCTTCTTCTACTGCATCATCGCCATCATCATCATCATCATTCTCCTCCTTCTTTATCTCTTCATCTTTCTTTCTCGCTCTTCATGACTAACCCGAGACATTCGAGCAGTCATGTGGCATCACGTTCTACAGCAGGCAAATCACGTTTTGAAGGGTTTTCTTAACGGGTTTCTTGGCCACTTGGCCGCCTGGTCCACTCTATGGATGCTTTTAGTGTGAGATGGAAAGATGGGAGGGTTGAATTCATTTTGACTCCCCTTCTTTTTAGCTTTTCTTTTCCTTTCTTAATCTTTTTTTGTGGAATTTCTTCTCCTCTCTGTTCTTAGTGCTGGCATCAGATTGGCAAGACAGGGGAAAAGACTAGGGAGGCAATTATTCAGGGCTACGGCTGGGAAAGACTGGGCAAAGGGTTAATTAAATAAAGGACAGGATTGGACGGAGCTCGTTTTTTCTCTTTGGGCTGTCTTTTATATTTCTTTTTCTGGGGGGAGTGGACATGTTGGTCAGAAGGACCGCTTTGTATGCGCAATGGGGCTGTGTGTTGTTGTTTTCTACTCTGTTCATATTACGGGATTATATTCTAGCCTCTCATCCTTCATCCGTACCCTTTTTCTGTTCTACTTCTTTTCTTCTCTTTCTCTTTTCCACTTCCTGACCTCGTCGATTTGCGTGCTGCATGCTTGCTTTGATTTGGTCGTTTGTATTAATTTGATTATTGACATTGCCATTTTTTTTTTTGAAAAATAGGACGGAGGAAAAAGGGGGCCTTTCCAATACTACGATCTGAAGGGAGGAGGGAAGGGACATGGACACTTGGTTTCTTTCTATAAATGGATAGGGGAGTGGGACAAAAGGGTGGAGAAGAAAAACTACATTTGCTGGATTATATTGGCTTTGGGGGAATTTTTTTTTTTTTTTTTTTTGCAGCATTCTCATGCGCTTTGGGGACAAGGGATGTTATGGTTAATAGCGATGCGATGGTAACAGGCGGCCGAGAAGAAGTAAAAAGGTTGGTAGCAAAAATGCCATAGGCAGAAGGATATGGTTAGCAAAGACTAGCATCAAAGTTGATATTCGTTCAAGACTGACTGCCCAAGTATCTCAACTGTGTCTGATATTTGATGTTTCGATACGGCGTAATGTCAAAATCAAAGCCAAAGCCAATGTATTTCATAATCAATCTAACAATAAAGCAACACGCTTTTCGTTTCCCACTCAGAAATGCCAGACAATCCAGTCTATATAGGTATCAAATCACCCAAAACAAAACAGTCCCAAAGTCGCTTCGTCTGACACGTTTATGACACGTTAACCCAGCCCAATACAACGACAACAGTTTCTACTTCTTCTGCTTTTTAGTATACGCTTCCTCTAATACTTTTGTCCTCTCTTTCAACCTCATCTAGATCCTCTGCCTCGGGCTCATGGTCCGCAGCGCTGGCATCTGGCCCAGGCTCATCTCCAAGGCGGTTAGCTAGTGCACTGCCAGATTTGATTCGAGAATCCAGGGACGCCATACGGGTGCGACGAATGTTCTCATCGTCCGATGCCTCGGTGTCACTACCCGCAATCGAGGGGTGGCCTGAGTACGTCCCGCCGGCATCCCGTCCAACGTGCAGATACTTGATGTGGCGTATGCGATCCTCCGCGGTGATGAAGGACGGCGTGCCGTCGGGAGAGGAAACGATCTCGTCAAATGCCCGAGCCGCTTCGATGTTAACCTTCTTCTTGGATTCTTTCGGGGGTTCTTCACTGTCGCCCTCATCAGAGCTGTTCGATACATGGCGTTGCTGTCTCCTCATGGCAAGATTCGTGGCAGAGCCTTTTTCCTCGTGCCGCGGCACATGTGCTGCCCTCTGATGGCTACTGTAATGAGCGGCGTGGTTGCAACCATTCGGGCAGCCTCCCCACCGGCGAACGGCAACGAAGCTCTGAGTATGTTGCAGCTTGAAATCATCCTTGGCATCCTTGGCATCCTTGGAGCCCTCGCCATTCTTGGTGCCGTCACCATTCTTGTCTTCGCCGTCTTTTTCCTTGTCCTGGATAGCCTGTGTTCGCTCCCTTCGTAGCTCGGACCAAGTGCGAAGCTTGTTCTCCAGATTGTACTTTCCATTGTCTTGCTTGCGCATGATGAGAAACTCGCAATGGTTAATGTTTCGAAGGTCCTCAAAATATTCGACAGAGAAGTGATACCACTTCATGAGGAAGACACGAGACATGAGGCCGTGAGTGACTGCACACTATTCGTTAGACGGAATCACAGCGAGAATGCTACGGGATGAAGCTCACCTAGGACACACACGCTGGCAAAGTCGTCCTCGCCAAACTGGCGCCACAGGCTCTCGTTGAAGCCGCTAACCCGATCGTAGGCATCCGCAGCACTCTCTCCGTCGGGGATGCGGTAGAAGAAGTGGCCGTAGTCCGCCCTCTCCTGCCACATGCGCTCCATCTCGGTGCTGCATGGCTGGAAGTTGCCAAAGTCCTGCTCTCGTAGACGAGGCTCCTCGTAGACCTTGATGCTGGACCGACGGTAGGGCGAGGGTTCGGGGTCGTCGGACGTCAAAGTGGCCAAGATGCCCTCTGTGGTCTCTCGTGTGCGACGATACGGCGAGGTGAAGAAGTGAAGGGTGTCGTCTGGGCGGAGCAGCTTGCGCAGGCGGCGACCGGCCTCGTGGGCCTGGGCCCAGCCATCTTGCGTGAGCTTAACGCGGTGATCGGGGATTGTCTGGTGTATCTCGCGGTTCTCTGGACGAGGGCGGTCAGTTATGGCTTGGTCAAGGGCACAGAGGAGACTGGGGAGAAAGGCCTACTGTTGCCCTCGGATTGAGCATGGCGGATGAGAATAATCAGCCGCGGCTTTGCCATGGTCGCTATGCGCACGTGCGGGTATCAAGTAAGATGCTGAGGCTCAAGATGGGAGGTCGAAATCGATCGATCGATCCGCGGGACTGGCAGATATTAATAGATGGTGGTGGGGTGAATGGTGTGTTTTGTAAGCGTTGGTGGGATGATAGTTTGGATGTTGCTGTGTTTCGAACTACTGGCGTCAAACACCCCTTGTCCCGAAATCGGCTCCCAGAGGAAAATCAGGACTGGGCGAAGGAGGCAGAAGAAGATGAAGTAGAGGGAGATGAAACAAAAAGACGGCCAGAGGTTAGAAGACGGTGAGTCGTTAAAAGCGACAGAGGCTGGGTTGCGGTAGATGGTTGGTTATGGTAGATGGGTATTAAAGGTGGCGGCATCCGGCTATTGGTAAGGCTGAGGTACCGATCAATACCGAATGCAAGTACTGGTCCCTATAAACTTGCTGAGAGCCGGCAGAGTTTAGGCGTACATGATACAGCAAGTGTGTTAATGGAATCAACATGGACAATTGTACTGAGATTAAGCATGTACCCCGTGCAAGCTGAAATCAGCGTCTCCGCCACCTGACCGGCGAGATTTTGCCTCAAGTGACTCGGCTAGTGGTCCTTGAAGCTGTCTTCAAGATGAGGAAATGCTTAGAAAGCTGCCCCGGGGAGAGCAGGAGGCGCTTCGGATGTGGCGCAGTGGGTGATGGAAGTTTCGAGGCTGTAGCACATCATACAATCCTGGCCTCCTTACGGAGTTTGTCGCAGATAATACGTATTGAAGTTGTTGTCCCCTACTATCAAATATTGAAAACACTAACCTCCTCTTCTCATAGGCTTCATAGTGTCTGTCATTCCAATTTCAACAGCATCAATATTCAACTCATGGCTTCAACGATCCTATTTATGCGTGCCTTGCGTGCATTGAATCTGTAGCGGCCTAGATCTCGGCTTCCGGCGGTACCCCTCCACTCCTTATAAGGCTCCTAGTCCCTGTAACCTCTACTTGGCTTAGTGCCTTTAGCAGCACATCGACATTGGACAGAGGCCGTCATGGCTGCCTGTATTTTGTGATGGATTTTTTTTTCTCTGCCTCTACCAGCTCTCACCAGACAAACAACATTACATCCTCCATCGCCAATTCGCTCCTCGTCGCATCGAAATTTGTCCACAGCTCTGTTGGAACACTCATTATCTCATTGAGCCCTAAAAACAAGCCGCTGCCTCTCTTTTCACAACTTCTACCCTCCTGGTCGCATCGCGTCGCAAGCATCACCAACCCAGCATCAAACCTACCTCTTTCGCACAAAAATCAACACAACTCGCCCACCATGTCCGCCGAAGGCCCAGAGTCGATCCCAACCTCCGCCGACCCTCGCTCCAAGCGCCCAACCAAGCGACGCGCCCTCACCCCCGTGTCCGCCCAAGCCGCCTCCGTCGACGCCCTCTTCAAAAAGCCCGACCAGGAGATCCGCGTCCCGTCCTCCGCCCTCGCCCCCGGCAGCAAGCGCCCGCCGCCGCCCGAAATCGTCACAAATGTCCAGGGCTCCAGCGCCGGTGCCGGCTCCGGCGAGTTCCACGTCTACAAGGCCGCCCGTCGGCGTGAGTACGAGCGCCTGAGGGAGATGGACGAAGAGGTCAGGCGGGAACGCGAGCAGGACGATTTTGAAAAGGACAAGGCGGAGAAGCTGCGCAAGGATGAGGAGAAGACGAGGAAGAATCGCGAGAAGAGGGACAAGGCCAAGGCTCGAAAGGCGAACAAGGGCAAAGGAGGAGGGAACGGCAACAACGCAAAAGGACCTAATGGCAATGGTGACAAGACATCGGCGGCACCTGGAACAGATGAAGCCTCCCAAGAAAACAGGAATTCAAACACGAAGGAGAGCGGAACCGATAGAAATGGCAGTGAGAAAGCTACCAGCACTTCCACAGAACCCGTGGGCCTCGTCATTCACGATGACGACTGAGAAAGAGCAGGGGCCTGGGAGAAAGGGGAAGAACGCAAAATAAGGTTGAACATATGATTGAAGAGGTCTCTCTTATCGCCTTCTCAGACAGAGTTGGTGATGTTGTAATGATATTATAGATAGAAGCAGTGATACCCGTATAGAATGCCATTTCATAGATCTATGTGTCGCCTCTTTCAGCGGCCCTTAGTTTAATACCAGTGTCTATTTTGAAAATTTTCGTTTCCCCCTTAGATTCGTCTGAAAATGCTCCCACCCCAGTCCCAACATGTGTTGGAACAGGCTTTGGCCCTTCCAAGCAAACCTGACATGCTATCCTCCCTGACCATGGCTTCTTGAAGGGCATCATTTACGTCTCCAATCCTCAACCTTGCACCCGCTCGTTTAGTCGTCACCACCTCCAACTCCAGGAGCGCCACCTCCCTGTATCTTCTTGGCACTGCAGATATCGTCTACTCTTAGCAACAAACAGGCAGCCTAGTAATCACAAAGTTAGCTTCGGTTGCTCCGATCGGGGCAAAGGGTTTCATGAGCATCACGGCAACATACCTCAATAGCAGTCTTCAGACTCTGCAGCTTAATAGCCTCGGGCTCCCACACGTTATACTCAGTCATATCCGCAAGGGCACCAGTATCGCCGTTGACACCCCATGAGCTCTTGCCCTCGGCTTGCTTGGCACGAAGTTCTGTCAGCACGCGAACCGGGCTCTTGCCGGCATTCTGCACCAGTGTCCTCGGGATCACCTCCAAAGCATCGGCAACGGCCTTGTATGGCCACTGCTGGACACCCTCAACACCCTTGGCCTTCTGGGCCAGCCGGACGGAGACGGCCATTTCGGTTGCGCCACCACCAGGTGATAGTCGAGGGTGGAACATAACGTTTCGGGCAACACCCATAGCATCCTGGAGGTTTCGCTCAATCTCGTTGAGGACATCTTTGGAGGGGCCACGAAGCAGGATTGTGCAGGCCTTGGGGTCCTCGCACTTTGTGAGGAATGTAAAGTACTCGTCACCAATCTTCTCAATCTCGAACAGACCGCAGCGAGTGCCGACGTCTGACTCTTGAAGATCCTCCACTCTGTTGACGATGGTGGCACCCGTAGCACGGGCTATTCTGTTGTTGTCCGTCTTGCGAACTCGGCGAAGGGCCGTAACGTTGGCCTTCATTAGGTAGTGCTGGGCAAGATCTGATGGCACCATTAGTTTTGAATTCTGCGGCGTGTAGGGGTCATTGGATCGAACTCACCAGAAACACCCTTTTCGGTAATGACCAGGTCGGGCTTGACGGAGAGGATGGTATCACACAAAATCTTGATCTGCTCCTCTTCAATCTGCAGAATTCGGTTCCAGTCTTCCTCCTTTGTGATTTCGATATTGGTCTGGGATTCACCCTTCTTGTACTCCAAGGGGCAGTCCAGCAGGACAATTCGGGGGTTCTCGATGCGTCGTCGCATCTTCGGGTGCGTGATATCCTTGTTCAACATGAGCCCATCCAAAACCCTGCTATCCTCGATTTCGCCGCCAGGGACCTTTTCGATACGGGCATATCGCTTGATGTCGACCTCGGTCTTGCCATTGCCAGCTTCCCAGGTAACGGTCCGCACAGCCTTGAGAGCCAGAGAACACATCTGATCCATCCATCGAGAGACGAATTTGGTGCCGATCGAGGAGGAGATGAGCTGGGCCATGGCCTTGTCGTCATTGACATCGATCGGTAGGGAGATCTCGTCGATGATTTCGATGGCATCCTTCAGGGCACGCTTGAAGGCGGAAATGATGACGACGGGGTGGATATTACGCTCGAGTTGGGGGAGGGCCTGTGCCAGGATTTCTCCAGCTAAGTCAAAGTCAGAACCAAACTTCTTTCTCCTCTCATGAGTCTCCCCCCCTTTTTTGCCCCTCCCCCCTCCATTCGTTGGGCAATCCTTTTCAGCAAGTGGGAGAAACGAGAACCTGACATACCCAGAATAATGACTGTGGTGGTGCCATCGCCAACCTCTTCGTCCTGTGTTCGGCTGAGCTCGATCATGCTCTTGGCAGCAGGGTGGGAAACTTCGATTTCTCGGAGAATGGCGTGGCCGTCGTTGGTCAGGACGATACCGCCCATGGGGTCGAGCAGCATCTTCAACATGGCCTTGGGACCGAGACATGATCGGATGATATCGGCAACGCTAGAATAGGAAAAAAGTAAGTCAGCTAGGTTTATTCGGCTTTGATCAACATGGCGGGTGCATCAACACACGTTTTGGCGGCAGCAATGTTTGACAGCTGAGCTCTCCGTCCGGTCTGTCTCTCACCAGCATTGGTGTCTGCGAGCAATGCGTCAGCTTATAATCACAGGGACCAACATCCATCCCGACTCGCGTGTCAAGAAGAAGTCACCGCCTCTCTCTTGATAGAATGGGCAAGGCGGGCATTGGGTATACGCACTCATAACCAACACAGGGGCCTGCATGGTGGGCTATTTGCTTCGCGCTCGGCGGCTCGCAACGGGGTGAAAAGAGGCTGTGAGGGTGTGAAACACAAAGATAGCACCTGAAAGGAGCTTTAGGTCAGACTGGACGCGCCTCTAAGAGCAACAGTTCAGAGTCAGGCCAGGAGCAGCTTTTGAGGTGGTGGAAAGTGGTGGTTTGGAGGGGCGCACACTAGAAAAGTTCCCACGATGCCTGGCGGGCTTTGGTGGGGAGGCTGCAGTTGGCCAGCTAGAAGGTTCACCTAGGCGGTAGCTGCCAGCATTTGACCTGGTGCAATGTTAACCCGGCCCGCAAAAGGGAAAAGGGAACATTGATGGTACAGGTACACTGTACTAGTTGCCCCACGTAGGAGCTTTTTGGTGACTTTGCGATTATACTGATGCCTGCTGAGCCACAAGGATCGGAGCCAGAATTGAAATGGGTGACGATTGAAGAGATTTGTATTCCATCTCTTGATTTGGTGTATCTGTGCGCCAAACTATGTAATTAATAGTTTGGAGACATCTCATTGGTGATGATAGAAGAGGTACAGCCTCTTCAGGCCATGTGTAGGTACCGGTACTTGGAACCTCTCCTTGATCCCCAATGTGGCATTTGTCATCGACGTCCCGAGTGCCACCGGCCAATCAGAGGCGGCCACAGCTCCTCCATTTGCCCAACCAGGCATTCACAGGCAGTGAAGCTCATGCCTCTCCCTAATTGGCAAATGTATAGAAACGATGCATTTGTCGAAAGCCGCATCAAGTCTCTATGGGCTATGTATGTAGAGGCTAAAAGCAGAATTCCAATACAATCTTTGGCGGCATCTCATGATACCACAGCAGCGTGTTTCAGGTGGCATACAAAGTTCCTAGTCCGCTCCCCATATCCCTAGATTTGATCAGCTGGACATGCGCCAACCCGGTGTAAGCACGAATAATTCATCCTTTGGGCACCGTCGGCCCGAAAATTTCGTTCCTTGATGTTTTTTCTTTCTGGTTCTTAACTCCTTTGGTCGCTGTTTAAAGTGCTGGCTTCGTGTTGAAGTCAAAGAAACCCACGATATCCGGTCGTTATTGAGATACCTAGCGTTCGTAGAATCACGAGAGAAGTTGTCTCTGAGGCAATTCGTACATGAGCATTCCAATCGTTTCAAACCCCGTGTCTTGATATTATATGGCAAGCGGATGTGCGTAATGTCTTCAGACATGCATTACTGGAAGCATCGTCTAGTCACTTGATGCTCCTCGACGGCATTGGAAACCGAATTCACACACCAATGAAAACGGCTGATTACATCATACCACATTGAGGAACTCTACATTTATGATACAGACTACTCTTGACAATCGACGAATCCAACATGTAAAGACCGCTCGATCTGCCGTCATCTTCCACGGGCGGCGATTACTTGTTCATGCGACGTCTAATCATACAAGAAGCAAAATGATATATTTCAAACCCTTAAACTCAAGACCAACCCACAAGACAAAATAGAATACTAGCTACACAATCATGCCATTCAACAAAATCACCCTTTCGTGGGAGACAAAAAAAAAGCTAACAGTCCTCTGAATGGACTTCGTTCCTGAGGTTCGAAAACCTCCGCACACCGCTCGCGCCCTTCGTCTTGTGAGGCACTTCAGCCTCAGTTCTCTTCTTAGACTGTTCAATCTTTCTGCCTTGCTCTTGGCCTACGTGAACCCACTCGGCATCGATCTTCGAAAGTGCGTGGACGAGACACGAGTTCGTTTCCATGTCTTCCTGTATCCTCTCCCACTGCATCTCGTCAACGTCAGTCCGGAATCCGAACCACATCGAATCGCCGTCGCTGTTTTTCTTCGACGATGCAATACTGGGTACCCCATCCCGGCTATATCGAAATGCCAGCCCCTTTCGCTTTTCATAGTTTTGTGAATCCTCCCGCACGCTATGTGGAACCGTAAGGTCCATGATGTAGTCTCCATGCGTCTCATTCTCAGGAGCATGGCTCAAGCTCCAGGCATATTCTAGCGTCTCGATCTGAGACCTTGGGATTGCGATGATGACCCAGGCTTCGTCTTCTCTTTCTTCTTCTTCCTTGCACACATCTGGTGCTGGATGATGTCCGGCTTCGTATGCCGCAAGTGGTCTACAAATTTTGAGCCACATCCACGTGGTGACACGGCCGAACTGGTTGGGCCTTGATAGAGTTAATGTTAGTCAAGCTCAAAAGCACCACCTATCTTTGTACTTACACGTCGCATTCATATAGGGCGATGTTCCCCTCGCTAGCATCGAGATTCACGCTGTCTGCTGGCTCCACGGTGGGCTCCCTAGGCACAGAACCAAGGGGCTCTCCCTTGAGGTCGTCCTGAACTTTGATTCTCATGAAGCCACAAAAGTCCATCTGCAGTTTTCTGTAGCCATATATACGGCAAACAGATTGAAGAAATAGCCGTAAGTTGTCTTCTGGTCCTTGCTCGCTTGAAGTCTCCACTGGAGGCGCAAACGGATTGTCATTCGCTTGCCTCAAGACTGCCTGCAATCGCCGACTTGCATCTCGTCTATATCACCAACGCGTTAGTTTCAGTCTTTCTTATAAATAAGCTTCAAACTGTAAGTTTACCTCTGGGTCATTCTTTGATGATAATGGTCTGTGAGAATTTTCCTTCGTTGATCCAGACTCTCATCGTAGAACCTCTCTTCTATCTCCCCTGGAAGCATCATTCCAGACTCGGGTGCATCATCTAAACTGTGGCGAATGCTCGGCTTCACGCGAAAGGCTTCATCCAAAGCTTTCTGTAAGATAGCTACTGGAGCATAGCTTGGCTGGTTGTGCGCTGGCTGCTTCTGCTGTTGATCCTGCTGCCTCCTGACGAAGCTAAAAGACACACCCGCAAGGAGTTTCTCTCGCACTGACATCGTCTCCATCTCCCCGTCTGTTGGTATGTGATTCTGCTTCAGGCCGCGTTCAACTTTGCTTTTCTTGCCACTAGGGTTCTCATCGTCATGAAGGGTAAGAGCGTGCTTGGGCATGATGATAGAGATGGACGACTTTATATTGGGTGTATGAAGGAAGGATGAACAAGATTAACTCAAGATCGGGATGATGGAGAAGCGAAGGATTCAATTTATTTTCCAAAGTCTGGAAGGTGTTCAAATCAACGAGCAAAGTGAGAAGTGGGCAGCTGGCAAATTACCTGTCGATTCACTTTGGCATCAGATTGAGATGCCGCCAGCGGATTGCCCGCTCGCTACTGTATTGAGAGGTATAGAGGGCCTTTTTTGCACGGCAGGACGGTTCAATAATCTGTCAGATGCTGTTCAGAAAAAGGCTTTATATGCTCAGCTTTTGAATCGAACGACTAGAATTATGCTGGGACAGCCGATCGGACTGAACCATAGAGCTGTGAGGTTAATGAGGCTCTATATGTATCGTTCCCCGACCGCATCTTTCTCTACAATCAGGCATGTAACATTTGCAGCCATTTCCAAACAACTCTATCTATGAGTTTTATAGGCATTCTTTCGACTATAACACCAGAACAGCGGTATCCTACCTGTAAGTAAGAAAAGTTTCCGCATCGTAATGTCTCTCTCTTGCATGATTTGCTGAACCAGGGTCGAGATTTTGCAATTGTCTCAAAAAAGGAAAATCTCCTATAAAAGCGAAATTACATTTTAGAGCTAACTCGCTCATGGAAAGACATTCCCTTTGAACAGACAAGGATATGCCATCTAATCGCATGTCTGTTCATTTCTTAAGGCGCGCGAATAGATTCGAGATACGGCTAAATAAATTGATGAATAGAGAACAAAAAGGGAAGCATGGCATAATTCTTTTTTTAATAAGGATCGGATCCGTAGCATCGTGACTATTGTTTTGTTCGCTGCAGCAAAGGTTCATTATTCTAAGAGCTTGCCCACTGATATCACCGGTGTGTCAGCGTCGTCTCACACTTCACCAGATATTATACGTACTCACACGCACTTTAATCAAATATGACAGCTAGCTCGAACAATACTGAGACTTTATGTCATCTGCTGGTACATGGGAGATGCATGCCCACAGAGACAATAACTAATCGCGTGATTTACCAATCACATCACCCTAGCTGTGTGATAATGCATGTCCCAAAGCCACAACTGAGGCAGCACTCACAGATGACGATCTCGACCACCGCCATCAGATCCCGCCTGTATATGACAAATGACAAAATGTACCTGTAATGTCTCACTCTCTTCGCGGAAGCCTGGGGAAAGGATGAAATGAAAAAGAAAAGCAAGGCGTATCAGATGACGGTAAGTGAGATTTGTAGGGGAGCTTCCCATACCATCAGCAAACATACCGTATCTAGATATAAAAGAATCACCGGCATGAACCATAACTTTTGCTCCAAGGCACATCTCTACTCCACTGAGTTAAGCAAGGGAGAATACAAGAGTATCCATATGAGCTATCACAATTCTCTCAGCTTCATACACGCCCCCTCCATCATGTTTGACCTCCGTAGGCTCGGATCTCTCCCGTCTTTCCGAATACCCGGTATCCGTAGCGCAATTATGTTTAGTCGTGTCTCTTGACGTCTCACATCTCCGCGCGTTAGTACGATTCTACCACGGTAGAGAGCCGTGTTGCCGTCGCATCAGTCTATACCTATAATTTTCAGTATTAGCCATAGGGGAGGCAGCTGGGGGCAGACTGCTGGCCTTTTCGGCTTAATACACTTCACGTTGATAAGGGGGGATTTGTAGCATAGATACTGCGTGTACTTGTATCGAAACTATCAAAAATGCAGGAAGACATGGTACATTAAATACAATAAATGAGTGACAATATAGGGATTGATGAGGGGGCATCGAAGGGAGGGAATGAGCTGAAAACTAAAACAGTATTGCAGCCCCCATCTACACAGAGAGCGAGGATGGGTTTCATGACAATCTTTGTGACAAAAGCAAAAACATAAACGCCAGCGCACCAGAAAAAGCAAAGAGCAGCAAAGAAAAGAAAACTATCCCGGATTCGAATACGAAATCCTCCACAAATGTCATCTCCAGCTCTTTCCTTTCAAAAGCCGGGGGGCTTGCATGGTGCACGCCACTTTGTGCCATCATTAGTGCCATCAACATCAATGGGAGCTCTGAGAGGCATCATCCGCAAAAATAGCTTCATCTTGTTCATGACCGCCATCATAAGAAGGGAAAGTATTGGCGTTGCCCATAGTATAAAGGCCCCCACCATAAAAAGGAAAGCCAAGTGGAAGAGCATACTGCTGCTGCATTTGCAGAGTGCTCCGCAGACTCAGGCCGAGAATTAAGTTGGCTAGAGCCAAAACATCTTCATTTGCCCGCGCCGGTGTAGTGTTTGCAATATCAGCAGCATCAACCTCAGTCTGAGCGAGGCTGTGAGTGCGACGGTGTTGTGGCATGGGGCCCTGGTTCGGCGACTGGGATTGCCTCAGTGCCGTTCTCCGGCCCCGATTCCCCCCGGTCAGGCTCGATCTCCGGTTGAAGCGCGCCGGCTGTTTGACCCTGATGTTTACACATTCGGTTTCGTTTCGGCCATCAACGATTATACATCGATCTTTGAATGGCTCGTTATCCATGTATGCTAAATCGCCCAAGGTTAGTATCACACCATCAGCTCAACATTCTGTGACTGGAGCCCTTGGGCAACTTACTGAATGCGCTCCTAAAATTACCCTTCCCCTTGAGGCGGATCCATCCCGAACTGCTGACGGGAAATACCTCGACATAGTCGACATCACAAGATGCCGAAACCCAGTCTTTTACTTGTTGCCAGGTCGAATTAAATGGTAACTGTTCACCACCATGTTAGAATAAACACGGAAGATATAGAAGTGAGCAAGGAAGATCGGGTTTGCTTTGTAACGAACATTGGAAAAGAGAATATAATATTCCCCAGTCATGTCGCCCGGTTCAACACTTTTAAGGGACGTTGTAGAGTTCCCGTTGCTGGGCATAATGAGAGATAGGAGGGATGGTGAGACTTGGTGTAGACGTGAGAGAGAAGGAAGAGTTGAAGTTTGATGGTTCGACTATTGGGAAGAAGCAGTGATATTTATAGAGAAGTCCACATACAGACAGAAGCCTCTCGCTGGCATAGTAAGTGGCATTCATCATGTCTTAGGCTAGGGAAAGTCGCTTGCCGTGTGTTTGTTCTGACATCAGGCTGGCTACCGGCCATTGGCAGCCAAACACACCTCAACAACTCATACATTTTGTCTCTCCCTCTTTGTCTAGGCACCAGTTAAAGTCCGTAAAGTCGTGGGCTCCATCCGACTGCCGATACGACAGCGGCAAAGCGGCAGCAGTCCGCCGACACTCTCCGACTCAGCAGTCCCGTCACGAATGGTATGCCCCCATGCTCCCGGACTTGACCATGTCTCAAGTGACGACACTGGGCTGCGCTGTGATTAAATAGGTGATCGAGGATAGCCAGACCCAAATCCCGGGGGCTAGGGTATCATACGCTCACACTATGGCGTAATTGCATTAACATTCGCTCATCGCTTGCAGGAGACAGGGCAGGCCCGCTCAGCCTGCCTGTGGATGAACAAGAAGGGGAAGAGAGTGATAACTCGGAGCAAACAAGAGCACTGTACGGCAGCCATTGGCTTCAGTGGTCAAAGAGCTGATATTGGAGACTGGGCCGCCTAGAGCGCTGAGACGTGAGGCTTTCGTTCTCTGATAATTTGATGTGAACGCACATCTGACCATTAAGGCGGAAATCCCGGTCTCCTTTTTGACCATTGGTTTGTCGAGTGGCTTATTTCAAGCTTGTTTTGCGGCCATCCATGCGGCCCCCGCGGGAGAAAAAGAAAATGAAGCATAGACATTCCTTTTTATTCTTCCTTCCACCATGCACATACAGAGCACCCCCTTGCGCCAACTTGTCCTTGCAAGGTCTTACTATCATTTGGCACCCATGGCTGCCAAAACGCCACAACTCGGTTGAACGGAGCCTGGTGCCATAGCGCATACGCATTGTCCTGTGCCCGTGTGTTGCAGCTTGTTTGCCAGTGGCGGGTATTCTGGTCGTTCATTTCTTTTTGAACAGAGTCCTAATAGTGACCAGGTGGACTTGAAAATCAAATATTATCAAATATTGCTCCAAATTATTACGCCCTCTCAAATTTTCTGAAAGAAAAGGTATCATCCGCAATTGCTGTCTCATCTGCATCGGCCATAGCGTAGTCAGACGACGTCGGGCTATCATACTGAGCGATTCCACTGTGGCCTACGGCAGCTTGCTGCCAAGGATTCGGATCCTGGCCAGCATTGGACGGAGAGAGTAAAAGGTAGTGCTGCGCATCAGAGACAAACAAGACGGGAACTTCAGTCTCGCGGTTGATCCATGCAACCTGTGCTTTGCCCACCGCTTTTCCCTCTGGCAAGACGTCCTCTGGTACAAGAGGCGTCGGCCCATTAGACAGGGGATCCCAGATGAACGAGACTCCATGATGCGCAGGGTCTTGCGAAGTAACTAAAAGGAGCTCACGGGAGCTCGCATGCCATTGGAAGGAAACAGTACTGTGAAAGATTAGGACGGCTCGAAGCTCGGCCGCAACGACATCCCAGATCCATAGAGTGCACGGCGAGTCCTCCAGTCTTGTTGCCAAGAGGGTCGAGGATGCGTCAAATGCAGCCAATGAGCAGCCGGATTTGACTTCAGCAGTCACAGACTGAGCATCGGTAGCAGGCCCCGGGGGTGACAATATCTGAGTAGCCCTGACAAAAGTGCGGGTGGCTCGCGCCTGTGGAGATTCGGTTTCAATCTTCTCTTGCCATACCTGAGATGGCCTTAGTATCACAAAGAAGCTCTTGAAGATGCTGTGTACATGCTGTAGCTTACCTGGAGAGTATCCCTTGGGACTATGGTGGCCGGATGAGGCAACTTTAGGTGTGCCCTCCAAGATGGCGTACGGAGAAGAGTAACATCCCTACTGTAATCTCCAATGGCACACAGCTCTGTGTTGGGGCTCAACTGACAGATTTTGACTCCAAGTTCCAGGTCAGCATCTGGCCCTTTCAAAAGGTTAGACGCTGTAATGGTACGGAAATGCTCGCCATCAGCCGTGTAAATGAGGAGGCGGTGGCCTTGAGCAGGTGACTCCCAAAGAAGAAGCCACTGGCCGTCAGGGGACCAGGTAATGCCCTGCGCATCAAGCGTCTCTGGACACCAAGACCTGAGCACTTGCCGACTCACGGGATGATGGAGGCTCACGATATCCCTGCCACCAGACCGACCAAGTAACGCCAAATGCCCGGACTCTGGGCGGAGGGATAGGCCTCGTGATGCAGACACGGATTGGTGGAATTTGGGACTCTCAATCTCGACCGCACCGGAGCCGCACACATCGATGACTACAAGCTTTAATCCAGATGCGGACCAGATTAGGATCTCGGTATCTCGAGCTCCAAACTGAACAAGGGACGGCTTCCCACCACACAGAGAGCTGTAATTGCGAACTGTTGCGTGAAACGTAGAAGGATGAAGCGCCCCAAATACATCCAGCTGATCGGCTATGGAAATGAGGAACTTGGAGGATGACGGAGCCCACAACAAAGTAGGCACACTCGCTGAACCGCCGGTTGCCGAAGAGGAGGGTGAAGATCCAGGTCCAGCGGACAGTTTTACGACATTGGTGACTTGCAAGGTCTCAGTTGAGCGGACAAGCACCTCCGAGGATATAAGGGTTGCAACAAATCGGCCATCTGGACTCGGCCTGCAGTGAGGCGAAGCTGTGATGCCCAACAATTAGGTCCTCATTCAAGCGGTGGAAAGCATTGGGGATAACATGAGCATGATTACATACAATCCAAAGCTACTATAGAATGCATTGTGGTGGTCTGGGCTGGCCTGAGAGTCACCCCGTGGAATTCTTACACGACAGGTTATCGTATACGACTTCAAAAGCACAGAGAGAGGGAGATTGGCTGGCGCCACATGGGGGGTCTCTCCCTCGCTCAATGCTCGATATGGATATCCTTCTTCAATGATTGAAATGGATACTTCTCTCTGATTCCGTCGTTATTCCACGTTCCGCCTGTACTCTCTCCTAGAGGTAATGCCGGCTGATGGAGGCTGAACGCCGAACTGAGGGCTCACGCCTATCTTTTCCTTCCGACTGGGAGGGACCAGCAAACTGGTAAGGAAACAAGAGACAGCACGTCGTTTAGCCGCAAAACATCAACTGGATACCAAAAGACGCTCACGCGCAAAGATACAGTAAATTGGCGCGGCCGTGGGATTGTTTTTTGATATTGCTCCGTTGGCGAGCGAGCGAATGAAAACGGGAAGAGGTTCAACTAGCGATGCCGGGCGGAACCATTGAAGCTAGAGGTGGTGTGGTGCAAGAGTCCCCAGTACCGGTCCCAATGCCCGAAAGTGCCCTAACGCACAGGTACTTTGCACCTGCAAGAGCTGTAAACCTTCTGAACGCTTCCAGCTAGCGCCCGCAGCTCCAACTCGCCTAGCCCGTTCCCCTCTTCTGCTAGCACGTTCAGGTAAGCATCTAGGCTTTATCGTCCTGGTTGCATTATCGCACTCATGACCGCGGAGGCGAAACTCAGTTCTTTTTCCTGTCTCAACCCACCGGTTCGAAACAGATTCTTTGCTTGTTCAACTGTTTCGATATACATCTGCAGCTTTGGATCAAACCACAGTCGTCCATTGATTTAGTTCGACCGGTTATACGACAGATCTTACTAGGCCCAGGGTCCGGAAGTGCACGGCAGCTCGCTCTCCAGTCCAGCTTCGTCTTCTTTACACGAAATTCTTTCGCATTGATTTCCGGCCAAGGGCGCCCTCTTTTCTACTTGGTCTGCAGAAGCATGGCAAGAGAATAAGTCTACAAACAGGCTACCGCATATTAAGCCTTTCTATACATAACATCCACCTCCTCCGGCCAGTTGGCCACCCAAGTTACAGAGTGCAGCCGGCAGCCAATACTTGCACTCGCACATGTCTCGGCGCGCTTTGCCATCGGCTTTGAGCCAGATGAAGTCCATACACCATCTTGCAGCTCGGCTGCCCTCGAGTGTCTCGCTCCCACGGTCATCTGTTGGCGCCCTTGTCTTGACACGACACATTGCGTCAACCTCGGCGGTTGCTGAACAACCAGAGCCTCAGCCAAACCATACGATTCCGCCGCCTCCTCCGTCTCCGAGTGTCCTTTCGCGTCGGGATCGCATCCGGGATGCTAAGCCCTTCTCAGACTTTCTTACAGATACCTTTCACCGGCAGCATGACTATCTGCGCATCTCCGTCACTGAAAGGTGTAACCTGAGATGTCTGTACTGCATGCCAGAAGAAGGTGTTCCGCTGTCTCCTGATAGGAATCTCCTGACCAGCCCCGAGATTATTATGCTGTCTTCCATCTTTGTATCACAAGGCGTGTCCAAAATTCGGCTCACAGGAGGGGAGCCCACGGTAAGGCGAGACATCTTGCCTCTCATGCACCAACTCGGTGCGCTACGCCCATACGGGCTCCGGGAACTATGTATAACCACCAATGGCATTTCATTGCACCGGAAGCTGGATAGCATGATTGAGTCTGGACTTACTGGAGTAAATCTAAGTCTTGATACCTTGGATCCATGGCAATTCCAAATCATGACAAGGAGAAAGGGATTTGATGCTGTCCAGAAAAGTATCGACCGCGTCCTAGAGATGAATTCGTTAGGTGCCGGGGTCAAGTTAAAGATCAACTGCGTCGTGATGCGTGGCCTCAACGACCGGGAAATCCTTCCCTTTGTCGAACTGACAAGAGAGAAAGACCTTGAGGTACGCTTCATCGAGTATATGCCTTTCGACGGCAACAAGTGGAACAAGGGCAAAATGTTCTCGTACGATGAGATGCTGGACGTAATCCGGGGCAAGTACCCTGACTTGCACAAGGTTCGCGATGAAAAGAACGATACAAGCAAGACTTGGAAAATACCTGGGTTTGCAGGCCGCCTTGGCTTCATCACAAGCATGACACATAATTTTTGCGGCACCTGCAATCGGCTCCGGATTACGAGTGATGGCAATCTCAAGGTCTGCCTTTTTGGAAACGCCGAGGTATCATTGCGGGATATCTTGAGGAAATCCAACAGCGGAGACCCCATAGATGAAGAGGCGTTTGAGGCCATGAAGCAGATTGAGATGAACCGCCGGCAAGGTCTCGCCGGCACCGAACTTCCATTAGGGGTGGCACCAAACGAAGCTGAGCTGCTCGATGTCATCAGAATAGCTGTCAAGGGGAAGAAAGCAAAGCATGCCGGTCTTGGAGAGCTAGAGCACATGCCGAACCGGCCGATGATATTGATAGGTGGGTAATAAAGCTGCATAGCATATCCCCTGAAATTAAAAGCACGGCCAGGAGGGTAGCATTGTTCAGCCCCTCTGCGCCGTTTCGTAACTCTTATGGTGTCGAAGCGAATGGGAATGAGAATGTACGATATCACCTACCATCCATCACCGGCCTTTGATATAACTTGGCGATGTATGCTAAGTAAATACATGATAGATCCTGTTGCGCCGACACTCACGACTATGCCACCTGGAACACGGCAGCTTATCGGTCGTGTTATGCCATGGTCTGGTGTATCAACAACAGCTACCCCCGGTTACCTTGGACAACAGCGACAACTACGGCGACTCTCCAGCTCACGGAGCCTGAGAAATGACAAAGATGACAAGAACCAAAGCTCAGCACGCCTCACGCATGTATCCGAGTCAGGATCAGCACACATGGTCAACATTTCAGAAAAGCAAGTGACGTCGCGCGTAGCCACGGCCGCGTGCGCAGTGCACTTCTCAGACGACACGGCAATCAAGCTTATACGGGAGAACCAGATGAAGAAGGGCGACGTGCTCGGCGTGGCTCGAGTTGCCGGCATCATGGCGGCGAAGCGCACCCCGGATCTCATCCCCCTGTGTCACCCCATTGCCATTACGCGCGTGAGCGTCGATCTGGAGGTCGTGGGGAGTCGCCAGATCGAGATCCGGGCGACGGTCTCGTGTGATGGGAAGACGGGGGTTGAGATGGAGGCGCTCACCGCGGCGTCATCGGCGGCCCTGACGGTCTACGATATGTGCAAGGCTGTGGATAAGGGGATGAAGATCGAGGGGCTCCGGGTCGTTCTAAAGGACGGGGGGAAGAGTGGCAGATGGGAGATGCCTTGATGTATGATGTATGATGTGCACTTTTACATGGATACAGGATGCAAGCAATGCTAGCAGCTATCTGTTATGGACGTCATAGTACCCTCTCGAGGGAAGAGCAAGAGATCGGCATAGCAAAGTAATGGCGATTTTACAAGCCAATGTTGGTTCCAAGAAACATTTGGATACCTTATCTTACAGTGTGTAGAATAAGATCACCAATGAATGTGGAAAACAATGTACAAAATCCTCACCTCCCATTGTGGATGTGGAATGAATTATTACTCGTGAGCGGAACAATGCCTCCGCTGTTAGACCTATATACGCGAGACATTCGGCCGGAACTGGAGCAATATGGACACCATTGGGCATCTTTACCGTATCGGTGAGCACAGTTCTCCTGGCGGTACCTCAACGAGTAACAAGTCGATCTCGCTCGATAAGGTCGGCCCCTCAAAAAGACAAGGCCCCCTTTTTGACGATCATCGACCCATGTGATTGACATACATACATCTACAAGCATGAATCATAGAACTTACTCTGCAAGAAGGCCCCCATCTCACCAACCATCAAGACCAAGACGAGCCAACGGGCTCCCAACAACGCAGCAGCGACATGTCCGAATGACCTCCCGCAGGACGCCTGTAAATGAAAAAAACGAGGCGCCCGGTCTGCGTTGTCAAATATCGTATCGTATGCATGTCAAGCGGTGAGGAGGACTACCTAAACAAAACAAGGTAAAAAGCAAGAAAAACATGCTCGCCAGCGGCCACACCTTGAGGCCTGTGTGGATGGCACGTTGAGACCCAACTCCCTTTGAGGCCCTATTACAAAGTGTATTTTCAAGTTCCCTCTTCCAGCTGCCCCTCCTCCGCAAGCTGCAGTGCGACGACGATGCGGGATAATGGGCGGAGAAAGTTGGCCCCTCCTACCCCCCTTTGGCCCTTGAGTTCTCAGCAAGAATTTGTGATTTGGCAGTCTCCGGCTTGAGGCTGCAGCGTGTGTGGCCAGAAGGCGCAGGAAGGGATCTGCCAATCAGAGTGCTCGTCACTCGTATTATATCACAGACATTGAGATGACTGGTATGAAGCCATGGTTAAGGCATAGATGCACCAATAGCAGCGTGGCGATAAGGCGGGCATCAAGTCGTGCAGGCGATTGCCCCATTCGGAAAAGATCAAACCAACGGCACAGAGTTACTTGAGGCGAAAGAAGGTGTGTGGCGTTTGGCCGGGCTGGCCATGATTGACACAAGCCATTTCGAACCCCCGTTTGGTCCAGCTGCCGAAGAACGTACGAGCATGTACGAGTACCTGTACAGTACCGCACCAGCAAGTAATACCGGGCTGATGCCTTGCGAACTTGCAACCACATGGCAAGCTCTCCCGTGCCCATGGCCCTGGATTTGGCACAGCTCTGCTCCGTACGCAGCACGACACCACCCCATCGTTCCTCTCGCCGCCAAGGGGGCATGGCATATATCAAGCCGGAACATTCATCTGCCGCACTGCGACGTTCAGGACGCAGTTCGTTGGGAGACGGCCCACGGAATGCTCAATGAGACGCTGGAACAAGCAGAACGATGCACGAAGCTTCCACACATGTCCACCAGAACGAAGGCGGGGTTAGCCCGCTTCTCCCGTCGCTCAGCGATTCGTGGCAGCTTGCAGCTTGCAGAGCGCAGAGCCCATCTCCACAGCTTCGCTTTGCCTCTCTGACTGGGTAAGAGATGGTCTCGAGCACGAGTCGTCCCCGCGGTGAGGCACGCGGCCAAAATAGACCATGATATCTTCCCTCAACAGAATATGTATCTGTATGACTGCATGTACATGCATATGCAGGCGGAGACTTATGACCGTAGTATGTACTCTGTACTCGTCCAAGCGCGTCCTCTTGAACACAGAAGAGAGAATGTCAACGGTGGCCACGATACAACAACACTGAGTTTGTTAGTTGGCCCATATGGATGACGGCGTACCAAGTACGAGTGCCCAAATGCCACCTTCTCCGTAGATGCGGTGCCCAATTCAGAAGAGAGGCCGCCATCTGTTTGTTGATCAAGCTAGATTCCCACTGACGGGGCGCCCGTTGTGGCGACTCGCTCTAGTGAGCTTCGAAGAACAAACCGCGAGTCAAGGTGGCTTCTGCTTGCCGTGCTTTCTGCGTCCACTTGGCGGGGGGGGGAAACCGTGAATACTGCCACTGTATGGCCCGTTGTGGATTTGGCTTTTTTTTCCGGGTCATTCCACTAGACCGGGCCGAGGGTCGTTGACTTGGTCGTTAAAACGATGACCAGGATTGGTTCCATCTCTCAAGAAAAGACCGGTAGGAGAATAGACAGGTACGGTATTATGTTGGCGGCAAATACGGTAAAGGCAAACACTTGTTCCTGGCGAGCTTGCGGCGGTCGGTGGCAAACTAGCCAGCTGATTGTTTATGCAAGATCTTCGCAGAGCCGCACTGGAATCTTGTAGTGCTTCCATTTCGCGCCCTAAATCAACACCGTCTTTCTGGATTACCTGGCGGTGTAACTATCCTCAGTGTAATGGGCTAGCAGAGACGGTGAGAAGGCATGAGACGGGGGTCCTGAGCTGCAACGACGCTTGAACTGGAGGCCCAAGCCGGTGCAAAAGACGGAGGATGAGGCCGACCAAAATGCCAAGCCGAAATTGTTTCACCGAGGTCGTCGGAGCTATGGCATGGTTTGATATCCTGGGGTTTATTTTCTTGGGGCATCAACCATGTACGAGTACCCGTAGCGCGACTACCTACTTGGGCACCCCTGCAGAACCTGGAACACTCCGGAGCATGTCCGGAACGAAATGCTCGTAAAACATCGCTAGGTCGGCTGTCTTGCGACAAATACAGCAGCAAAGGCAGTGAATAGGTGGCTCTGTGTGTGTCGGCTGCCATCCGTGGCTGTGCTCCGTGCTCCGGACTTGCAGGGCCTCTATGCAGTTTCCCGCATAACAACCATGTCAATAAAATGAGAAGAGCAAAAAAAGACTCAAGGTTCTTGTCCAGGAACAGGAGCCAAGAGGCTACGAGCGAGAAGATCAACACGCCGAGAACTTTGTGGTGGGACTAGTGCGAGGGCCGTTTTGGGGTCTTTTTTCTTGGGGGTGGGGGAGCACTTTTGGGACCAGAGAGAGAGTGGCATCTCCGAGAAGGTTCATGCCAAGGAGGAGAGAAGAGACGAATTAGTAGAGGGAACAGGAGGGCGGCGAGAGAAATTATGAGGAATGGTGTTCGACGGAACAAAGTAAATAAGGACAAAGGTAAAGCATAGCTGAGGTGCTGCGAGTTTGGCTCGGGAGAAAAAAGAAAAGTAAAAAAGAGAGCATGTGAATGTGGAAGCTAACAGTACCAGGCAAGTACATTAGCAGGCGTCTCAGCACCTAGCACTGCCGATGCTTGCGAGAAGCGAGAGCCCTAATGTCCGTGATCACAGACGCTTTAGCCGTGGCCCGGCGGTGACTAGATACATCTAGTAGGTACGTTGCATTGCCACAAGCCGATCGAGATGCTGCCGCTCATGGATGCCAATCTTTTCTGGCGTTGTTTGGTGTTGTCTTGTCTGTCTGGAAGTAATACCAGAATTTCAAGTACTCCGTATATAAGCAGACCGACGCTGGCGGAACTCGTACGGTACGGCAACTTCCAGTGTAGCTCCAGGACCCCTAAATCCCATCTGGACAACCACGCCGCTTACATGCCAATCGGGCGGATACCCATGGGGCGAATCTCGAGTGCTAGCGGGCGGCCAGAGTTGACAGAACTCAATGGCGTCTGCATTCTCGTTGCTTCTGCTGCCGTTGGTGTTGCCGTTGGTGTTGCCGCTGGTGCCTGTGGCGCTCCGCTTCACGAGATTGGCGCTCGTGCTGGGAGATGCTCGCGCTGGCCGTAGGCGGTGGAACGGCTTAAACGACCAGTGGACGACAAACGGGGCGCGCGTTTTGCGCTGCAGCCAGGCGCTGGGGGGAGGAACAAGCAGGTAATTAGCGCATTTCGTTGGTCGATGCCGTTTCTGGGTGATACACGAACAGGTACGGGGTACCTTTGCCAGCCTTACATCCGCCGGCGCTGCGGAGGGTATCCTGTACGCACACCAGCAGCAGCATCGGGTTCAGGTTCATCGCGAGGCAATCGAGGACGGACAGGCTGAGAGCGCAAAAGGGAAACAAGGCACCTGCCACCCTGGCTCGTTAAGCTTACTATGACGAACGAGCTGCATTTGTGGCCGGGGACCCCAAAAATCTTCATCAATTTTGACATGTCACGGCTTTAGGCATGAGATTTAGCATGGATGGGCAGAGAAGTACTAAGGTATTACAGTGCTGTACGGCTGTCTGGTGCTACCTATCAGGACATGTAAGCTCAGCTGAGTGCTGGCTGATTTATACCGGGTTATGCTTACTTGTTGGTATCGGCAGTTGCACAGAGTACTGACCACGCAAAGGAAAAACGTCAATGGATCAAAACAATCGAAACTTTCGACGGCCCAGGCTTGGGTAAAAATAAATCTTGTCTTATTGTTAGCATGCTGCCTTAGCCCATGTGGGAGTGGCCGAGCGGGCCAATGGGGTGCCCACCAATTCAATCAATCCTCCCCAGAGGCCCAAAGTTCTGTGCCACACAACTGGAGCCAAACGCCGAGAGAGGGACACAGACCCCGAGCAAGGCCTGGATTTGCTTGTCCGAGTGGCTCGCAGCGTACGAGTAGGACGAGTACATTACACATACGGAGTATATACAGTACATGCATTTACGGTGCTCTTCTCTTGTGCTCCGTACCTCGTCCAGACCCGTTGTACAGGCTACCTGACGCAGCTTCGTACATATTACTCCGTAAGGTCAGGTAGGAGGTATCCGTAGTTGCTTTCAATACCAGGACAGACGTACATTAGCTCCTCTGTGGCCTGGACGACGTGCATGAGACAGGGAAAGCGGACAGAGCTGCACAAGGTAGCAGTACTAAGGCAGTTGGGGGGAGGATATTGCTCGCAACTTTTTTTTTTCTTCTTCTTTTTTACCTCTCCCACTCTCTCAGTCAGGAACATTCATATTCCTGGCTACGGCCAACTACTGCGCTTGGATTACCAGCACCAACCTTGTTCTTCCAGATCAATACAATAACTGGAACTACTACTTACTCCACGCTCCATATTACTACCACGCCGTCCACATACCAAAATCCGCGACTCGCATCGCCACCGGTCAGCATCCGTCCAATTGCCGCCCTGCGATAGTCCGCCCCCTGTCCAATCGCACCAATCCGGCCACTCGCCGACACACCCGACATAACACAGAATAGGAGGACCCAGTGCGATTCTCAGAGGATCAATCTCGACTCGACGGACTCGGTCGGTACCAGCAAAGTAAGCTCCAGACCGGCCAAGTACCCGCCTGTACACGTACCTGGCACTTGCAGCCCTTGGTTGCTTTATATCTTCGTCTCGCCCTCGATCTCGATACCGAGTACATCCCTCGACCTCATCTCCCCAAGTAGAGCAGTGTCGAATCGACCTTCTATCCATCGTCAACTCTCATCTTTTCCATTCTTCTCTTTTACTGCATAGCGTGCGACACACCCTTGGGGCAACCGCTCTTACATTTTATCTCACTCATCACCAAACAAACTCTACACATTTCCAAGCCACTCACCGCGCGGCGGCATCAACGTGGCACAACTCCGCCATTCATTATTCTCTTGCATCAACCTGTGGATTAACCGAAATCCCAACAAGAGAAGAGACGGACAAGTAATAAAAAGAAAGTAGACAACAATGGCGGCCCAGCTCATCATGCCTTCTGTACCGGGTGCTCAGCAGCAGTCCCGGCACTTTCTGCCAAACAGCAGACGCCCTCATGGCCACAACCGCTCGCAGTCCTTCCAGCTGCCTCCAGGACCTCAGCTGTCGCCAAACAGCTCAAACGGCTTCCATGAGCAGCATCCCGTTTCGACACCGCCGTCGCCCAAGGCTCATCACGCCACCAATGTACGGCCCGTTTACATGCCGGCTGCCTTGCGACCAAACGACGAGTTCCCACAACGACCCTTGACCAAGTCAAGATCTGGCGACTCGAGCTCCGACTCTGGGTCTGACGTGACGCTGCGCCGCTCCAACACTGGCTTCATGAGCCTCAGTGGCATCGTCGGCCAGCGCATGGGCCGTCGCGCCAGCGAGAGCGGCAAGAGCAGCATCGATGGCGAGTGGAATCTCGACCTCTTCCCCGACGTCACGGAGCCACCTACGCGCAAGCACTGGAAGGTTTGTTTGAACCCGGAGATTCATCTACAGGACAGATTATCGCTAACATTGCCCTGATTAGCCCGACACCGAATCCACCATCTGCGACGACCCGACGTGCAAACGCAATTTCAGCTACTTTGTCCGGCGGCACCACTGCCGCAAATGTGGCAACATCTTTTGCGACTGGCACTCTAGCTATGCGCTTCCGCTCGACCAGAACGCAAACTTCAACCCGCGCGCTGTCCCGTCACGCACGTGCAACCACTGCTTCGAGCAGTTCAAGACATGGCACAGCCGCGAAAGCAGCCTAGTGTCCAGCCCAGCATCCTCGGATGCCCATCGCACGGTCCCTTCCACACCCATCGCTGCTCAGCCAGCGACGCCGTTTGGCTTGCCCCAGGGCCCCGAGATTCCGGCCAGCGTCCCGCGAGACTGGAACTGGAGCACTTTTTAAGAGAGACCTGGCGGCTGAGCCGCAATATCAACCTACACGGCCGATATGACTCCTTTTTGGTGGGCAAGATCCATCAGGGAGCAGGCCGGTTTTCCTACTACCTACTACACTCGTGTCGCCGCTGCGGCGGCATCTTCGATACCCAGAGCGAACACATGAAGTTACGAGCAACTCAAATGACGATAGACCATTAGACCAGATTGATGATTTTTCTTTTCTTTTTTGTTTTTCTTTTCCTTGTCCTTATTTACACAAACCCCAACCGATTCCTTGATAATGGGGCAAACTCGATCTACAGCGAATCTGGTCAGACATCTCAACCCCCCTTTTTTCCATCTTTTCTTCTTTTTCTTGAAATACTGCATGGAAACTTTACGCATCTCGGACAAAACTCGCCGAGCAGGACGGAAATTCAGATTCAGAGACAACAGACAAACTACTAGACTTGGGAAAGCGGGCGTTTTCTTTAGCGGGATACCCTCCTGGGCAGCTCCTTTACATTTTTATATCCTATTTTTTTCCTTTTCTGTGCGGGATTGTTTGGAAAGGAGGTAATACCCCGATGGCGGATTAGCCGCTTGTTTTTTGTGAGCCGGAGGGCGAACTCTATAGACAGATAATTGACTTTCTTTACACATATTTCAAAACGTTTCTCCTGGGTTCTGCTTGTAGTTTCTCTGTCAAGTCAAATACACATGTTTTGACGCAAGGAAAAGGGGACATCTCACCTCTTGACGCAGGGAAAAGGGGCATCGCTCTACAGTACAAAGCATAGGAATAAGGTATCAGACACATATCACAAAATCTAATGTGAAACCAAAGAAACATCTTCTGATCCGATAATCCGGTCAGTTCTCAGATTCTATTCGAGTCGTGTATCTCTTTTTTCAGCTTTGATAATTACGACAAGTGAACATGCAACACTATCCTTGTCCATGCAATACTAATGTGTGTGAGTGAAACCAATGAATAATTTTCCACTCCCCCCAAAGCCCATCCAGTTAAGGATTTTAAAATAAAACAACGCCATGCCCGGGGCAACTGAAGTTTTTGTCTTTTCTTCCACCATGCCCATAAGTAAAAAATGATATAGCAAAAACCAAATCTCACGAATTACCAAACCAAACCGATGGTATTGATTCAGCGCGAGTATCCTACAACTTTCAAGCCCCCCTTTTTGCCAACTAGCCTTTTTGTCTTGACCTTTTTCACGACGAGGCCATTCTAAGCCCTGCGCTTGGTCTTGCCATTGGGGCTGCTGCTTCCCTCTGCCATCTGCTCGCCGCCGTAGACCTCCCGCTCGACGTTACGGGCAGCCTCCCAGCCAGCCTTTTCAGCAAGGGTGACCTCATCGCCCATGCCGCGAGCAGCCTTGCCGCCGAGCTTCTGGGCAGCGCTGCTTCGCTTGACGTAGCTGGCGATGAAGAAGCTGATGAAGAGGTAGGTGAGAGGAGCAAGGTAGACGACGTTGATCCAGATGGCAAACGTCTCACCAGTGGTGAGAGTGCAGGGCTGGACAAGGTCGAACGTCCGGGTGACGGTGGTGGACTTGCTGATGGTGGGCGCGGCCGCAGCTTCGGCGGCGCCAGCGACCTCGGCAGATCCAAAGATAAGCTGCTTGAGCGAATCCAGGGCACTGACAGCGGTCGGGATGATGTAGTCGATCGGGGCGCTCCTGGTGACGGGAGACTCTTCGGTGACGACGTGGGTAGAGGTGATGGGGGAAACGTATGTAACGAAAGATGGGACCATGGCGAATGTAGCTCCAATGATGAATTGGGTGATTTGCATGGAGGTCAGGGAACGCTTCAGGGCCGTGGGAACTCTGATGGAGAAGGCCGATAGAGTGTAGTAGGTGTACTAGAGAGCAGGGTTAGCAAAAGGAAGATGCGGACAAAGCTGTAGGTCAACAGCAGGAGAAAAAAACTCACCATCAAAGAGTGGATGAAGGAGTTGAAGAGGCAGAAGATCCAGATGGGGATGGCCATGTACCGCATACCAGCCCACATGCACATCATGGCACCGGCGTGGTGGTAAGTCTGCAGAGTAGAGCTGTACTTGCCCTTGGCCAAAATGATGAAGGTGTCGAGGACCTCATAGAACTTGCTCAGGTAGAAGATCCAGCCGTAAAAGTTGAGACCCTCGTTCCACATTCGGCCGGGCTCGGTGGTGCTAGGCATGCCATTGGAAGCAAGCAGATGCGCAACGGAGCTCGGTGAAGCACTATCCCAGCTCAAAGTGGTCTCGTTGAAGTAGATGGAGTTGCCCAGGCCTCGAGGTCCGTGGGGGCGGCAGAAGCCATCAGCAGTAGCAGCGACGCCGCCAGGACCAAAGGGGCTGACGAAACTCCTCTGCATGACGCCGACCATGCCCCAGAAGGTCCAGGCAGAGTAGACGGCAAGGAAGATGTTGTGCAGGACGACAAAGACGAAGAAGGGGCGTGTTTTGCTGATGCCCCAGGGCTTCTTGTTGCGCGCCTTGTTGTACTTGTTGAGCAGCTTGGCTGAGATGGCATAAAGAGCGGCAATCGTCAACGGAACTCGAGCATCCAGAGCAGACACATAGAGATCATCTGGGATGTTGAAGGGCCTCAGAATAGTGGCAGGGACATGTGCCGGCGGGATTGGCGCCGGAGGGTTGGCAGGAGGGAAGTTGAAGAGGTGGGCTTCGGGCATCGAGGCCCAGATCTGGAGTTTGGACATGGTGAATGTCGAGATGCTACCTGCCAGGTGAAAGAAACCGTGCAAGTTTTGTGTAGACGAATGTCAAATTTGTTGTGGTGAAAAGACAAAAGTTCTGCTGCCAACCGGTGTAAGTCGTCGTTCAACTACTGGGGGCCCTCAGTGTAGTCGCAAGTACCTTTTTTTTTGTCGCTAACAAACACAACAAGCTTGTTCCAAGCTTCTTGCTTTTGCCCCAAAATAAAGTTCCAGGCTATATTGGCCAATGCAAAACGCACGCCAAACAGGCTATAATGAAAAACGAAGTGGGAAAAGAAGAAGGATTGAAGGAATTCGTCCCCGATGACAAAGATATTAAAAAAGCTCGAGAGTGCAGAGGAAAATTAATAAAAAAAGAGGGCGCTCTGGATACCCGCTTCCGCCGAGGCTGGATCCAAGGGAGGGGTGAGAAAGAGAGGGCCAAAAAAAAAATACACGCCTGGCGAATTTGTTGGGGCAACAGGCGGGTCAACGGAGCAGTTCAACCAAGTCTCAATGATGCAAGCGAGAGAAAAAAAAAATGGGATAACAATGAACCACCCAGATGTAGATGGTGGTAGATGATTGCTCTTTTTAATTGGTGGCCCAGCAGATCAGAGGCTGCGAAGGCGAAGTAACTTTCTCGTTGTTGCTGGTTTCGGTTTATTGTATGGGACGGCAAAGTACCGCCGTTGATATGTGACGTTTAGTATCGTACAGTATTACTTGGTGTGCTTGACAAAAGATACGGATGGAGTAGCAATTATTCAACAAACGGCAGGGCTGGCGAATTGGGCCAAAGGGAGAGAGATAAGCCTGATCAGTGAAGATTCTATTTGGGGCGTGTCAGACAGAGGCCATCGAGGGAGGCGAGCTGGTGTTTATACTACTCCTAGTTCTCGGGAGCTTCATTTCGCATCAACGCGATATGGACGTCACGCACCACCGCTCGGTACTTGTTTTCTAAACCACGAACGGCATTAATTTCAAAAAATTCGAACTTGTCGGTCGTTAATAATGGCTCCCTTGTTCAGCTTCAGCGGCCGCTCGGCAAGCCAGGGGCCAAAGTCAAAAAGAGCTGCTACATATCGCGCGATAACCAAGCAGACGTCCCCCTGGTCGTCTCGGAGCCCGCGGAGCAGGAGCCGATTTTCGCTTTTGAAGCCAGCCTCGATGAGCAGCTGAGCTGAGAGGAGGGAATACAGAAAAACTCAATTGTATTGTAGCCTATCCTAACGAGATTTTGGGGATAGGGGATATAGGGGGCACCAACAAGTGCCGAGGACTACACAGCTCTCACACAGCCTTTGCCTTGATATCGACTGCAGTAGAAGTCATCTAGATAGCCTCTCTCTTCTTCTTCTTCTTCTTCTTCTTTTTTTCCCTCATCCCATCTTCTCCCCTCCACTTCATGCTCGCACCAACATCGGCTTTCTCGCCTCTCCCCACGATTGCGACTCGTCGCCTATCGATCCGACCAACAACTCCCGCATCAGGGGCCGTGCCAGCCGAACCGGGTCGGGCGGTCACTCAATCAGCACTGGAGGTCAAAATCATACGAGTACAATCCATTGGACGTTATCACGGCAGTACCATTATGCTCGCGACCATGGCGCAACTCTTGACCCAGCTGGTGCTCGCCCAGGTAATGAAGGCCCTGCGCCATGCTTGATCTCCTTTCGACAGTCGCCAGGCATGGTCATTGGCCAGGCTCTTCCATGCCCAGCTTCTGGTCGTTCTAAGAGCCCCCCCTGTCATCTCCACCCAGAACCCAACATCGGCTCTAGGCCCAAAAGGACGAGAATGCAGCAAATGCCGCCCGTTTTCTTCCATTCCAGCGATGCGAGTGCGATTGTATACCGGTACAGTAGCACCTGTGCATGGGCTGTTCCCTTGCTTTCTGCAGCACTTTGGTTCGGCTCAATCGGCGGAAACACACAAGCAGATTCGCACTCGCATCCCCCATTGCCGTGCAAACCCGGCAATGATGCTCCGTGCAATACACGGGATACCTAACTACTCGCAGCGTCACCTAAATTATTCGCACGGCTTCCAGCTTCCAGTTTTCAGGAACCACGCGACACTCAAATCTCAAAAGGCACCAAAAACATTCTCAATCAATGCTAGCCTCCCGTATCGCCACACCAACTTCCTCTTGCCTCCCGGCCAGCCGCACCAAAGAAAGACGGAGTGGTTGCATCTACCCCGTTTCTCCGTGCTGTGGCCGCGATATGCGGAGCCGGAAGCGGCAAACGGCCCAAGTTCAGCTCTCACAAGCAGCCAGTTAGAGAAAAGTTTTTTCTCTTTTTACTTTTTTGTTGGGGGAGAGCTATTAGCGCCGCATCGCTGGGATGCTACCCTGCAGTGATATTTTTGTCTGCTATTATATTGATCCTGAACCCCGTGTTTAATAGGCCCCCCCCCGCACGATTAGATTAATGGATATTCATGCCGAGGAGCTTCACGAGGAGGGCACATGCGAGCACTTCGCATTAGTCGTAGGGAGGAATATCCTCGGCTCTCCCCCCGCGTATTTTGCTGCCTACCACCCCAAGTATTTTGAAAGCGCGAGAATGGGGGTGCTAGGACTTTGTTCTCCACAGATTATACCAGTAAACTTTAGCAGGGCCCTTCACTAAACACCTAGCGGCCGCAACGGGCTCAGGATTAGACGCCAGTCAACCCATTGAGGCACGTGCAGTATCTCAACCTCCAAATGATTGGATATATCAACCCAATGCACAGCTCGTTTCTTGTCACTTTCAATGTGCTGGCCGAGTTACATGTATCCAGCCCCAGGCATCATAAGTCAATCATCGAAGAGAATGCGAAAGCGAGAGATGGAGGGGAGAAGAAATCAGTCCACCTTTCAATGATCCCACCACCCCATGCATATCGGCATTTGGGCGACCAAACTTCCAAGAAAGCCAAGCTCATCGCCACACTGCCTGCGTCATCAAGATATCTTCAACGTCCTTTTCTTTTTAGCCGTAGCCGTCAGGAGATAGAGAGGGGAGAGTGGAAATGGAACGGAATCAGTTGCTACCTTTCCAACAGATACTACTTCGTCACCGTGTTGGGACATCCTTGCATACCCTGTACCCCATGCAAATGCAGGAAATTGTCCTCGCGAACGAGGAAAGATGTACTCCTAACCTCCGTCTAATGCCATCATCTCCGCACCGGAACTTCTGCCTTGCAAGGCAATTGGGGGCGGGGGGTTGGAACACCTGCGGAGATCAACCATCCCATCGCAACATCACCGACAAACACCGCTCGGACTAATTGCTTCATTGCTATGCCATCTCCGAGATACGCAAACATCATAATACCATGATTGCGAAACAAGCAAACAAAAAGCAACATGGCACGTTCAAATACAAAGTTATAATAATAAAGGTAAGTCTTTATTCTTGTTTCTTACTAATAATTCATAATACAAAACATGCAGCCCGCGCCCATATGTCATTTACTGCCCAGTTATACCAAAAAACCCATCGGATATCTTAATCATTCATCATCATTTCTTAGCAACCCACTCGCCGGCGATCCAGCGGTTGACAAAGTTGATGCTGCCCTCGGGCTCATCCGTTGGTGTCATGTGGCCGGCGCCGTAGACCTGAATCCAGGTGAGGTTGTGTGATGACTGAACGTTACCGTATGTCTTGTCTCCAACAGTGAGGTCCTTGGTCTTGGCGCTACGGAACTCGTCACCGTGCTCCCACTCGAGGGCATTGACCCAGGCCTTGTTGCCGAGCCAGTTGCAGATGAAGTCGGCGTCACCGGCGTAGATAAGGACGGGAATCTCCTTCAGCAGGTCGGGAACAAGGCGGTAGATGGGCTTCATCCAGTCACCGTGCATCAAGAAGTTACGGTTGATGTCGAAGTTGCAGGAGTCGTAGGATGACACCTCAGCACCGAGGGCCTCCATGACATCAGGCTTGTTCAGGTACTCAGAGATGTAACCCAGACCCTTGTAGCACAGGTTGCCGGAATCCTCGCACTTGGAACGGATATCGTAGGGGTTGTAGCCAGTCTGCTGGTACGGTCCAATGAAGGCGTTGTTGCAGTAGATGGAAGCGGGCACGCAGAGCCAGGCGCTCTCCGAGTCGTAACAGTTCTTGATGAGGCTCTGGCAGCGAGGGAGGGAGCTGTCCATGGCATTGCACTGGCTCTCGCTCAGGACAGCGGGGTAGCCACCGTCACCGCAGGCCATGGGCCGGTAGTAAGCGTACTGGGTGAACTCATCAGTCAAGCCATTGCCGACAGCAATGCTCTTGAGGTTGATGTTGCGGTCCTTGTGGGAAAGGATCTCAGACGCAAAGGTGGGGACGTAGTGTCCGCCATATGACTCTCCAGCAATGTGGAAGTCCTGAGTAGAATACTCGGGGAACTGGTGGAAGAAGAGGGTGAGGAGGGCGTAGACGTCCTTGCCAGCAGCGACAGTGTCGCTGACTGAGCCGCTGCCATATGAGTAGCCCACATTGACCGGCTGGTCAAGGAAGATGACGGAAGCGTTGTTGTTCCATGCGTGTGGGTTGTTGACAATCTGGATCTTCTGGTTGATAGAAGCCGGGCCCAGCTCAAAGAAGAGACCGGTAAGGGAGGAGCAGCCTGGGCCGCCATTGAGCCACAGGATGACGGGGTCGTTCTTGGGGTCGTTGCGGGACTCGAAGAACCCTGTAAAGCACAACATTGATTAGCCATGAGGCCTGCGTATAGGGGAATTGTATTGATTAGGAAACTCACAGTAGAACAAGTGCTTGTCCTTCTCGTCGTCGTCGAGGTATCCGCTGAATTGCTTCACCTTATCGACACCGAGCTTTGCGGGATCGACCTTCTTGGCTCGCAGGCTGTAGTTGGACAGCTTGCCGCCCACCAGACGGCGGGACTCTCCAGTCTTGTCGTCCTCAACCCACACCTTCTGGAGGTCAGCACCCTTGACAACATGGTCCCATTCGCCATCGGCCTTGCGGTCGTGCTTCTTGGCCTTGATGCCCTTGGCCTCGGCAATGAACGCCTCCATGGCATCCGGGGCGAGCAGAGAGACCTCTTCCCAGACGGCCTTGGCATCGGCAGTGAGCTCGCCAAACGACTCCTTGAGGGACGAGGCCAACGCCTCAAAGTCGCCGCCGAACTTGACAGCCGGCTTGGAGTCGCCGAGGACCTTTTGGTCCTGGAAGGCCATGGCCGACGAGGCAGCGCCCAGCACGAGGGCGGAAGTAGACAACCGCATTGTGACTGATGGTAGTGATGTCAGGTACCAGAGTTCTCGATGCGGATTGAGATGGAGATGATGATAGAGATGGGAGAGGAATTGATGAATGAGAGATGGAAGAAGGACGAAGGGCCGGCTAATAAAGGGCGTGGCTGGCCGAGAGAGGCGGTCATTACGTATGCGAGCAGTCGCCAGGCAGCCCAACCTCTTGGTTCAAGCCCGGGGAAACTCAACCCAAAGCCGCTCAGGAACCTTGCCTAACGCATTCTTACTGTGAGGTACCTGTTGTTAGTGTTGCTGAGGCGCACTGTGACCCCCTCGCTCCTGGCTATAGGAGTCGGGTAACAGATAGTCGCTGCAGTAGCGTTGCTGCCTGTTAGTGCGCCAGCCCCCTTCGCCGGTCGCGGATCTCCTGCCTAGCACTGTCCGAGTCCCTTGATGGCCCGCAAGCGATCGCCATCGGAGACTCGAAAGACGATCGCTGAAGCAACGAGACAATACAAAAGCAGGTACCTGTCACACCTATATAAGCTGCAAATAGAATGAAGCCATTCTTGGTACTTACAGGCCTCACATACCCGCCGAGTCTCACATCTCTTTAGGCTCTTCCTAGGACTTCATGCTCCGTGCTTGTGTCTGTAACGCCCATACACAAAGTACTCCGTGCTATCCATGCAAAACAAAGGTCCCCCCGGGATACTGATAGCCCCCACATATTGCCATATCGGGTGTGGAGGCTCTCAGGCCCCGGCACGTACCGTTCACGTGGCCCCAATCAGCACTCAAAGCGAACGCGGTGAGGAGGTACGAGTACGAGTATCGCTATGGCTTCAGGCCTCACAGTTGGGCAACTTAGGTATCTATACTTGATGATGTACAGAGATACTGTGTAGCCCCTATTCAGTCAGAATCAGGGAGAATATTACCTGTATTTCGTCTCACTTTTATAGAATGGATTTTCTTCATGCCGTGTGACTCTTTTATTCGATCAGGTTGTATGATTGACGTGAACGAACAAGACTACATACCTTAGTATGTAATACAGCATTCTCAAGGATGTGGTTACTTTTAGGGAGTATATCGTATTACCAAACACCATTCAATGCATATCTGTAAACTCCTCCCCAAGCCTGTGGAGTGAGTGATACTTGCAAGCGGTGTTTAACATTTTTTTTTCTTATTTCATCTTATAACAATGCATACCCTATACAGAGACGCAGTCTAGTTGGCCTCTTCCGCAGCCTTGGCCGCTCCCTCTTCCTTCTGTTTCGCCTTCTCAGCCTTCTTCGCCGCAATCTGCTGCTCCTTGAGCAGTTTCTTCAGCTGGTTCTTGGTCAACTTTTCGGGGCCACCTTCTGTAGAGGCAGCGGCTTCATCTGCCTTAACTACCGGTACAACGAGATCTGCACGGGGCACCTTGGGGTTTCCCTGCCACTCTAACGGGCGGACGGCCATGAACTGCTTCACGACCTCGTCTGTAACCTTGGCTCTTCTCTCCTGGAATGCGCCGACATACTCCTGGAGTTTCGCAATGCATATCGCCTTGAGCTATTTACATGTCAGTCAGTATACCGGCCGCTACTCATAGGGGTTCTACATGAAGCACTCACCTCGCCAGTCAGAAGCTTGCCGCTGAGGTAGTCTGCCCTAATCTTGGCCAGTTCCTATAGTCATAGTATTAGCGATACTTGCTCCTATCAAGATCTCACGGGCACAAACCTCATCATCTTCCAGGAAGAACTGCAAGTATTGGTATGAAACATCGACATCCGGGTTGCCTCCCTTCTCACGGTGCTCCTCAACAGTCTCACGACCTCCTGAGAAGGCGTATTTGTTGACCTTGTTCTTGATCTCCTTGGCCGAGTCCTTCATGAAAATGGCAGAGGTGTCGTCACTGGCCGACATCTTGGAGCCAGGGCCCTGCAGAGCATCCAGGAATCTCATGTGCACCAGAGAGGGCTTGGCATAGCGAAGGCTCACGGCGCAGTCTCGCGTCAAACGGAAGTAGGGGTCCTGATCAATGGCGCAAGGAATCAAGCAGGGGATCTTGGCCGTCTTCTTCTCATCGTCACCAAAGATGTGGGGGAAGGATGTGGCGAAGGATGTGGCACCTTGAATGCTGGGGAAGTGAATCTTGCCGATGTTCGAGCTGATGAGGGAAGAAAGGTCAGTGACATGTTGTTCGTTGCGGTGAACTACGTAAATGAAGCATTCGAAAGACAACCCACCTTCCATCGAAGCCAAAGACGGCCTTGGCCACGTTGAAAGTGACCCTCTTGGAGAATCTAGAAATGTTTCTGTAAAAAGCGCCGCCCATGAACTCGTAATCAGAAAAGATGAAGGTCTTCTTCATGTCGAAGCCGGCAGAGATGATGTCCTTGGCGTTAGTTTGAGTGTAGCTCATGACCTCCTCAATTGTTCGCTTTTCAGAGAAGAGGAATTTCTCATCTGGATAAAAGAGTTAGTTTTCCTGCAACAATTCAATGAAGATCTTGAGATAGAGACAACTCACCATCTGTCAACATGATAATCAGGGGAGCGTCAAGAACATCCTGGAGCCACCTGTGACAACACATTAGAACACTCGCCCCAAGCCAAGGCCTCCATGAAACTCATACTTGACAAAATCAAACACTTGAGTATGTCCAATGTGCATGCTGTCACTGCTAGGGCCTCGTCCAGTGTAGAGGAAGAAAGGTTCATTCTGTAAAAAATGCGTTAGATTCAAAGTCTCATACTGAAGAGAGGCTTATAACACCATTCGCATCCTCTTCTTACCTTCTCATAACGATCAAGAATTGTCGTAAGATCTCTGTGGCTAAAGACAATTCCACGGCGCATAAATCGATGCGGCTTGCTTCCCGTCACCTTCTCCCAGCGCTCCAACAGCGCATCGTCAATCAAGCTGGTGCCGAACTCGTCAATGAGCTTTCGGTAGTCGATGGCCTTGACCTTGCCATCCTCGCCGACCTCTCCAGAGACGGACCACGGGTTGATGTCCTGCTTGCCGGTTGCGGCAGGGGCATTAACCGTCGTGTCCTCAACGGCTGGGGCAATCGTAGCGTCAGCCATTTTTAGCTATAGTTCTGGATATCGTCGAACAAAACAAGAGCGTTGTGAATAAAAATCTTGGACAAAACAGATCCAACACGGCAAGGCTTATGCGGATTCTATGACTCTCAAGACCCTCTTGTGACTCCTTGTGACTCAACACACTCAAAGGCGGGGCAGTACCAGGCGAATATCAGCAGAGCAAGAATTCAAAGGCCAGGGTGTTTTGCAAGGCTGCTTCGCATTCTTGGTGGGGTAGCGCAAGAGGAAAAAAAAGTTCAAAGTGTGTGCATCAGCTTCCAGATATGACCAGGCGGCAGAAAAATACACCTGAGACTAAGCTGGATTGGGTCACTTCTACTATGACAATACAATCGCTCATCTGGTAGGTGTTTAACATTCTAGTCTGAATTTACACTATGATGGCAGAAAATCGGAAAGGAATGAAATCGTGGTAGATCGACTTTTCTCAAAAGCCTTCTCTTATGACTCTTTCTACAAAGGGGTTGTAAAGTAAAAGCATGGAAGAGAAGTGGCAAAGACATCATCGCCCAGATTCAGTCTAAGCCAGGTCCGGATTTGTAATCCTCAGGTACGAGTACATAGATAATCCCCCGCCAAGGCTCTGCAAGTCAGCTAGCCTTGACATTTATATCCAACTTTGACGTCTTCTTTTTTTCTTGCACGTCCTTCCAAACAGCAACAACAAAACCAACACCCGTTTCCTTCATAAAGCGTTGATATTTATCTTTTCCATTTACTATTTTCGTTACTCTCAGCATTTCACGACTGTTACTCGATAATTCTTCGCAACAATGTCACGAATCAACCTTCCCTCCAACCAGATCAAGCTCACAAACGTCTCGCTCGTGCGCCTGAAAAAGGGCAAGAAGCGCTTCGAAATCGCTTGCTACAAGAACAAAGTCCTCGAATGGCGTTCCGGCATCGAGACGGACCTCGACAACGTCCTCCAGATCCCAAACGTATTCCTCAACGTCTCCAAGGGCCAGACTGCGCCCAAGGAGGATCTCGAAAAGGCGTTTGGCAAGGGCAAGAGCACCGACGAAATCGTCCTCGAGATCCTGAAAAAAGGAGAACTACAAGTTGGCGACAAAGAGCGGGCGGCGCAGCTAGAAAGGGTGCATAATGAGGTCATCAGCATCGTGGTCAGTAAGCTGGTCGATCCGCGGACGAAGAGAGTGTACACTCCCGGCATGATCGAAAAGGCCCTCGATATGCTGAGCTCGCAGGCGCACAGCGGAGAAAAGACGACGGATTCGGGAACTGCAACGCCCACGACGGCAGAGGCTGGCGAGGCCAAGCCTAAGACTAGGGAGCACACCTGGACGGGCGTTGTCACCACCAAGAGCGCAAAGAGTCAGGCCCTGGATGCCATGAAGGCACTCATCGCATATCAGCCCATTCCCGTCGCGCGAGCTCGGATGAAGCTCCGAGTTTCATGCTCTACCAATGTTCTCAAGCAGGCAGTCAAAGCGCCTAAAGCCGCCGCAAAGGAGGAGGATGGCGAAGCAAAAGCAGCCGGCACCGTCAAAGACCGGATTTTGAGCTACGTGGAGCAGGTTGAGAGTCAGGACGTCATGGGCTCGGAATGGGAAGTTGTGGGCTTTGTTGAGCCGGGCGCTTTCAAGGCTCTGTCTGATTTTATTGGCAACGAGACCAAGGGCCAAGGCAGAGTCGAGGTTTTGGATATGGCGGTTACACATGAGGATTAAAGCACAGAAATCAGATAGGAACCAAAAAAAGGAATAAAATGATACCCTCTGGCAACTTGACTGCAACTTGACTTTCGGAAGGGTGATAGATTTAAAAAAAAAAAAAAAATAAAAAAAAAAATTCATCGGCTGTAGTCTTCTCCACGTCGTAAAAATGTGCACATCTCGACAGCCACGGCTACAGTAGGATTTTATCACCATTCAATCACAAATATCAACACCATCATGGTAACGCTTTGAAAATGCTTTTAATTCATTTGACTCTGATCTAGAGTACAGCACCAGCTGCGTATGCCAGAAAGCAGTCCCATGGAAATGCTCATCACAGTGATGAAAAACCCAGCCGTCACGCCTGTCCACCCCAGACCGAAAACAGTAAAACCATTAGCCACCCTTCTTCTTGGAGACACCGACAGTTCGGCCACGACGACCGGTAGTCTTGGTGTGCTGACCACGGACACGGAGACCCCAGTAGTGTCGGAGACCACGGTGGGCACGGATCTTCTTGAGGCGCTCCAGATCCTCACGGAGCTTGGAGTCGACACCGTTGGCCAGGATGTGAGAGTCCTTGCCGTCAACAATATCGCGTTGTCTGTTCAGGAACCAGGCGGGGATCTTGTACTGGGTAGGGTTTTGGATGATGGTGACGATACGCTCGAGCTCTTCGGAGGTAAGCTCACCGGCGCTATAATTCAAACACATGTTAGTTTTCCAAACTCCTTTCAATTTTTGTGGTTTTCAACTCGCGGCCTCCGCCAACAAAGAAATAGCATGGATTGGTGGATTCTCGTACCGCTTGTTCAGGTCGACATCGGCCTTCTTGCAGACCAAGTTGGAGTATCGGCGACCGACACCCTTGATCTTGGTCAAGGCGTACATAACCTTTTGCTTTCCGTCAACATTGGTGTTAAGAAGACGGAGAATCTAGATGAGACAATGATTGTTAGCCCAAAAACGTTGCTCTCATGTTTTCTCTTCCACCCTCTCCCAGTCCGCCGCAAAAGCATCTCCAATGCTCTGGAAATTTTTGTTCTTTGCGATGATGACATCGACACGCCGCGTAAATTCCGTAGCAGCTGGAAACGTTTTGTCCGGGATGAATTGGAAACCACTTACGAACTGAAAGTTCGTCTTCTCTCCCGTGACGAGCGACATGCTGGGCAACTGTATGGGACGTTGCCTTGCTGCTCGTTAGATTCGATGGTTCGGGTTGAAGAGAAGAGGGCGGAGGATTTCCCAGGACTCGCTAAACATGGTGGAATTTTCGGCCCTTGTGGGGGCACAAAGTAGGGCACACACAGCGACTTGCCAACGTAAGCAATCACGTGCCATACCCACGTGACTCACTGGACCGAGGACATATTCGTACGGTATTTATGTACCGTGCGCATTTTTATTTACACCCTTAATCTTCTCCAAGCGGTAGAGCAAATATTTTCTTTCTTTGCCCTCCTCCACAGTCTATGCCCGCAAGGCTGGAAGCCGTCGTTACGATATGCCGCGGAGCTTCACTGTAATGGCAATGGATCTGATTTTCACTGCAGTGTCCAGAAGCACCTTGCTTGAACGGTAAGTGTCTCGTAGATTCTTCAAAACGTAGATACGCCTTATCGTCTTTTTCCATTGCTCGACCAGCGTGTCCTCGCCTGCTGATCTTGAGCCGGATGCCCATACTTTGTATGAGTATAAGACAAGAACAATCACAACGTTTTTTGAGTACGAGGTCTTTATTCTTCGTGAAGGCTGTTCGTAATTTATCTGTTGTTACATGCTATGATCTACATTTCTATAAGACTGAGCCTGCGGGTCATTGTGGTCCATTACCTTGACCTCTATCCATTATGACCACGCTTGCTCGCTCGTTTTGCTCTATCTATTCGTCCGTCAACCCATTGTACCCGAAGCTTAAAACAACCACAACCAAGACTACCAAACCCATCAGCCGAAGAAGAAACAGACCCCGTTACTCGATCGCATGCTATTAGTACCATTACCCGATCAAAACATTTCAGCAGTCCCTTTTTTTGTCCTTGGCGCATCTCTTCTCTCATTACAACTCCACATCATTGTCGTACTATATGCTGTTAGATGACCGCTCATTATAGAGAGTTAGGAGTTGTATATTTACCTCTTTTGGCTGCGTCAGCCTGCTAGACAAAAGATCCAAGAGGTTTGCCCGATCCATCTCATTTGATTGAGTACCACCTCTTGAGGAATGCGCAATCATGACTTCAACCTGGTTAAGCCCACGTATTTCTAAGAGCTCGTCCAGGCCCAGGACGTCTCCCAGTCGTGTATTCTTGTATGCCAGAGGGAAGTAAGACTTCATCAAGGCCGATCGTTCGTTGAGATGAATGTATGTCAGTCTAGAGATTACGATTCCCAGACTCTTAAGCTTGGGAACCGATTTCAAGAGCTGAAACGTCTTTGCCGCCTCGGGACCGCTCCACTGAACCACGATTTTCCTTACGTTGTCAAAGAGTATGTTGTTATTCGTTAAATGCGATCGTAGCTCGCAGGGGCAGCGGAATCGAAACGTCTTGGTGCGGAAAAATACTCGATAGAATTCTAAAGTTATTAGATTGGGACCAAAGATGCGCTTCAGGTCCTTCATTTGCGTTGTCTGAAAGGTGTTGTCTCGGTCGAAACGAGGACATTTGCAGGGGCCCGGCCTGTTGCTTGCCGGCAAAACGGATTTGGTGCGGAACACATTATTTATCATCAGAGCGAAGATTCGCTCTCGTATCTCCATTGGCAACCGAAAGAAGGGGAATCCATCAACCGGAGATTTCCTATCTATTGACGTGTTAATATGTGATGACATGTCGAGGCCAAGAGAACGCGCAAAACCCGAGTCTTGACTGACCTGCAATTTCCAGAAGCTCTGTACACATCTCAATGACGTCGACACACGTGGGAATCTCGTTGGGTTGATTCTTGATGATGTTGGCGCATTTCGTAATAGTATTGGCGATGGCCGCTCGGCGTTTTGGACTCAACCGCACGAGTCTGCCAATCTCCTCTGCGTCGATAGAGCCGTTATGGTGGTCATCGAGGGCAATGAGCAGGTCCTGTATGTTCTTGTTCAGACCGTACCTGGCCGGCACGGCCTTGGTCTTGAGGGTGTAGAACGACTTGAGAGGCATGGTTGATGGCAGGCCGCTCACGATGAATTTGAGTACAGGTAGTTGATGGGAGCGTGTCTTTCTCGATGCAAGATTAGAGTCTCACAGATCCAGCTGCTGCCGTTCAAAATGTTTTTAAGATGGCAGAGTGTTAAACTCTGGGCAGTGACGAGATTTTCCAAACAAGAGGGAAGGAGGGCACCTGCCAGCTTTATGAGACGTTCGCCAGCTGCCTGGTGGCTGGTGGAGACCCGAAGTTTCCAGAGAAACTGTTGCATCACGAACAGGCAGTGTAAAAAATGATGTGGAAGAGAAGACTCAACGTTTCAAGAGAAAGTAAAAAAAGGGGAGACATTTATAGGATATCATAGATACGGGGGGGAAGGGGCGGCACTACACTGGGAAGGTAAAGTAATTATTTACAGAGTAGCCGGATGCCTCGTGTTGTGAATTCATGGCTTGTAAAGAGAACGCGAAATGAAACGCCATGGCTATCAAGACCCAATATCGGGAGAGCACCTACATAGTAATTAGTAGTGACGGGCGGATAGGGTTCACATTCACTTGCTTCACGGACATGTAGAAGGAAAACATTGGAATAAGCTTCTGAAATCGTCAACGCGACGTAATTTTCAAGAGCCTCAGAGTTTGGAGAGCACTACCCGACCTCTTTTATAATCAGATAGATACAAGGCAGATTACGCTCACTTTCAGGAACGAACAGGGATGATGTGTAAGTAAATACTGAAATGCATTAAAATATTTTCTAAAACTACCAAAATACGAGCACATTATTGTGTACTGTATATGTAACCCAGTTGCTCGAGCTGTGTCGAGTGCTCCCGTCCAACGCCATGATCCGTCTACAGCAAGCATGATACTCCTGTAGAATGTGCCCAATTCCATAATAGACAAAAGAAAAGCCGGTGCAAGATGCCAGAACCCCCCATATCTAGCTGTAAAAGCCGCCCCCATAGTCATAGCCGTTTGCGTCGTGATAAAACATAACACAGGGTGAACGCGCACACCTCGTGCCGGAGCCGAGGTGTGGGTTGCACGAAGAAAGAATATTGCTGAACCAAGGAAATAAAAAAAGCAGCGGTCACATGAGGCTCGACGGTCTAGTAGATCTAGATCTGTCCCCTCATGCAGGTACGCTTGGCACCGGTGTTTAGCGCAGGTGTAGGTGGCGTCCATCCTCCGCATCGTGTATATTAAAACAGCGAAAGTAGGAGAAAAAGGAGGTCGAAAAAATAAGAGGTAAAATAAGACAAGGTCGAAGAGGATGTATAGTCGTCGAGGGATGGCGATATTGAATTTTTTTTCCCCAGTGAAGGGATTGTTGAACCAGCACATGGTTGCTGTGTGCCTGGTCAGGTACCGAAAGTGTGAATCGATGCGCTGCGTGCATATAGCCATATAGCCGGTGATCGACTTGGCGAATGGGGAAAATTTCCGGTCGCAAGTCGCATAAGCATCGGTTCCCGGCTGTGCATCGTGCATATTGCAGAAAGCTCAGATCAGATGCTGTCTGGCGATCCAAGGTCGAGGCTGCCGTTGCGAGTGCAGCACGGGCTGATGCCGTCAAAGTCGAGATCAACGACTTGGCTCGGGTCGCTGGCGCCAAATGTCATGGTGAAATGGCTGAGCATCTCCTGGTGCTTGAGGTTTTGTTCCGTCAGGGGCTTTTCGCTGGGATGCTTCCAGGTCCTGCCCTTGTTCTTCTTGCGGTTCTTTTCCTCAGCCTTGGCCTCCTTCTCCTTGGTGTCCTTGAATAGCCTTGAAAGCACCGAGCTTGTCTTTTTCAGCGACAGTTGAGGCGCCGATTCGTCGCTGGAGCTTTGTCGGGTCGAGTCTGTTGTGGCATTTGAGTCTGTCTGAGAAATAGTGTCTGAGTCGTCAGATCTGCGCAGGGCGCGACGAAATCGGTCCCGGATGGCCATTGTGATGTGAAGAGATGCCGGATGTGTGCCGTAGAGGGCGAAGTAGATTCGAAGTCGAGAGCGACGAGAGGCTGATGCGTTATATGCAGGTACTTTGTATGCAGGTGTGCAGCTGTGAATGTAGCCGCGAAGCAAAGCAACTCGGGTATCACAATAAGGAGCCGAAGACGGGGGTGCTCGCTGTTTTTATTCCGAGTACATCAAGGTATTGACTGTTTCAAGCCCAAGGCTTAGAGTTTGTGAATGGCTGAAGAAGCTTTGGCGCCACGATAGACGGGAAAACCAACGCAGGCGCGGCGGGAGCAGATCGACGACTATTAAAGGGGACCGAGCGAAAACCGCTCACGGATCAAAGGGCAAATGTATGCGAACTATTGCTAGTCAGGGCTTTGTACAAGCATGCAATGTTCCAACACTACTGGCTCAGCATTACTGTGTACGAGTACTGTTCAGCACAGTCCGTGTTCCCTTTACGGAGCGCCCCCAGTGGCGACTCCAGCGCTCGGCCTTTCTCGAGCGGAGCAGAAACCACCACGAAGGCAGCAGCCAAACGACCAGGGCCCCAACGCGAGCTGCTTGCGGCTGGGATTGGCCCAGCCGGCGGTAAATTGGGCCTGGCCGACTCCAGAATCTCCAGGAATTCGTGCAAGCTGCAATTCCCCAGCCCGGGGTTCCCGCAGTCTCCACTGAAAATGAAGTCAGTATGGAGCTGCAGCCCGGAGAATGGCCTTGTTTGCAGCTGCCCAATTTTAGCGGCCTGTTTTAGAAGGGGGGCGCTGTTCTGGAGCGGTTTTTTTTAGCGACCTCCTGATTCTCTCTCCCTCCCCCCCATGGCGGAACTTTTCTCAGCCTCTGGGCCAACCAAGAGCCCAATTCCCCGAATGCGCGCGCCATCGTCCAACCCGACGGCCATATTTGGGGTCGTTGAGAGCGCGTAGATTCGCGGGGGCGCCGCTAACTGTCCTCTCCGAGATTTTAATTTCCTTGGTTCTGCAGCCATGATCTGGCGCCAGAACCTTGGAACGCCACCCAGGAAGGAAAATGTTGGCCACTGCCGCAGCGTCGTACTGTATGCATGTTTAATTACCACTTCGGCTCTCCTATCCTGTCTTCTTATCTTACTGAATCAAACTTTTTTTTTTTCTCTCCTTGTCAGAGGCTGAGGGTGCCAGGATAGGTAATGTCAGAAGAGGGCGGAGACGGCGAGACACTTTAGTAAGCCGGACTTGTCCAAGGATTCGGACCCAAGCCCGCGGATGGGTGGACACTGCATGTGTCTTGTCTCTCGTGTTCCGTTTTCTCACGAGCTTGTGATTGTACGCGGCCGGAAGCAGGCCCAGACCATCTTGCTGTGTGCGGCGTGTCTCAACGAGATGTCTCAACGAGATGCCTTTGGTCTCGTCCTCTTCCGATGTCCTTATCTGGCGTGAAACCTCCATGTCGCATTCCGTTTGGTGTGGCGTTTGATGTGACAGCTTTTCGATTTAGTTCTGGCACCGACACACACATGCCGAGTCGCCGAAGGAATCCGCGCAGTTCTCGGTCACACTCACCAGAAGCTGACTCGCTGGATGTCGCACACCATCTTAGCGTATTAGCAGTATGCGACTCTGCAAAGGCCCGTGACAGTCGCAAACGGAGCCGCCATGGATGTCAGTCGCTGTCGATCGGCCACAGATCTGGGCTCAGCGGACACGGGATGTCCTGGGAATAACATTTTGCCTTCAATGACTTGGACCTGGACCATGCACGAGTAATCTGCACCCATTTATGCACTGAGAACACAATTTGTTTCGACCTCGGCACTTCCGCCCCCAAAATGATTTCACCTTCTCCTATTGCGCCGGCATAAACCCGCATGGCACGCTCGTAGACTTATAATTTGAAGTCTTTTACTCTGCATTGACCCGCGGGTGAGCCGTGTCTCTAGCCCTTGGCGATCTGTACTGAAAGGCGCTTGATGTTTTTTCGCCAAGGCCTTCGACTCTGCGTCTTCAGCGGCTGTGGCGGGCTCCGTCGGTGCCACAATCTACTTGCACCCTCTTCTCGGTTGTGCCGTCCCGTAAAGAACCGGCGATACAAGGCTGATCTCTCGTCGTCTCCGATGCGGGCGCCTCAATTTTTTGGCAAGTTGTCAGCCACAGTGTCTTTCCTAAGGTGGCGGCACTAGCATCTACAACTTCGCCTCCCGGTTGTTGAGAGGGCGAAAACAACGAGGAACTATTACTCCGTTAAGGCCTTCCCGGAGCCATTCAGGTCGAGTATCATCAACATGTGTCTGTTCAATTGGCGGGCCTGAGACCCAACTCAACAATTGAAAGAAAAAGAGAAGAAAAAAACACAATGGGTGGAGCTGAGACAGCCCTGTTCAACCTGACATCGCTATGCTACCATGTGCCCAAGGCGTTGATCTTGTTGGACTCGGAACATCCGTGATGCGCAGACTTGCATGGAACGTGCTTGGGCTAGAAGTGCTCTGGAATGTTTGGTCTGGAACGTTGCATGCAACCCATTGAGTTTTGCTGAAGCTTGATCTGCGCTCTCAATTGATGCTCCACATATATCGGTAGCATCCATGGACAATAAGGGCGGATGATCTGAAGATAAGCTCTTCATGCAGCTTTGACATTCCTGCGGACAAAGTTGTCTCTTAAGCATCATGCAACTTAAAATAGATTGCATTGACTTTCCACTCATTTTTTGCCTCATTTTTTGCCTCATTTTTTGAGAAATGACCAACCTTGATTACCCAAATATTTGTGTATATGCTCCGTACTGAAACGTTCATCCGTCAACTATGGAGTACTTGAGCTGGTATTCTGCATCATAACACCAACAAAAACCATAAGAACAGCTGCGTAAGCAAATGTAGCCGCGAAAACAGCATCCAGCGACCCCATGGATAACGCCATGAGTAAACCAAACGCAGCTACATAGCCCGTTGTCACGCCAAGGCTTAGATATATCTCTTGTTTGAGCACCATCAGCCACATCGGGAAAATAAGAAATGCGCCGCCAACTACGGCGCCCCCAATTCGCGATAGTAATGCCTTCTTCTTAGTCTCTCCTCTCATATTTGCAATGGACTTTGCGCTCTGTCTATGTCTGTCTTCCCATGGTCCTGTTGGGATGGTTGTTTCCACGGGGGTTTCCACGGGGGCCATGTCAGGGGCCTCTTTGCCATGTAACGTAATGGTGGATTTGAGATAGATGTTGCCGTGGGCACGCTCGTTAAACGCAATAAATGGGTCGCCTGGGCAATTGTAGAATTCACAGACATCATCCCAGCTCAAGTCGTCTTCTGAAATGGAAGATACCTGGTGCTATGGAGTATTGTTTGTATTGACTTTTCCGGGCTTGGGAGACATTGGCCAGTGGAATGATTTCAGTTCTGAGTTGCTCGATCTAATGTAAAGTCACGAGGCGGACGCTTAAGTCTGTATGAATCATATGAAAGCTTCTTTGGAGATTCAGATTGATTGCCTTTTAACTCAGAGCCACCGCCAAGCTTTAGCATCAAGTCAGCCTTTGCCAGGTTGACATCTGCCATACACGCCTCGGCTACGGCGCTTTCCAGCAAGTTGGATAGAATGTTTAGCAGGAAAACGAGAGTTGGGTAAACAAGTGCTCATATGAATTAGTAGTGAATCGGCGGCTCTAGAGCAACATAATGACAACATGTAGTTGGATGTTGCTTATAGCTTAGAAGGCTGATACATGTACTTTGGTCTATTGTCTAACTTCTATTGATTGACATTGTAGTATCACATAGAGTGTGTCATATTAGCTTAAACGATCAATCTACTCTAAATAACCCTTCAAATTTCTGAAGGCAATGCCTCGAAGCGATGCGAGCGACTTCAAGTTTCAATGTGCATTCTTGTACAAGGCCATTCATCCGCCGCTGTGATTGGTCGGTTCAAATATAGACCTCAGTGATGTCACTGACCCATCAGCCTGACCTTCAGCGCTCTTCGTGCCTGAACATCAGCGCCTGCGTCAGAGCCTGACGAATTTGATTGGCCAACGCCCACATGACGCATCACGATGCCCACCGACCTGCTCCCTGAGCTCGTGATTGATGCGACTTGACTTAGCCGTCATCTCAGCGTAACCAAAGGCCTCTTCTTCTCTACAGGCTGTGTGTCTCACCAGTAGGACTAGCATCTGTGAGACCGGTACACCATCCCGATCGATTGTCTGTCAACGGTAAATGCTGTGCCAGCTGTGCGGTCGCGTGGTCCTTCTGCCCAAGATCCTCAGCTTCGCCACATGATTTGTCTGATTTGAGCAAGGCGCCTGATTTGTTCAAGCTACTCCGTCTGTATACCCAGCTGAAAGGCCTTCAGGACGGATTCCAATCCTCGCCTTACTCGGCCATGGCCCTCTCGTGAAGCTACCGCCCATAGCCATTATCACCAAATCATCACCACATCATCGCTTTGTCGTCTCCACAACGCACTCTCTCTTGAGACATCGCATGCTGCTCCGCTGATCGACGCCGACGGCGCAGCCGCATCACAATACGAAATCCGCATCCACGTGTCTATACTCCACTGGCCGCCGCCATGACGGCATCATCCCCCCACGAGCCTGACCATGGCGAACCTCCTGTTCCTCGTCAGCAACAGTTTACTCCGAGCGCCAGCATGTCATCGACTCCAGATGCTGTTACGCCCCGCAACCGCTCTCTCGACGAGCAGCCAGAGCACGAGCGTGAACCTGTAAACGACGAACACTCGCCGCTATTACCGCCAGCCGACTACGATGCATTTGGTGCCAGATCGGGAGGACGAAGTGATGGCCATGATGATGACAGCCAAACCACCAAGAGCTTGTGGTACCTGACCATCTTGACCATCGGTATTGGAGGTCTGCAAATCGCGTGGTCCGTCGAGCTTTCCAATGGCTCACCATATCTGCTGTCCCTGGGACTAAGCAAGTCTCTCATGGCTCTGGTCTGGATCGCGGGGCCACTGACCGGTACCTTGGTGCAGCCATATGTCGGCATGCTTAGCGATAGCTGCCGCCTCTCATGGGGTAAACGGAAACCGTTCATGCTCGGTGGTGCCGCTGCAACCATAATAGGGCTGCTCTTCTTGGCTTGGACAAAAGAAATCGTTAGCGGCGTGTTGAGCCTCTTTGGGGCTGATCCCGAATCACACGGCGTCAAGATTACCATCATTGTGACGGCGGTGATTGGAGTCTATCTGCTAGACTTTGCCATCAACACGGTCCAAGCTGCCCTCCGAGCTTTCATCGTTGATTGCGGGCCTGCCCATCAACAAGAGGCTGCGAATTCCATGGCCAGCCGTATGACAGGTATAGGAAATATCATCGGCTACATTGCGGGATACGTTAGTTTGACGACACCCCTCTGGTTCCTGGGCAATACCCAGTTCAAGATTCTTTGCGCAATCGCAAGTATCTCGCTGGGATCTACGGTCATTTTGAGTGCCTCCGTGATTAAGGAACGAGATCCTCGATTAGACGGCCCTCCACGCAAGAAGCAGAGCATTTTCTTGTTCTTCTTTACCCTCTTCAAATCCATCAAGCGATTGCCGCCGCAGATCAAGCGGGTGTGTCAAGTTCAATTCTTTGGTTGGGTCGGCTTCTTCCCTCTCTTGTTCTATACATCTTCGTACATTGGAGAGATCTATGTCCAGCCTTTCCTTGAGAAGAATCCCCACATGACCCCCGAAGAGATTGACAAGCTATACGAGCAAGCAACTCGAATGGGTTCCTTTGCTCTCCTCATCAACTCCATTGTTAGCCTGCTGGTTAATGTGTTTCTTCCTTTTTTCGTTGCCCCTACCTATGATAGCCATCCTGTAGGAGACAGTTCGGAATCTGGCACCAAAAAGTCGTTCCTGGATCACTTGAGAATACCCGGCTTCACCCTTAGGCGGGCTTGGTTTGGGTCTCTCATCCTCTTCGCCATCGTCATGGTTTGCACTGTCTTTGTGAGATCTGTCAACGCAGCCACAGCCTTGATTGGAGTTGCGGGAATCACTTGGGCCATTACCCTCTGGGCTCCGTTCGCCATCATCAGCGCCGAAATCAGTCGGCGTGATGCTCTCGCCCGCGCTAGACGCCCCCGAAGAGACAATCGTGATGCTCCTCCGCCCTTGGCTCCCGCCACTGGCCACACATCTCCAATGGAAATGACAGAAGCACCAAAGGAGGAGGAAGTGGATCAGGCGGGTGTGATCATGGGCATCCACAACATGTCCGTTTCCGCTCCTCAAATCATTGCCAATATAGGGTCGAGCTTGATTTTCAAGATATGGCAGAAGCCGAGGGGAACACCAGGCGACCATAGCATCGCCATCGTCTTAGCGCTTGGAGGTCTGTTTGCGCTGGTATCTGCCTTTTTTGTGCTCAGAATCAAGGACGACGTGTCTGTTCCGCCAGAGACGTTGGCTGACGAAGAACATGGTGATGCGAACCAGGATGATGATGATGACGATGAGTCCCCTGACGGAGACTTTTCTGGAAGCACCAAGCCTGGTTACTCCGCGGTGCCAACGGGAGAAGCTGACGCCCCGAGACTGGTAAGGAACCCCAGTTTTGGAGGCTTAGAAGTAGCGTCTGGATCTGATAGATGAGATGATGACTGAGTTTGGAGAGCAACGGGCTTCCTATCAACTGCATAATATGGCATGCTATTTAGCACGAGGTATGAGGCAAGTAGACGTAGCAAGTTGGTTCAGTATATACGTGACAGTAGATCTCAGTAAAGCAGGATATTAGTTGTATTAGTTTAGTTCTACTAAAGGGTAGAATTGCGTGCTTGAGTATATGTATTATTAGCGCATTTGTCAATAATAACCCCGTCGAGCAGAAGAAGCCGATTTTCAGCATCCATCTTGAGCCACTTTCAGTCACACGTCGAACCTGCCATTTGGCACCAAACCCCCAAAGCCCATTTCTGGTAGAAACCCGATTCCTCTTTTCTGCCATTGTGAATTCATTCTCTGCAGGCAATTTGACCACGACTGCCCTTTGGCAGGAGGCTCGTTCTCATGCCCCAGGTCCCATTCGAAAGCTCCCTTGGACAACAAAATCCCATCTCGCTTCACTCCTTAAGCCGCAGCCAACCTTGCCCTGCCAACCTTGCAGACGCCCATGGTAGTGACGACTTCTCCAGGCGACGGGCCCGACATTTGCCACGTGCTGGCGCCGGCCCAGAAGTGGCAGAACGAAGTGCCGTTGACGCAGTACGTGATGTCGCAGTGGATGGCGGCGGGCGAGATGGTGGGCGCCGCGGTAGCTGTGCTCGTGCTGTTGAGAACGGAGGTGGATGTGCTGGTAGCTGGAAGAAAGATGGCCGTGGCGGAGCTGGCGAGGAGGAGAGAGATGTATAAGATGGGCTTTAGGGAGAACATTGTAGGTGGTTTGTTGCTAACGGATTTATCTTGTGTGTTGTTCTTGTTGTTGATAAGTCTCCTTTTTCTTTTGTTTGTGTATAAGTTCAATGTCGGTGGTTTGCTGGTAACTGGGTTTTTTCCCTGATGTGTGGTTGCTGTTGAGGCAAGGGCTCGATTGTTCCTGCCCTCGAAGAATCAGGGCATATAGGGAGTACCTTGATAGCACGATATATCTTGCAGAGCCATAACGGAGAGAGGAAGACAAAGTCACGCCTCTTTTATGTTGATCTTGAACCGTTTTTATCTGAAAAAAAAAAGTACAACGAAACGGCAGCCTCACCGATGGTAAGTGATTCATTCACACGTGCAGCCATGCTATCGAAATCAGCTGTGCTCGACTTGTGATTCAGGGCTTGAACGGCGGTGAGCCATTTTGCCTCCCTGGGTAGTCCTAGTCGCTCTCGCTCTCTCTTTTCCCTTCTCTTTCTTTTGTGACAACATTTCACACTGGTGCTACGCAAAGTCTGTATCTAAAACGGAGATGATGCTCCTTGACGTCTATGTGATTTCTTCGCGGATGCCAGCATACTATCTCTAGAGCTTTACACTCTCTAGATGTTCCAGGAGTAGGCTGTTTCTTCCATCAGTCTGGAGGCTAGCTCAGAAGAGTGTCGATGAAGGAGCTTTCTCTCTGGGAGCCGACTTTGGTGCTCACATTTACGAAATCAGGCTTTCTCGCAATGGAAACGGCCTTTTCAAGGCAACTGTCACCCAGCCGTCGAAGCAAAGCAAAGATCCATTCTTTATTGACATCATCTTAGAAACTCCAGGAAACAAACCCCCGAAAAAGAAGCAGCTCAAAGCTTCAGATTCACATTCTGCCCAGCCATAACCCACAAAGACACCAAGATGGCCGATCCTGCCGCCCAGCAGATCGACCTCACAGGAGCCAGCTTTCGGTTCTGGCACAAGACGACGTAGGCAAAGATGTACGCAACTCGGGAGATGAGATAACCAATAGTCAGCAAGTTGAGCATCCGCACGTTAACGCCCGCGTAGTTGGCCGCCAGCACGCCGGAGGCGTACAAGCCCACCGTCTCAAAACCGTTCTCCTGAGCGCCCTGGGCTCTTATGAAGCGCTGTTGTTGCTGTGTAAAAGACGAAGAGTCAACATCAAATTCTTTCGAGTCGGATTGGTAATGGGAAGAGCTAGGGTTAAAAACAAGTGAGAACTCACGATTTTGTCGAGCTTCTCATCAGCAAGGACAGTTGCCCTCGTCTGTCGCGGATTGGCAGGGTCAAACGATTTGCCAGCTATGGCATTGGCAAAGGCTCCGGGAAGCATGCATAGCAGAAATGCTGCAGGAACCTAATGTGAGTAGAGTTGAGTTAGTTGCAATTCATCATGTCATGCGGTCTCAGTTTGACGCCTCGTACAGTGAAGAACGAATAGTTCTTGGTGAGATCCAGGCCCGCGATGAGACTCATTTTGACTGGTAGTTGGTTGAGACGAGAGATGGTTTAAGTGGCTTTGAAGAGCACAACACCGATTGAGGTTTCTGGATAGATCAAGAGATGGCAGCCTTATTTTTCCTCTTCGGCGATTTTTTTTTTCTTAAGTACCTGATTTCTCCCACCGTGTCCAGAGCGGGTACGAGTGAGAGGCATGTACATGGATTTAAATGCACGTCCTCTACCTACGATATTACCCCATACCAGAAATCGAAGCTACCAGGATACCGCTTTCTCCATTCAGTTTAAACACGTAATGCACGCAACCTAGAAAACAAAACCCTGGCGATCATCCAAAGCCCGATTTTCCTAGTCCTGATCAAGCATCGTCAAAGCATGCGATTCATTGCCAAGAGACGCACAAGTAAAGGCCAGATTTGGGGGGTTGACGCGCGTGGGGGTTTTGATTGGACGAGAAACTCCTTTTGCCGACGACCCGAAGGCCGAAGGAGATTGTGCTGTGCCTCTTGGGAATGGCCAAGTTGCATCAACGAGTAGCCTATTTGACGACTTACTTTTGGTTTTCGGACATTTTCGCAATACCGAGGTGGCAGTTTTGCCCTTTGTGATTACAATTGCACATATGCAGGTCTTAATATGCTTACGAATTGTTTTGTTATAGGTTTCGAGACACGTATACTATCTGTTAGATTAGTAGTAATTGCTGCCTATTGCTGCTTATGCAAATGGTCGGCAAATATACGATTTAGTTCTTTCGATTAGGTAGTTTAGGAAGCACTCTATACAGACAACCGATTACACCCTATGTATAAGAATTGCTCAATCTATACTATCTATGGCGAGCTGGTAAAAAAGTAATGTACAGTTTTGAAGTAAACTTTAATCTCCAATAGAACGAGAAGGTAACAAATAAAAAAAAGAGATAAGTCATCATGGTCAAGCATTTAGTCAACTCTGAGGGTATCTCCTCCTCCTCCTCCTCCTCCTCCTCCTCCTCCTCCTCCATCAAGCTCTCTACTTCTGCCCCTTCCCATCGTCCAAAATCCTCCTTCTTTGCCATGTTCAGGCCGTGAATCTCTTGGGAGAAGTCCTTGGCAAAGCATTTCCTCTTGTCGCAACATTGGGAGCCTGGTTATATACCTTGACCGAGTTGATAAGCCAAAAGGCCTTGGCAAAGGCCGAAGGATTGTTAGAGACATAGTCCTCGCACGCGTCGGCCAAGGCGGCGCACTCGCTGTTGGATGCCCAAGCCTGGCCTGCCCAGTCACCGCAAAATGTAGTGTCAAAGACGATCTGGTTGTTCTTGAAGTAGTTATCGATGCTGCAGCCGTTGACGCCGGTAAACTTGGCGAGGGGTTGACCCCAGCCGTCCGGATTAGGCGTACCAGTGGTGATGTCGAGGGGAATGTTAGTTCGTGGGAAGAACCAGACCGCAATGTGCTCGGATGTCCATTCGGTGGCATAGACTCCTCCCCGAATAGCATTGAAGCCATCACCATAATTCTGATTGTCCGTGGTTGACTGGCCACATCCCGAGTTACTGTTATTAGGGCCGCAGTCGCTGCTGAGCAGTTGAGTAGACGAGGTAGATCCACTGTTGCTAACTGAGAAGCCAGGGCCTGTATGCAGCGTAATAGAGTTGGTCGTCTGAGTGTTTACACCCTCGATAATGTCGATTTCTCCCGAAAACGGCCAATCAGGGCCAAGCAGCCAGAAAGCAGGCCAGGCTCCGCAGATACTTCCCGGCATATGAGCAATATCGGCAATGAAAAGCCCGTGCGTGAAGGATTGTTGCGAGCTCACACGAACTGATTTGCGGCCGTTGGGTGGGTTTTTGGTAGTGTAATCGACGCCCATAAAGACTCCTCCAATAGAAGTCCCGGCGAGGCCCAAGGAGTTTGCAGTTTGAGCATCAACATATTCGACAAAACCATGCGTTGGATCCGAGTCTGCGTAAAAGTCGAAGTGAGAAAAGAAGTTGGTTGCGTCGTAAGCAACGTCCAAAGCATATTGAGAGTATTGCGCGAAAGCACCTTTGCCAGCAAAGAGTGCGGCGATAGATAGGGCGAGACCTCTAGAGGCATACATGATGATGCGGTGATATAACAGTTTGTGGGTATCTCAAAGTTGAAGAATGTATTTCGAATGTCGTTGATTGTCGTGTGAGCCAGCCACAGGATGCAACAAAAAAAAAAGATCGCCTTGATATAATGATGGAAAGGAAAGAAATGGTTTATGTGCTTTAGCAAAAAGGCGGGGGAGAGAGGCCAGTAGTGACTGATATGTCAAAACCAAATGGAATCTATTCATAGACCGAGTGAATTGTAATTGAACGGGACTCGTCTAACCAACAAATGACCGTTTGTTACTCAGTGAGGAATACCAGCTGCCGAAAGGATTGAACGGCCCAGGCTGAGAGTCCAGTGAGTTGAACCGAGGGAGTGAGAAGAAAGTGAACGGCCAAAGGGGCAATCCTGCGTGTCAATGGGAAGCAAACCAAACTCATGGTCAAAGCCACTGGGGGAACATGTGGTCATCTAAATACAGGCCGCAATGTCTCTGATTCTCTTCTTCCCGGTTCACGGACAGGGTCTTTGTGTAATGAGCGAGAGACATTCTGGCCCCGTCAATCTCAGCCGCAGCGCAGGCTCCACGGCAGATTGGCCAGGGCTGCAAGAGTCATGATTGTGGTCGATGGCCAAGATGCTACTGGTTATTCTTTGTGCGTGGTCCAGGTGTAGTCAACTGCGTCGCTAGGCGCCAAAGGGGGGCGGGAGTCTTGGTGTAATTGTGAGACGATGGTATCAGCGCCTCGTGGCCAATGAAGAGCTGCAGTCGGGGATTTCTCGCAGCGCGCGGTGCCTGGCGTTGGCGCGGTTTTCCCCTGATCAGCGCACTTTTACAGGCCAGCTAGCGAAGGGCGGGATGGCCAAGGGGACCGTGTAATAAGATCCAACATCCAGTATCCATGCATCTATGTCAAAATGGTTGGTGATTCGTGGTTAGGTAGTTATATGTCCAAAGATGAATGAGATTAATATTTGCATATCAGAAACAAGACTAGAAGGAGGATATTCACCGCCATATGGTGTCTCAGATAGTATTTTCATAGGTACTAATCTAACCGATGCCACCTGCACTTTTGTCAAGGCACAGCTACTACTACCAGTCACCTCAATTGAAGTAGACGCGGCTTTGCTATTGCAGAATCCCAGATTCAAAAGAAACAGAACGAACACTTTCATAGCTGATCTACGATTTAAGGGCATGTTCATTTCCATTGTGCCCATGCATGTGATCAATTTTAGCCGCGCTGGACCACCACTGTACGCGGCTACTCGAAACAGCTTACTTGCCAAGGCCTACATGGTATGGTTGTGCATCAAGATACTGATGCTAGGTACTTAAATATATATCTTCGCAATTTCACCTGTGTCGGCAATATAAATCTAGTTTCTCTCTCTATTCAGCATCTTAGTATCATCTTTACGGCATCAATTGGACGGAAACCGGACATCACACTTCTAAAACCGTGGAACACATGATAAAGAGCAAACGACCAGTCTCATCACATGTCATTAGCCATCACTCTGTCCATATTCCTATACGAAGAGTCCATTTTCAACACCTACCTACTACTTAGTATGTAGTACTGATATAATTCCACGGTCCTTTTGAATCACAATGCAACGTTGATACATCACACGGCAGCTTCACTCTCGCAGAAACCGCCATCATGACCAACTCCCCGCCCACCATCAAGACACCTTCTTCGGCCCTTTTAATCCTCTCTCACTCACCCGTACACACAGACACACACACAAACCTCCCCCCGAAACTCACTAAATCATGCCACTCCTATTCAATCAATCCGCTCCCCCTAAAAAAATCCTCCTCCGGCCCGTTTCCGCCGCAGATCATGTCACTTGCCATCTCCGGATACCTTCATCGCCAAAAGAACCCCCCCTTGTCTCCATCGCTTATCTGCTCCACGACTCGCCTCGAGAGCCCACAAACGGGGGCCATCTCCTTTCGCATGGGTATCGCCCAGACCGTCCCCGGCAAATCGCCCGCCGGAGATCAGCAGCCGCCCATGCATGGCATATCTATCTGATCAATATCCGACTGGAAACCGCCATTGACCAAGATCGACAGCCGTCAAAATTTTGACCTTTTCTGGCTTTCATCACCATGTCACAGGCCAAACTAAATGTGAAGATACTTAGAACACTATTAAAAAATACAAAAAACATCTCTATAAATTATCTCTTTGAATATATACCCAATCATAAAATAGGGGGGGACTCCGATGGATGTCGCCTTAAGATTTTTTTTTCCTGTCTCCCTTCTTTTTCATTCTGAAAAAAAAAGAAGGAAGAAAATCACCAAATGTTATGAGTGCCCAACGCCAGGAGACAACCACGCAATGGCGCCCTATGCATCGTGAGCCTTGCCTTTCCCTAATTTCTTCTTTCCTTTTAGAATATCCACCCCGTGTGTTTACCCCAAACCCTGTATGTATTTGACTCGGGAAGCAATTTCTTGCTCCCTTTTCTCCTTTTTGGCATCTCGCCTTCCCGGCCGCTGCACCACCCAATTCCTCCTGCTAAATGGGAGAATCGCAAGGTGCTGAGCCGTTCAGTAGAGATGCTTATTGTGATTCGTCGCCTCGTCAGATGGTAGCCCCTCTCCAATCATTGCCAATTATATTCGTCCAGCCGTGTAGGGAAAAGGGGACATGTTGATGCGTTGATACAATCAAGAAATATTAAGACCAACATCTATGCAACAAGCAAAAATCAAGATTAAAAAAAAAAAAGAACAGATGATTTCTCAGAATGCTCTGTGCTAGTGAAATGAAGCCGACGACAAACGCGTTGTCTAGCTCGTGATTTGAAAAGTCGGGGTTGTGCCAGCACAAGATGTGAAAAAGGCAAGCCAAATTGTCGACCCCGTTGCTAGTGCAAGATGAATGCCAGATTATAGCTTGACTCTCTGGCCAGTAAGTTTGAACCAGATGAGGGCCACAATCTCCTCCTTGAAGAGCTCCCAAGGGTTTCGGTTGAGCCAGTAGCTGAACTCCCGGTAGTGATACATCTCACCCCAGCAATCACGACCCCATTCGCAGCCAGCCATATTGACTACAAAGTCGCGATCTTTTTCGTTGTAGTGTATCCTGGTGTTGTTCAGACCGGATTCGTCTCCACACGCAGCGGTAGGGAAGCTGTTGATCAATCGCTGCGGTAAGAAGCCAGTATGTTGTCGAATCCAGGGCTGGGTCCGGTACAGTTGCTCGAGAGCGTCTTGTTCCTTGTGCTCCCATTCCATGTGCTTTTGCTCATACAGCACTGGGTCCCACCAAATATCCAAAAGTTGTTCGGTCCAAGCGCTGCGTCGAATGAAGAAAGAACCCAAGTTGAATCCAGAGCAATCCTGAGTGAGCATAAGGTTCACGGAATTGATATTGCCATCGCCTACAGGGCTTCGCGCGTCTGCATCCAAATATTCATCCGTGAGGGGGTGGGTGATGTTGAGAGGATTGAAGACGTTGATATCGCGGTACACATGACGATCGAGGTGGTTAAACATATGATGCTGAAGAGAGTATGAGGGCTCCATGATGTAGGTGTTGAGATCCAACCACCAGAACCTGGTTATGTTAGTCAAACTGCGGGAGAGACGACAAGGATATCCCTTGTGTGTAGGATTTCTTCTTTTGTTGCTCACCATTCGGCATTGGGGTATTTCCGCATCGCAGTCCGTATGAAGTCGACCTTTTCCCAGCTTTCTCGCCACTCGTGGGCATACCGCTTCTTGGTCTTCATGTCGACAATTTCCAGATCGTAGCCCCATCGCGTGGCATATTTCCGCTTGTTGCGTACGCTGTCTCGTTCAATGGCCCATTCTCGAGCGCCCTTCCATTCCATGACACCTCCGCCGACGTTGGCTGCCAGTATTATGACGAATTTCTCGCCGCCACCGCCCAGACTAATCCGTCGCCACCAGTGAACGAAGCCGGGTGCCTCATCTATCCTCTCGTTAGCAAGATAAAGCTCATCAAATTGTAGGGGACGCAATGGCTCTGCTCACGGGTGCCATAATACACCACAATGGTGAAAAATATGACTAGTGGAAGAAGAATCCTCCACTTGAGTCTCCTGCCAATGCGGGCAATGAAGGATCGTATCCTTCCGCCGTTCTGGATGTGTCCTCCTCGTTCATACTTTTCCCTCTCGGCATAGGTATTGCCCGGGCCAGAATTGAATCGTGGCAGACTACTGGATATGCGGCGCATGTGTCGGGTGAAGAAGCCCTGGTTCTGCGTCGAGAAGGACGGGTAGCCGTTGGCACCTCCTTGCTTCCTCATCTTGGCGGATTCCCAGGAGCTGCCAGCGGCATTGGAAGGACTTGAGCGGCCGCTGTTGATATTCAAGCCGGGACTCGACCACCCCCCACCTGGGACAGGTGACGGGCTTCGGGACAGAGACATTGGGTCGGCGGGAGTGCCTGTGACAAAGGACCAAGGGGACACAGAGGTTAGCCAGCGAGCGACTCAAAGTTTGCGCGACACAAGATGACGCAGGGCAGGCGACGCGGGAAGCCTGCAAGGGAGCCGACGATGGGAAGACGTACCGACGATAGGGGACAGCTGGGCCTGGTTGGCTGTGCGAGGATGGATGGACAGCAGGTTACCAGCGCGCACCTCGCTTAGAGAGTGGCTGCCAGCCGAAGAGCGCCGCCGGTGATGTGACGGCACAGGCCGGTCGTTGAAGGAGCTCGAGGAGCCGGCCGGGTGCCTTTGGGAAGCCAGGGTGAATAGCTGTGGTGCGGACGGTGGGAGAAGCTCGAGAGTTCGACAGGTGTCGAAATACGGAGTCGGCGTGGCAGCAGAAGCGGGCTGCGTGGGCTTCCTGATACGGAGCCGCACTAAAGCTAGAGGGAGAGGGAGAGAAAATGCAAGCAGCTCAATGCAGAGCAGAATGAGAGGCAGACGACACAAACTGGCTCCAGAAGGGGAGGGGCGCGGTTTCTGACTTCTGACAGGACAGAGGAGATCGTGAGAGAAGCCCCAAAGCAGAGATCGAACCCACACCGGGTACCAACTGTCGCAGACGGCGACACAAGCGCTAGCTGAGCAAATTCGCGTTCTGGCCAGATGTCGGTATGAGATATGGGATGGGATAGTCGAATGGGGGTCGAGGAAAAAAGAGGCGGTTTATTGGCACGTCTGAATACAGGGTCTGTAGGGCCAGGTCGGTTCAGGCTTGGCTTTGTACGGGTACCCAGGGGCGGCTGAGCGCAAAGTACCTCGCCGTGCCCCTGGCTGCTCAAGTGCCGCAAAAGAGGGCGGCCTGGCGCCTGGCCGAAAACGACGGGGTACAACGCAAAGCGGGCCTGTGCGGTAGCAGCAGGACGGGGCTACTTGCGCTGCTCTGGTGCTGACGATGCTTGATAAGGCCAAGTGCGTACCGGGTACATGGCGGTACGATTTAGAGAGCCCGAACGGGCGTGGCAAGTAGGGCTGCCACACAGTATCCAGCAGGTACAGGTAAGTACTGCTGCAGACTCTTGCAACGGCGCGAAGAAGGGGGAGAATTTCGACGCCAGGGACAGGAATCAAGGTAGTGGCGCCAAGAGGTACATGTCACAGCAACAAGATGATGCTGAAAGACGACAACGACGACGATTCTACGAGTGCTGAAGCCGAGTCTCTCTCTCCATCTCGCTCGCTTACTCTGAAACGTTGCTGCAGCAAAGTGTTTTTTCCTTTTTTTTTCCCACGCACGGCCCTCGTGCTGGAATTGGGCGGTGGCTTAGTTTGCATATGACACGGTGCCAAAAAGCGACTGGCGAATCGAGATGCATTTTGCTGCAAAAGGGGGCCGGCACGCCTTGGTTGGAACTCCTCGTATCTGCGTTGGCGATGGTACGGTGGCAGTTGCGAGAGCACCTGTAATTAACAGTCTCATTAACCAAACACGGCAATATCATGCATGATCTGGATTGCGTCTTTTGCTTATTTTCTTTTTGGCCTTTCTTTGTCATTGTCTCTCTTGGTTTTGTCTGCTTGTTTTCTTTTTGCTACAGGCTGAAGAATTCCGTCTGATTTTTTTTTTTTTTGTTAGTTCCCGTAGCAGTTTCATTCTCGCGTGTTCGGACGCACAACTGCAAGCGGCCACAAAATCGGTCTCGAGTGCGACGGTTACGGGAACCAAAACGGACTGATGTTATCGCGAGCCTGCTCAATCGCCGTGCAACGAGCACACAAGACTCGAAGCTCGTGCCTCGTGCCCGTGCGTTTGGTGCCTGGCATCGCGCGATAAGGAGGATTATTAGCCGCTACCGGGGATGAGGAAATTTTAAGATTGATGAACCTTGCTCCTTGCGATTGCCACTGGCTGATGCTCACAAGCAGCATTTTGCCAGGCGCCCATCCATCATTCAGCTTCTGCCCTGCGTCTCTCAGGGGCGCACCACCCAGCGAAGCCAATCATGGAATTCAATTGCGAGATTTTCTCCTTCGTCCAATATTACTGCGGAGTCCTTCGTACTTGGTTCGTACAGACCCAATAGTTTAGTGAAGTCTCGTATGCGGCCGGTCTTGTTCCGTGCCGGCGCGGGCATTCAATAGCAATGGATTGGATCCCCTAATCCTCATCCTTCAGCAGGCCATTCGCACCATCTCGTAGCGTATGTACATGTATCCATCCCAGTGCTTAGCTCAGGATCAAGGCGTTCATCGTGGGTCTTGATTGACTTCGCGAGCCAGTTCGGAGGAGACCGAGTCGTGGTTGCTGGCATGTCCCCTTGGGGGTTAGCGGCATGGCGTTAAATTTGATGTCAAGCCAAGCATTTTCCTTGGCTTTGACAGGACATGGATGGCCTCGTATTACTAATCTTCCATGTCGGGGCAAGGTTTTGACGAACACCTCGTTTCCAGGCAGTGGAAAGTAAAACAACCAGCTAGTCATCATAAACGCGTTTTTTTGGTCAAGAGCAGGCATGAAGCTGAGAAAATGGAGTTTTCTCGTATTTTTTCGGGTAGACAAGAGGCCTTCGTCAGGTGTAAAAGTGAGGTCCGTAACGCTTTCAGCTGCAGCGCTCCAGCACCGGCCCTAACCACAAGGCAGACAAACCGTCAGCTTACTTGTCCAGGTAACACCGTCGATTTCATGTTGCCAATATTAACTTGCGCCACGGCACTCAATTGCCGTTTTTGATGCTGTCTGGGGAGCTAGAGCTATACGAAGCCCCAGGCTGATGGAAATGCTTAAACTTCTTGATAGTGTACGCTAAATCATGCATCACGGACAGAGTTCAGCCTTCGTCACGTCTGCGTCTGGCGTCAATCCTTTCCCCCGCCTTTTGCTAAATGCTTATTGTGACCAGATCCGATATCCGTCGGGAAGACGTCACTCGTTCGTTTCTCCTGAACACTATGGGATTCCATCATCTACATGTTCGTCCTCGCCTAACAACTACTAGGTACGTACTGTGCCTAGAGTAGCAACTTAGTTGGTATAAGCAACAAAAAGCCACCAGAGTTACTACCTCTACCTTGGCAGGCAGAAAGCAGTGTAATTACCTGGTCAATCTAATAATTTATACCAGTTACATTCCTGTTATCTACGTAGGCAGTGATTCACGCACAATACGAGTACCTGCAGGTCTTGAGGTGGCTGAGACGTGTATCAAACGTGCGTACGAGTGCCTTTCGTCTTGACTTGCCATTTCCGCCATGTCTTGTGTCAGGTCACGCTCATGTGGTAACACCAATTGACTATTGTGTATTATTTCCATGATTAGCATTAGTTTTTCAAAAAAATCTTTACACTAAGATAGCGTTGTATTAGCTGATATGCCTATTTTGTTGCCAGAACTGCAGTGTAGCGGTATTCATGTGTTGACTAATATTTTCTTGATTGAATATGAGTATGTAGCTTCTGTTTTGGGGTTGAGCACCAGATAATCGCATGTTTCAGGCGCTTCCTAGATTAAGACATGGATAAATGATGCATGGGAATCCTCATTTTGAATCCGCCTTGCTCCAGTGTCTCATCGATCACACCATTGTCGTGCATATTCTCTACATAACTGGCGATTCCAGGGTAATGGATGTTCAGATTATTGGTGTTTTTGCCCATCCAGATTACGCAGCCCGCCACACCCCTGAAAGTCCCACAGCGGGTGTTGCGCAGTGGCCAAGCTTTAGCCGCCCGACAGGCGACAAGCGGCCAATCAACTGGCCCTGGCCCGTAGCGCAGACATCCACAGCCAATCACATCGCGCATACCCGCTCACACGGCGTCTATTTCATACCTGCAAGCTGCAACTCCACCAGCCAATCCGCCAGCCAGAATCGCCATTGAGCTCAAGGCTCCGACAGCAACCATGAGGAAACGCGCCACACGGGAGCCTTTACCAGGTCAACAAGAGATGGACAGGATGAAGAATGCAATGGAATGGCCAGATTTGGGGCCGGGCCGCAGATGCAGAGTGGGGAAGCTGCGGCTGGCGGGTTCCTGTTGTGCTGGTATTGTCCGCTGATTGTTCTTCTTTATCATTCATCTGGCCTTCACTTTCTTACTTCTGTTCTATTTTCCGCTCAAATATACCCGATTGTCATCTATTGTTGACTGTCGATTGTTGGTTGTTCATTATTGGGTTTGGCGTTGTTTTCTGCTTGCTCTCGTTTCACGTCACCTCTTTTGCGTTCATTGAATAATATCGCATTTCTTTGTCACTGATACGTTGACGACATTACTTTCGCCGTCACCTGCCTGGTGCTTGTGATGGTTATACTTTGATTCTTCCAAAATTTACTGCTCTTCAGCGCATCACAAGTAATTACGAGATACACCACGACGTCACGATCACGCGCCCGCTCCGAATGCTTGCGCCTTACATCATTTAACATGTCCAACTACGGCAAACTCGCGGAGCCTGTGAATGACAGCAGGCTGTCATCACGGGCCAGTCGGGCTGCGATACTTCGTCACACCTCCTACACTTCTTCAAAAAGCCACCAAGGGGACGATTGGGAAGACTGGGAGGACGATGATGTTGTTACGCTAATAGATGTCGACGAAACCCCGTCCGCTGATAACTCCGACAAGAAACTTCTTTTCAACAGCGCCTTTCTAGATATGAGCGCAAGCAATTCTGCTGCGAATACTCGCAGCCCATCTCCCTTGGACAGCGACAGCGCATCTGTCAGCTCTGACGAGGACATCACGCCCATCGATGCCGCTGTCCAACCCGGCCTGTTGGCTCCGCCACCTACTCCAGCTTATATTCTCACAAAGCCCCCCAAACACCCAAGCGTAAAGCTATCCATGAGGCGCTCAGCAGCCAAGATCAACCGTCCGATATCAAGGAAACCCCCGAAGCAACGGAACGCAAAGCTTGGAATCAAGTTGATCACAGACATGACGAAGCTGAGGCGTCAAAATCACATAGCCGGACAGGCAAAGTCACCCGCAAGGCGAGCGCCAAAGTTTGTTGACGCGGCTGCTCTAAGAGCTCTAGAGGGATCCCCAAACCCACAGTCCGTTGGAAACTGGAACTGGTTAAATAAAGATGATGAGGGTCGCGTGGCCGATTCCCCGCTACAAGCCACTCGTTCTCCAGCTGAGCAGCTTTCTCCAGAAGACAGACCGATTGTCATTGGAATCACACTACCCTCCGATGAAGTGACAAGCCGAGGAATCGACCCTCTCACGGCAACGGTCAACAACATTGATACCCCAGGCGGCATGAAAACTCCATACCCCTTTACATTTCAGGCCACCAACAACAGAGCAAATGCGCCCGCCGAACCTCATCAGCTCACGTCAGTCTGGTCTCCCGATACACCTGAAACTGCAAGCTCGTTTAGCACAGTTAGATACCCTTCAAGCGTGTACTCGCAAGCATCTATGGCACCAGTCATGGGCTATGGTCCTAGAGATGACGAAGTGCCTCCTGTTCCTGCCGTCCCCGCCAACTACAAGAGAATGACGGCGGCGCATCAACGCCTCGTCGGTACAGAACGCCGCAAGAACGCGGAAGAGGAAGAAGAGTCTGGAACACCTTGCACACTGTTTGAAGAGGATGGTGTCACACCTTTGAAATCTCCTGCTAGTAAACTCTCTGCGCTCACTCCCCAGAGTGTGCGTGGCTGGTGGGACCACCACTTGGTCACGCCATTTCTAGACAAGAGAATGTCTTTTGCGAGTCGAAGAACCCAGATGGAGTCACCCTTGGATGAAAGAGCCCACCAGATGGCCAGATCTGTAGACAACCAGGGTTCAATGTTGACTCCAAAATATGTTGCGAGTCCACAGTCCTGGAAAACCCCAAAGTCCGGAATCGACGCGAAGCAAACCTTCTCGCCTGTGGAAAGACAAGGGCAACGAGCAAACACCAACACCACAGCTACCCATCTTGATGGCAACCGTGCTATCTTGGGGCTCTCAATGTTGGAAAGGGAGCAGAGTCCATCTGAGTCTTCTCCTGGAGTCGCTATGCCGAGAAGCGCCAAAGGAAAGGGCCCGGAAAACCAGTTGTACAGTGATGGAATAGGAAACTCTGATATCCTGATTACATTTGCAGCAGATGAGGAAATGAAGCCATTGGATAAGTCCAATGTTGTGGGCGAGAGCTTAGCACTTACATCCAAGTCTGGTATCCACCAGCAAATGTCCTCCGAGAGTCGTGATGCGACGTCCCTGAAAACCTCAACTACCACAGAAGTCCACAGATACGATTTCACCTCTACTTCTATCGAATCAAAGGAGCACAAAACCTCATCAACCGCCTCGTCAACTGCCTCATCAACCGACTATCAGCCGAAACATGACCTGAAACGCGATCTCACTCCTCCGCCTAAGCCTCAGTGGAAGGAAACCCAGGCCCCAATTATCAGGGTGCCGACACCTCGCCAGACTCCACCACCAAGGGAGGGAGTGGTGCGAGAAGCTGAAAGACCCATCGTGGTTCATATTGAGATAAATACCGGGGAACAGAAGCAGAAGTTTGTTGTTGATCGTGTGGCGGTAAACTCGACGCCCACCATAAGGATTCCTACTCCCCGGCGGACGCCGTCACCCCGCGGAAATGTTTCCAGGGCTGAGGTTGTAACTGAATCAGTCAGGGGTGATTTGAAGCACGATGGCTCAGATAGTCGTGATATGGTCCACGGGCTGGGAATAACCAACTTGGCGGCGCATAACCCCCCTCCTTCTTCATCAGAAAAACAGGCCGGGGATAGCATCAAATATCAAGCGGTCTTCCCGCCGGATCATCATTTGCATACCCAGTTCTCCCCGAGAGAAGCAAGGGAAGCACCTACTCTAGCTACGTCGACGATGTCAAAGGCTGTAACGTCGACCACAACATCAACCACGGCATCGACCACAGCGTCAACCAAGTCAACAAACACGTTACCAATTGCAGCTCCAAGCGCACCTGCAGCGCCAATCGTGGCAGCGTCACCCGTCGCTGCTGTAGCGCCCATCGCAGCAGAGCCAATCTTGTCTGCCGCAGCAACGAGAGAACCAGCGGCAACTTCACGAGCAGCTCCTCAAGAGTCTAATGTGGTCACCACATCTCTCTCTCGTACAAGCATTATGTCTTCACAAGACGCACACCGCATCGAACAAGCCCAGAGTTCTACAAGGGAAGCACACAACACTACCACCAGCAAGGCAACGACCTCAATGCGAACGGGAGATGTTTCCCTTTCCTCCCGTAGTTTTGAGGGTGCCTCGACCGATGTATCCCGATCTGCGGGAATTCAGCGATTGGAACATAGTCGAGAGACCCAAGCATCTACCGTGGCCCATGCAAATCACACCTCAGAGCAACAGAGTCGGTTCTCCGTATCACCAACCTCATCGAAATCGCCTGCCATGGAGAGAAGCTCACGAACAGCGCCGCGACATGTCCGTGCGGCAAGCAACTTTGTGTCGTCAGTGTTGTCTCGGCAGCGCTCTCCTGTTGATCAACGCCGCGGTGGTGGTGACGCTCGCTCTGTACAGCCCATCGAGATTATGCTAGAAGAGCAAAGGGGCCACGAGCCTATGCCAGCAAGCCCAGAGAGAGCATATATAACAATCAATGAAACTCACCCCGAGAGTGGGAACTGGGCAAGAGTCAGGTCTCCCGTTTTGGAGCATGGATACACTGAGCCTCTACCTGCTCGCCCTGTTGGAACATCTCTATCCCAGTCGCATGCCGAGCAACTGTCAGGCAAAGAGTACAAAATTGAGCGAAAACGGCGGCGGCATGAGAAGGAAGAAATGGCGGCAAGGCGAGCAGGTGGCTTCTGGAGGGGCCGAGGTTGCATGCCAAAGAAGGGCTGTTTTGGCCGCCCAGGGCCTGAGGGACGCAAAAAGAGAAGAATTTGGCTGTGTATTATTTGCATTCTCTTGCTTCTCATCATTATTTTGGCTGTTGTATTGGGTGTCGTCCTTGGAAGGCATCACGGATCAGGTAACAAAACCGAAACGTCTGGACAAGACCCGCCGCCCTCGACATCATCTTCGACGCCCTCAGCTCCGATACCCTCGTCGATATGGGTCAATCTCACGGACTACCCTGCCATGCCGACGGGGGTGTTGACCTTTGTTGGCCCAAACAACACTATTGCCAAGAGCGACTGCACTGAGCCATCGACCCTCTGGAGCTGTTCTTTGCCGAAAGATTCCCAGGCGTCTGTATTGCCCTTTAAGCCAAATCAACCAACTCTTATCTTCCAAATTCAGTGGGACAACAGTACAAAGAGGGGGTGGAACATTCCCAATGGCACTCCGCCAACGGCTATTTCTCAAAGAGACACGAGCAACAGCAATTCTTCAATTGATGGATTCAATCCGGACCCTAGCCCTCCGACTTTCCAAGAGATGTGGTTCTTGGGCGAGACTACAGATAATATTCAGTCCAGTCAAAAAGCAGGAGAGCCGACGCCCTTTTTTATCAGCATCCTTGAGTCCTTGAATGACACAGTCAAGTCGCCAACTCTGAGTCGACGAGCTACTGCTTCGGACGTCAACATTTCGGATATTATTTTCCCGCCGGATTTGCAGGAAGACGGCACACCTGCGCCTGCCGTGATGCTACCCAGTCCCGTTCAACAACCTGTTCGATTGTTTGACCGCGGCTTGCCGACTGAGCATTATGGGTTTTACACCTACTTCCAACGAACAATCTTCCTCAAGTCTGTCACGGTCCTGAATGATTCGAGCCGGGGAAACGTGCCAGTGGATGAAGATGGTGGCTGCAGCGAAACTGAGGCTAACCATCTCGTCACTTGGGCCGAGACACGTATGCTTGTGCAAATTTGGACGCGGAAACTGAACAGTACGGCATCGTTGCTGACGGCGGACGGCACCAAGGGAATTGATAACTCAGCCGAGCTGATTAAGCCCGGGACAATGCCATATCCGGTGACTGTGACTCTAGACACACATGGCGGCGATCCCAACCACAAAGTCGTCTGGGAGTGGCCCATGGATGACCGTCAAAAGCTGAATACCAGTGCTCCAGACCTATTAGTCAACAAGATGGATGTCGGAGGGACATGGATTAACCACCGGGGCAGCGGAAATGCCAAATTTGGAGGATTCGATGGAGGCACTGGAGGTTGCAAGTGCGAATGGGTAAACTGGGAATGAGGTGGATGCATAGAGGGACCGCGACAACAACACTATGGACACGTGTATATGGATCAACGCCTTTTTTTCTTTCTTTTTCTTTTCTTTTCCCTTTTCTTTTCATTTATGTATACTAATGGGGGACCATATGATGAAAATGGGTTGGGTATATGGAATATTTGCACGTGGAGTTAAAAAGTGCATTAGAATGGCGTTGCTGATTTATGAAGAGCCTCTTTTTATCAGATCTACATAGTAAAATAAACTGTGACTGTATATGGAAATTTGGTATTGAACAGTAACATGATTGTATAAATGAATGTGATGTGGGATTGCCAGCATAGAACAGCGGAGCCCCACCGCCCCGGGCTCCGTGGTGGAAAAAAAAAGAACGATCTGCCGGGACGGATCCGAAATCCAACGTCTGCTAGACACACCAACTTTACACCTGAACTCCAAGTTCTCTTTTCGACCCTCATTAAATAATACATTTAAACTACATATTCGCGGGGTGCCAATAGAACAAAGGGGAAAGAGAGAAAGAGAAATGCTCCCACCAAGATGCCATCCCACGGCTTTCTCCTACCGGCTCACTTTACACAGCATTTCAGCTCTTAATCGCTCCGTTTTTGCTTCTAGGATCAGGACGAAGCAACGCTCCCTGGTCACTCTGGCGATTGAGACGTCGTGCGATGACACGGCGGTGGCAGTACTGGAAAAGTCGGCGGGAGGGAGGACGAAGCTGCTCTTCAATGAGCGGGTTTCGTCGGATAACCGGGCGTTTAAGGGGATTCATCCGATGGTGACGGTGGAGGGGCACAATACAGCCCTGGGGCCGTTGGTAGAGAGGGCATTGGAGAGTTTGAGGGAGAGTGAGGACGACGTTGATGGTGCTGGTGCTGGTGCTTGCTCTTCTGGGGTGGCGAGCAAAGGAAGCAGCGCCGTTGTGACGGACGACAAGAATATCAAGAAGTGGGAGAAGAAGATCAGGGTGCCTGATTTTGTTTGTGCTACTCGCGGGCCGGGCATCATGACGAACCTGTCTGTGGGATTGAACGTTGCAAAGGGGCTGGCGCTGGCGTGGGACGTTCCATTTGTGGGAGTTCACCACATGCAGGCGCATGCCTTGACGCCGCGCCTGGTTGACGCCTTGGAGAGTGAACAAGGGCAAAAAGAGGTGCTATTAACTTCAACTTCAACATCAAGATCTCCGCCACCCTCGCCAACCTTTCCCTTCCTCTCCCTTCTCGTCTCCGGCGGCCACACCCAACTCATCCTCTCTACCACCCTCACCAACCACCGCATCCTCGCCACAACCGGCGACATCGCCATCGGCAACCTCCTCGACCAAACCGCCCGCGTCATCCTGCCGCCGGCCCTCCTCGAGTCCAGCCCGGATGTCATGTACGGCCGCTTGCTCGAGGCCTTTGCTTTCCCCCCTGGAGCAGATACGCCTGCTGACTACGACGCATTCTTCACGCCGGCTGCTTCTCGACAGGACGAGATTCAGGAGGTTCCGTCTGGTTATGGATGGACTGTTCCGCTGCCGTTTCGTAATTCGCGGAAGCTTGCGTATTCGTTTTCTAGTATTCACTCGCATGTTCACAACATTGCCGCCGCTGCAAACAACCGCAACACCAACAACAACCATCATGAACATGATCTCGACTCATCCTCATCCTCCTTTGACAACATGCCCCTCGAAGAACGCCGTGCCCTCGCCCGCCACACCCTCCGCGCCGCCTTCCAGCACCTCGCCAGCCGCCTCATCCTCGCCCTCCAAGACTCGCCCTCTCTCCAACCCTCCTCATCCTCCTCCCCCGAAACCGAACTAATCAAAACCATCGTCGTGGCCGGCGGCGTCGCAAGCAACCGCTTCCTCATGCACGTCCTGCGCACGACCCTCGCCGCGAGGGGCTTCGCCGACATGCGCATCGTCTCCCCGCCCCTGGAGCTGTGCACCGACAACGCCGCCATGATTGCCTGGGCCGGCATGGAGATGTTCGAGGCGGGATACAGGACTGAGCTGTCTGTGCGGCCGATTGCAAAGTGGCCCATGGATCCGGATGTTGGAGGCGGAATTCTGGGGGCTGGTGGGTGGACGAGAGAGGAGGAGTGAGAGAGTCGTGGCTCTATGTAAAATGAGAAACGGGCCATCTGTTCGAGATGATGTTGATGATACCCCCCTTCATGTCGAGATGAGGAAGTTGGATGTATATAGCCTGTATGCTTCTTTTCCCTTGTTCTATATTCTGTACGATAAGAGTTGTATGATGGCCGCGCATTAGATTAGCCTCACATCAAATAGAATTAAACCTCTACACATACCCCATCATACTTTCAGCTGACTTCTTTTCCTTGAATCGAGGACGGAAAGTTATTTGTTTCGCATTTGATCTACTGCTTTCTTCACCTTCTCCCATCACTGCAATGCAAAGATTCATCGGGTCCCATTCAATTCTTATTGTCATGCTTTAAATTAAAATACCCATCTCGCTCCATTTCTACGCCAGCGCGCTCGTGACGTTTGAAAACTCGCCCTTCTCCAGCTTCGTCTCCCAGAAGATCGGATTCGTGTCGAGGAAGCCGTGCTTGACCCAGCCCTGCTCCTTGACGTGGTACAGGTTGATGTATCCACCAGAGTACGCATCACGGTGCGTCGCAGCCAGGATACTCCGCTTGCCCAATTCCAAGGCCTCCTCGTCGGTCAGATCATACTTGTACTCTGAATCCAACACACCATAGGCGAATGTCTGTCCACTGCCCACGCAGAACATGTTGCCCGACAGTCGCGTGCCGTCGCTGTCGACGTAGTACAGGGCCGGGCCCTCCTCCTTGGTCACGCCGGCGCACATGGTGCCCATGCTGAGGCCCATGCCCTTGTAGCTGTAGATGAGGTTGGCCAGGATCTTGCTGGCGGCGGCGACGCTGATGCGGCGCTTGTGGCGAAGCTCGTGGAGGCGGCACTGCATGCCCAGCCAGGCCAGCCAGTACTGGCAGTCTGCGGCGCCACCGGCCATGGTTCCCAGCAGCACGCTGTTGATCTCAATCACCTTCTTGACCGTCTGTGAGGCAATCCAGTTGCCGGCCGTGGCTCGCGAATCAGTGGCCACGATGATGCCGCCCTGGAAGCGGAAGGCAAGCGTCGTCGTTCCGTGGGCAATCTTGATGGGGCAGTCGGGGTTGGAGCGGTCGTCTGTGGCAGCGCGGAGCCATGCAGAGGGCTAGAAAGCATCAAGGGTCAGCTTTTACTCGTCATTCTAATACAGAGAAGCCGTCACCGAAGCTTTGGCTTGGAAATCAAAACGTACCTGGGCAATGGGCGGCATGGCAAAGTTGAGCGACAAGTGATCCGCCGGGTTCATCAGCTCATTGCTGAGCTCGTCATCCTCGAGAGGCTCGTTCTGGGCAAACGCCGGCCGGCTGTACTTGGCCACGAGAGAATCCATCGTATCGTGTCCGCGAAGAGAAGAACAAGGTGGTGGTTATATGTGATGCTTAGAAAAGACCCCTCCAGGCCACAAGTCCAGATCAAATCAGATCAAATCAATGCCCTCAGTTCCGCTGTGAGTAAATTCGCGGATCCTTGTAGGTCGAGGCAGAATTCCAAATGGGTGCAGCCCGCAGTTGTCGAGCTTGGCGATTGTGGTATTTGGCGGTTCGTGGTTGAGAATTGAAAGGCCAAAAGACGCCCCTCGTTCCGAGTACCTCTAGAGCCTACCAGGTCAGGCAGCTTCCGTATCGCGCGTCACTGCTCTCTTTCGAGCAGCATGAGCTTCTGATTGGCCACAATTGGAGCGTGCTGACTAAGTTGCTCTCGGCGATTTATGGCGGCCTTGTTGCCTGATGGACTTAGCATACTATCAGCAAACATTGCGTATCACCGTATGAATGCAAATTTGGATGATAATAGATGCTGGGTGAAAAAAAAAAAAAAAACATTAAAAAAAGAAAAAGAAATACTGAATCAAAAATCCTGGATGCGATTATTGGGACTATCCAAAATAAATAAATAAATAGAATAAAATGCATTCGCTGTCCCATTTGACCTCGCCTGACCCGCACTGCTTATAGATATATATATACATCATTGAACCCCCATACCGTTTCCTCCCATCCATCACCTCAGACTCCAGGCAGATAGGCTATAACAAATAATACAGAGCTGCAATTCCATAAAAGAAAAAGAGTCGGAAGAAAACGACAAGAAGCAAACGAATCATTGGAGCCGACGTAGAGAGCGAAGATACGGCCGTGATATTGCATTAGAAGCAACTTGTAAAACAAATACAGATACTCGTTCCCAAATGGAGACCCATGAGAGCCTTGGAAAGAAGTGGGAGGATTGAACAAAGCTTTCGTTGCCAAATCACTCAAGGATTTGGCGTTGGGTCCCGACTCCGCGGCTCTCGCTTGCTCAGAAAGCCGCGTCGTGAGAAGGACTTGGGGCTGTCGGGATACTTCTCCTCCGCAGGTTGAAAAGAGCTCTTGACTGTCACCGTGCCAGCGCCAACACTGAGATCCTTTGCACCAGCGCTACCATGCTCGTCCACAAAGTAAAAATGCTCTCCTAGACCATCATCGCTACCAAACAAATGTTCACCTCTGGCCTCAATCTTGAACTGTGCATCAGGAGTGCAGCTGAAACGGAACGTCTCGTCATAGGTCCACTGCCCATTGGGCGACTTGTAGTGCTTCGTTTTTCCAACAACTTTTTCCCTAGGCGAGATTTGGGTGATGAGGATGTACAGGTCTGTGGACTGAGAATAGCCAGAAGCGCCAACAATGGTAAACGTTGCTGTTCCGGTGGGAGCTCCAAAGCCCATGGCGCTGTGCACCGAAGAGCTGCCGAAGCTCCTGGTTCTATTATGACCAGAGCCCTCGGGTGTCAGATGCGGAGGGATATCCCTAGAACCATCCACGGCGCTGGTTGTTGGCCTGGTGCTGGGGTTGGAATTGCTGTTGCTGATGGGGAAATCACTGCCATTGGTGATGATGCTTGGTACTGTAGGCACCTCTGTGAGCTCCGATAACGAACCGTTGGGGTCATCTCGATCCTTTTTACCAAGGATGCCGCGCTTCAAGAACGAGGCACCTCTGCCCACGCCGTGTCCTACAGCGGTGGCTCCCTTGAACGGCACTCCAGCTACTCCAGTAACGATGCGAGAGGTACCGCCAAAAGTTCCCTGGAACGTTGACGTGCCTTGTCTTGCACGAGTAACGTAATCGGGACGGAAAACCATTCGGAGTTTAATGCTTCCCGACTTGCCATCCAGCGGGAAGCTCTGCTCCATGGCCTTGAAAGGCTGGAGATTGTCTAGTCTGATGACGGTGGCGCCCAGGAAATCAGGCTTGTCCGCAAAGTCGTAATCGTAGACGTTGCACACAAAGTGGGCTCCTGTCCTTGATGGCACAGAGACCTCAAAGAACTCGTTCCACACTGGCGATAATGTCTTCTTCTGTACCTTGGTCTTGTATACTTCCACGTCGTTCAACTCGAACTTGCAGTAAGGGTCGCTCTTCCCGTTTCTGTCTGCCGATGGCAAGTCTGTGCCGCTCAAGACATCGACGCGGAGGTTGCCCATGTTGTTGATACTTTCGCTGGGGTCCAAGTCCATCTTGAGGGGGATATATTTGAGGCTAACCTTAACCCAGCTGGACTTGCCATCATCGCTCTTGAGCTTCAATGTTGTGGGATTGTTCTGCATATGATGTTAGCACATGTTTCTACGCATTATGTAGTGATCATGGTCAAGGTGATGATTGTCGGGGGAATCCGAGTGAAATATCAATCTGAGTGGGACGAAGCCAGAACGCATTGCTTTTGACTTACAAGACATTGCTTCAAAGTCTCCAACGTATTGCCAGACAAGTACGCCAGAGTATCTTCGGCATCATCGCCCTTCTTTCGCGCCTTGATCGTCAAACGAGAAAAGTCGAGCTCTCGGATGATACAGTCGCCAATCTCGTCAAATTTGTGAGATTTTGATGGCACTATTGTAGATGTATAGGACGGGTAAGCCATATCGTCCACGTAAATTTCCAGTTGGCTATCCCTCTCGGGCATCTCCGATTCCAATAGTCTGAAGATGAGAACGCCGCTCTCATATCTGAGCAATTCTTCGGGGCTCAGCCGTATCTTGGGCGGTCCTTTCTTCTCTACTGACATCGACGACCTCATAGATGCCGGCGAGATCGGCCGGCCATCTTCCCCTGTAGCAGCGCTCAACTTGGCCGTATCAACCGATTTCCTGGACACATCAACTGATTTTCTGGATGCGTCGAGAGAAGGCTTTGGTGCAGATTTAGAGGCGGAGCTTTGTGGTCTGTCAAGGGAGGCCCTGGGTTCATCGCCATTTTCTTCAGCAGCTTCTGCTGCCTCCTCCTCCTCCTCTTCAGGATCGGCAATGTTCAGGCAGGGATAGAATGCAACGGTGTAGGTCAGTGTACCTTTGGAAATGCCCTTGCCGTGAATGCGAAGTTCGCTCTGGAGAACGCGCTTTGTATCATGCACGAGATACTCGCCAAGCTCATCTTGCTGAATATAATCCGCTGCAGAAACTTCACACAATCCGAGGGAACGATCTTTGCCAACCTTCTCCTCGTCCATTACCTCAAGAGTGAGTCTGTCTCGAGCAGAATGAACAGGAACGTAGAGAACTTCATCCCATACAGGATTCAGGTCATTCTTGAAAGTTACCGTTCGCGCCTTGTCAATACCAGAAAGAAGAACTCGGACATATGGATCGGATTTGCCAAAAGCTTCAAAGTTACGGAGATCATTTGCCTTCTGGAAATGAAGCCTCATGACGCCAATTGGTGTGATGTAGCCACCGGTGCCAGCTACGCCTGAAATGGCCACTGGCTTCCACTGCGCCATCATCTTGACGCGGCCGGTTTGAGCGCCTGCGAGGTGATACCATTCTTTACCTTGTTCCATGCATTCCAGTAGGTCATCGAGCTTAATCTGGTATTTTCCGAGGGTCAAATCAGAGGCAAGGTCTCGGTCATCCTTGATAGTAACGCCAAGTTTTGCCCTCTTGCGATCTGTGATGAGAATTTCCTTGGAACCATTGTCCCAGATGGGGTTGTTGACTCGCTTAAGCTTCTTTGTCTGGTGGATGACCTTACCGTTGAGGAACATGACAGCATAGGGGTTGAGAAGGCCGACGAGACTTTTGGTTCCATCCAAGTCTTTGGCCTGCTCAACAGTGAAGCGCAGAATACCCTGATTGGAGACCGGAGGAGGCTCCACTTTGCCATCTTCGCCTTTCAGGCCTTCGAGGACTGGGAAGAAACGGAGGTCGCAAGAGACCACACCACGGTTTTTGCCGGCAGCGAGAACTTCGAGGCGTTCGTTTTCGTACACATGAAGTTCCTCAATTCTCTCCAAGGGGAAAGACGCCACACCCAATTCTTTGGATTTGCGGAAGCCATTCTTGTCGAAGACCTGAATGTCCAGAGTGTCGTTGAAAGAAGTAACAATGATATAGTGAGTTTCATTCCATCTCGGGTTGGGATTATCGTCGATAGTTTTCGTTCGCGCAAGTTCTTGGCGGCGGTTGAGAGTAAGAACGGCGTATGGATCAACGGTGCCCGCAAAATTATCGGTATTCTTGAGGTTGTGTGCTCCGTGAAGTGTCACGACGAGCACACCAATGGCCTGATCGACGGGTGATCCCGCAAGCATCTTGGCGACTTCGATAGGGAAGACGTGAGGAGCATACATCATGGGCGCTAGGTTGCCATGAATCTGTTCCAAGATGAATTTTTCCAGACCCGGAATGAAATTGATATCAAAACCAAAGCTCTCACCACCGAGGGGCTTGCAAACATAGTCAATGGTTGGCTTCTCCAGGAAACACATTTCAATCTTCTCGACGTGGGGGAAAGGAATCTGCAGCTTGATATTGAGTCGCATGATACCCGAGAAGGCCATATCCTCGACAATGACGTCAAGGCCTTTACTGATCATGGCCTTTCCGACTCGGATTTCCAGTACAACTTTGGGGTTGATTTTGTTCTTGATCTGCCTCTTAGTCATATCGGTGGTGTCATTGGGCGTGAAGCTGAATTTCCAGTCCATTCTAACAATATCGTCTCCAACATTGGGGTACGTCTTCACATGCTCCATGCGGGGGGGCTTAGTACCCAGCGTGAAGGTCTTGAGTTTGAGACTGTCCAGAAAAGCCGGTGTCGCAGAGGATAGCACTTGGTCGACAGTGTTGACGATGGTTTGGGCGAGGACGGGCTGGTAGATAGGCCAAAACTTGACCATGAATGAATTGATCCACTCAAGAGATTCGTGATCAGCCTCGAGCCTCTTAAGGGCCATCTCTCGGGTGATGTCATCACGAAAGTTCCGGCGCACTCGTCTCAAGGAAGTCCGATAGTAGGTGCCGCAAATTGCCATGACCATGATTACCCAGCCGAGACCGCCACCGAAAACCGCTACAAGCCATGAGGCAATACATGCGAAGATAATAACGCCGGTGTTGTGGTACCAATCTGTTTATCCGTGTAAGATTGCGATATTGTTTTTGTTGGGCCAGTGAAACCTACCTCCAAACAGATGATCCGGCAGCTGGCTTTCAACCCATGTAGTGTGATCGAGCAGGCTCTCAGCCTCAAGCGCGCTCTCGACAGGCCATCCAATCTGAGGAGCCCAGCCTGTTCGCGAGTATGGGACCTCGGCAGCGTCCCCATTGGCTAGAGTTTTGCTCTGTTCATCCTTGCTCACTTCGACAACACCTTCTTTTGTCGGTTCCGGGAGCTCTTCATCCGGGCCAGTACCGTCATCGACATCCGTTGCGATGGCCGTAGCCTTGTTCCGTCTAAGATGCTGAAGCTCGGGAGGGATAGCCTGGATAGAGATGCATCATCAGCATTCGCCTATCTTTGTATGACTTGGGAAAGGGGGATGCATCATACGGCAGCGACCTGAGAACGCTTTTCTTCTATAGTAGCATTGGGGTCGAAGTGGAAGGCGGGAGCACCAGCATTTCTAGCTTGATCGACCATGAGCCTTTCAGCGTCGTCAGCCGATACCGCGATCCCGGGGTCTTGAGCAGCCTCGATGGCCCCCTGCAGCTTGAGTTCGCGCGCCTCCTGGGCCGACATGATGGCCAGCAATGGGCGCTGTTGCAACTATTGCTCGTGTGCACCAACTGGGCCGTTCAATTGATCTGGTTGCTTTGCGATAACGTCATTCAGAAGCCCGGCAGCTTATGGAGGGGCAGTGGCCAGATATGTCAAGTGTCAAAAGCAACCGAGCTGGGCCGCGAATAATAAAAGGAGAAGCAGGAAAGAAAAAAAGGGAAACGGTTCTCTATGGATATTTTATTTTACGGTCAGCACGATTGTGTCCAAGGCCCGCTTGAGCTGATCGGGGCTATCAAAGGGAAGAAAGAACAAGGCTGGACGATGTCGGAAACCGAAGCAATGGCCAAAGGGAAAAGAGGACAGCTAGTGGCAGAAAGATCACACCTTTTGATTTTCTGGACAAAGCCACAAACTAATGCACGTGTGGCTCGGCACAAGACGCGAAAGCTGGAAACGAGAAAGAAAAGAGAGTCAAAAGAAGTGGTGGGTGGAGCTGACGACAGGTCGATTGTCCGTGGCGCAGAGACGATTATCATCAAGAAAACTGGCGTGTACGACAAGCGGTACCTGTCCGTGTGCACGAGTTGTAGCGTGCGCACATGTACTCTGTGTCTAAGCTCAGCGCGGCAGGGTGCTACAGGTCTGCCAGACAGGAGCTACAGTGGAGCTAGGTGGTGAGCTTGGCTGCTGGGCCCCACTGCAGCTTCGCTGGCCCTCCCCTGCACTGCTGAAAGCGTGGCGACGACGTAATTGTCAGTGCTAGCGCGGGCCGGGCAGGCAAGGGAACATGGAATGGTCACTCCCCAACCTGTGCGATTGGCGCCTGCTAAGGGGGGCCGCTGCAGCTGGAGGTTTTAGCGCCTAGCTTTGGAGGGGTGTTGTGCTGCGGGATGCTCTGGAGCCTGTGGTGGCCCCATCCCAGCGGTGGTTAAGCGCTATCGTGACCGCTAACAGTGGAAATCCGGCAGCAGCAGGAGGCCTCGACTATTTTCTATTCTGCCGCTCTGCATGCATCTATGGATCCATTGATGTCTCTGCATCATGAAGACTGCGGGTGAGCGCTTATCAGCATTGAAACTTTCCACTCCACCGTCGGGTACGACTGCGTGACGAAACGGTCTTGGTCGGGTAACATATGAGCGCAGTGCAGAATTCTATCAGCAAGGGGGCACCAGAGAAAAGGAGACGGCATTGATGCCAAGTATATGTAATCTCAGGCAGCAAAAAATAAAAATATCCATGGATGGCAAATAAGGATGCTTAAGATTGGTACCACAGTGCAGCAAGCATCTCGCCTGCCATGGCTGCTTGCAGATGGTGGCACTTTTTGAAGAAAGGCCGCAATCGTCGGTCTTGTGGAGCGAGAGGGAGAAAAAGGGTGAAATCAAATCTCATTTCGGATCGAAATATCCGCGGGCCTGCAGCACTAGAACTGCTAAAGAAGTCTGGTCTTGTTTGTGGATTCCTCCTTATTAGCCGCCATCCACCGTCATCTCTTCAACTGAGTGAGGAGTATAGTAATGCTTTGTCTAGCCGAGGTCTCGGATTAGGAGTCTGAATAGATGCAGTATAATAGCTCGTGGTTAAACAACGATGGGCAAGCAGGCTGAGGATACAACATGTATCAAACACTATCATTCTATTGTGCTGTGCTTGTAGTATTGGATTACAAATGAGGACTTGCAACACATGTGCTCTGCAAATAACACAACGTTCCTACGTAATTGAGCCTTTTACGCACCCTTATCTGATATCTTAGTAGTATAGATATAATATAGACAACTCAACTTCGTTGGACATGGTGCGAGCACGACCTCAGCCGGTATACCTTATGTATGGATATATTAGTGCTGTTCCACGTAAACGAATGGATAGCAATAGACAAATCAGTCGCTTCCCATCGTCCATGTGAACACGCCACTTCTCCGGAGCAGCAGCCCAACATCAACTGGGTCACTCAACTAACCAAAACTCCATGCAACCACTGAGGTTCCATGCATCAACCGGCACGCAAACAGGGATGCGACACTCGTTCCTCGTCACTAAACCACCTTCGTCCCTAGCGTCACAGGCCCCGATCGGTCGGGCTCTAGACGATCTACATGGAATGAAGTCATGGCTAGAAATATTTTCTTCAATGGAAGACAGAAGAAGAATCCTTGATCTTTTTTTCATATGCCCCATCCTTTGAAGATAGGCGAACACGAGCGTGCTAGATTGATGATCTACAAATAAAGAAAAACGCAAGCCACACCATTTTTCAGCAAGGTTGTGGTTATTATAGTAATACATGTAATATACAAACACGAGGGCTCGTGGTGCAAAGCAACACGTCACCTCAAACAGTGCTGTTTCAAGCTGTCAAAAATCAAGCCCCGGACATGTGAGCTGCCGTGTCGGCAATTGCGGGGTAATTATATATGTCCTACACTCCAAGAACCGGTGCGGCTGTACGACATTTAGAATCCTGGTTTTCTTGATCGTCGTCGGCATGGCGTTTTGGAGTAGGGCTTTGCCTTTGGACGAATAGTATTACGGTAATCTTAGGTGCCAATGCGCAAGCGCTTCCGCATGTGATCCGAAATTTACCGGTTTCCCATTCACTACCACTGCCTGTGTGTTCACACTTTGAATGGATACGAGTGATTGAAGCACTGCCAGAGGCCCAAGAAGATGTCGGTGACGATAAATTGTACTCTGCAGACGGAAAGGGAAGAAGAGAGTTCTGTATATTAATTTCAAACGCTACCATACATCTCTTAAATTCGTTAAATTCGCTTCAGCCAACCCGAGACTGTTATTTGCCAGCAGCACCCTTTGGCCTGTAGTCTGCATGCTGTACGAAATAAGTGATATCATCAAAAGGAGGGGAATCCGGTATATGCCTGGGCAAGCAAGCTGTAAAATCTTTCAAATCTGGCCTCAAGTGCGCCGAATACTCCAATATGCAAACGAACGGATCTGTAAAACAAACAAGTGACCAGCCGGCCGCCGCCTATCTTCCATCTAGTACCCGAATCCGTCGTGTTGATGCACGGGACATCTTCCCGGATGATTGACAAACCAGGCTGAAATACAAGACCGGTGAAACCGACAAAGGCACTCAAGCCGCGCCATGGGAATGCCGACGGTAAACTCCTCTAAGCAGATGGTGCATTCCGCGTCATCAATGCAGTCCTTCTCTGTGGCGGGATACGTATACATGCCAGTGCGCCTGGGAGGGGGAAGCGGTGCAGCGCCGTCCGATGCCCCACGAGGACTGCCATATGTGCTGTGTGATTGGATACAGGAAGTAATATGCGACTCTCGAAGAGCCTCAAAATTCGGCAGTTCCCGAGATGGCAGCTCCAAGTGGCAAATGGGGCACTCATCCTCCTCTGCAATCTGTGGGGGAGGGGGTAAAGCACGCTGCCGTGACGATGACCCAGACTCTCCAGTTAAACGACGTCGATGTATATGGTGCTGGTTTGGCATACTGAAAGGCGATGGCCCAGCCGCCATCAGCCGATTAATGGATGCCACTTCGTAGTGGGCGCTGCGCCTACGTGAGGAGGAGGAAGAGGACGAAGCACCTCCTGCCCTTTGTCCAGTTGGATCCTAGTGAAAGAACATGTCAGAAAGAAGCGTTTTTCCCGTAGTGAATCACATCACATCTCTTGCGCTTACCATGGTGATACTCCTTGTCCTAGAGGTGTAGAACTGATAAGGATCATTGCTCTGGCCAGCCGCAAAAACTCCTCCGTATCGATTTACAGGAGGCGGAGCAGGATATCCGGCCCCTAGACTGGTCCGGGACCTGCGTCGTGCCTCACGCGGCGACAGGGCAGGAGAAGTTGGGCTTTGTGGAGGTGCAGTATTGGGATCAGGGACGCACGGGTTGCAGAGGCGCACCCGCTCGCCCCCGGAGAGTCCATTCATATCGACATAGCTCGCACCCGAGCCGTAGAGCAGTGCCGGGGGAAGCGGTACTTCTGATCCAGGCGCTCTAACAATAAATTGGTGCGGAATGATGATCCTATGGGGTGAGCAAGAGTTGCAAACGACTCTCCCACATTTTCTATTTACCTTTTAGTCAGTCACGTCTTCTCTACCTCTTCTGACTATATCACGACGAGAGCATACCTGCAATGATGTTTGCGCACAAAGATACTAAACTGAGTGCGGCAAATAGGGCAGTATGTCACCTCGGCATCCGGTTGCCACCTAGGAAGAACAACCGACCCTGTGCGCTCACGCTCACGCTCGCGCTCGCGCTCAGGTGGTCCGAATAGTGACTGAAGTAAACCGCTGCCTTCATTCGTATCTGCGCCATACACGGCAGATAACTGATCCCGAGCAGACATTCTGGGTGAGCTGCTGCCTGACAAATCCGCTGCCGATGTGCTGGCCGTAAATGCTCGACCGCCGTGATCAGAGGACTCGCCCCAGATATCACTACCCAACGGATCGTTAGATCGCAAGTCGATGCTTCTAGAAGGAACGCGAGTGCGAATCGGTAAGGACGATGTTCTGGCAGGGAGGGCTGCGGAATTCGCTGCTGATGCAGCCCTCGTCGCGCTCTCAGCCTCTCTCTCAGCAGCTAACCCAGATGATAGGCTTGATAGTGGCGCTGAAGTATCAGCAGTTAGAGTTTCGTCGTCTCTCTGTTGTGGCTCGGCCGGGGTGCTGTCGTGGTCAGATACTGGATGTTCGTCTTCGATAGAAGTCCTCGGGGAGATGCTGTCTTGTCGAGCTTCTGTCACCTCGACGGCGCTCTCTCTCGGAAGGCTGGGTTCGCCGGTATCATCGACAGAAAGCCGCCTCTCAACGAGATGAGAGGGACAGTCAAAGTATCGACAACACTCTTGGTCGTAGAATTCCGATGTTCTCCAGCGACAGGAGAGGCCATGGGGACTTGGTTCTTCGTCGCTCGAATATGGTGCGTCGAGTATCGCATCCGCACTGGGACTCGCCTCCCTTGCATCATGATCATGGGGCGCTCGGGCGCTCGGTCCACCTTGCTGGCTAGCCATGCTGGAATATGTCTTTAGACGAACAACAGTTTTCAAACAGAGGCAAACAGGTAGATGAAGACAACCGGCGACGCCGGGGCAGCTTTGCGAACGAGGGATAAGCCGTGCGCGGGCGGGAACTGATGGCTGATATAGACCTTAAGCCCCCCTTGAGCGCGAGACACTTTGAGCGATGATGCACACGGTACCACGCCTCCTGAGAGGGCTCAAGTCATGGTCAGGCCACAAACCTTCTATAAACGAGGCAGCCGCAACGAGGCAGCAAATCAAGCACAACAACGGGGCATGGAATCACGACGTAGTCGGAACCCCTTTGAGTTGAAGTCTGAGACACGCGATCACTTATCGGTGCAGCGGGCTGAAGCTTATCGAGAGGGTGGCGCCGGCGCTTAGTCACTCACTAAGCCCGTGCACCTGACACTGTTGTGCGATGCTGGTTGGAGCGTGGAGGTCTCAAAGTTGTAAGTCTATGCGTGGTTGGGACTCGTATAAGTGACTTGAAGAGCGTCATGGATGGCTTCATTTTATGCTAGGGGCGGCATGCTGGATATCACTCCGTGGCTATTGAATATCTAATTTAACTACTTATATTTAGAGAATAGCTACTCGGCGCCAAAATTAAGCTATCTAGCCCCCCAGTGACCCCGTATTAGAATTCAAGTAGCGGAACACGATGCACAGGATACCTGAGAGCCTCGATTTTATTTTCTACTACAAATACTCATTTAGGTACCTACCTGTAGATATTCGGTTCCTTGACTGTCTGCTCTTCTTATGATTTTCTGCTAATACCACTACCTTCTTCTGGTATCTGATACTACAGCTACATGTACCAGGTATGTGTCTTTAGTGACTGGCTTTAGATTTGAGACCGAGCTGCTGGATAGAGAACTTGGGGAGCTAAATAGCCACCCCCTTGTGTAATTGGTTTCCTGCAGTCTTATGACATTACTAGCATGAGAATGTGATAGCGCTTGAATGTTTTTTGACCTTTCTGAACCAATCAAGGCTGGTCCAGACAACGACGATTGCCTGCTAACTGATGCAAATGGGTATCTCGCTTAGTCGACTCCTTAATCAAAAGAGTCAATAGCCCGTACATAAATACATGAAATCCAACATTAAGACATTTATTCGCCCACTTCGCGATCATTATCCCAGTGTATAAAAGAGATGACTCTCCATTTCCACGAGTAATGTCTAATTTTCTTTCCCCAGAAATACAACGGGATCCACATAATGAGGACTCCCCCCGCAATTCCCGCCATGGCTCCAAACGCGTCCCGGTAGCCAGATAGATTGATCCAAGGGTTTGTTTCAAAGGAGAGGAAGAAGGCAAACAGGGCTGAGGTATCTTTTCGTTAGCAACAGAGACGTCTAGTGGGCGTTCCATTGATGGGCTCACCTTTGAATCCTGTAACTGCCAGAGTTATTTCACCTGCAACTGGCCGGTATGAGTCAATGACATAGACGATACAAATCGTGTTGGCTTGCGTGATGGAGAAATTGACTGCATCTCATAGTTAGCGCCAACACTTATTTGTAGAAGCATGGACTGGCAAGCGGTAGTTCTTACGGAGACCTATTCCTATGGTGGGACATATCCAGTGAAGCTTGTACTGGATACCGACGCCATAGAGGACCAGAGCAAGCGGGGCGGTGATTGCAGATATCATGACTGCTGGTAGCCGCATTTCAGGCTCTCGAATACCGCCGTTTCTCTTTGTTAGAATATCTGCAACCTTATCCCCAAGGCTTCCTCCTGCAGGCAGCCCTAGCAGAGAGCCAATCACGCCAGCGATATAGCAAAGTCCAACCTGGTAAGATGCAAAGCCATACGTCGTATTAAATGCCGAAGCTGAGTTAGACGAAACGGCCACGAGAAATCCAATAGTAACGGCCAGTGCAAGAGCAGACCAGAGCACCGGTGGAAGGACAATGAGGCCAAAGGGGCGAATCATCATCTTGAAGAGGTTCTCCTTGGTGCTTGCGGCCTTGAATACTAATAGGGTTTCGAAATAGCTCATCTTCTTCGGGGAAGACAGCTCTCCTTGGGCCGTAGTTGAAGTTGATAGATCACTAGGTGTATCTGCAGGAGGCGAGCTATAATCGTCGATCCGAGAGTAGCTGGTCTCGGGCACAGTAAAGAGTAGAGCAAGAAGAACAAAGCCAATTAAGGCAGAGCCAACCTGATAGATAGTTCGCCAAGTATGATGAATCGTGATGAGACCGGAAATCACCAATCCTCCCGATGCCCCTATGGATAAGAAGCAGGTGTACGCGGACATGATCCTGCCTCTTTCGTGGAGAAAAAAGATGTCGGCAATGGTAATGGGAGCAAGCGTCTCCGCTGCACCGGCACCGAATCCCATGAGAACTCGGCCTGCCAGAAACCCGGCATACGATTTCTCAAAGATGAGCCATACTGCCGTGGCAAAGTAAATCATGTAGCTCACGACATACACTGGCCGGCGGCCCCATTTATTGGCCATAGGCACCCAGACGATGTTGCCCAGTCCTATGAGTAGAGACGTGGTGGTGAAGAAGTAGGCCGTCTTTGGAATGGCAGACGTGACAAAGGTACCATCAGCCAAGGAATCTGGGAAGAAATCGGCTGCCGTCGCCGGCACCGCGATGGCCGGCCCGGCGGCAAGAAAATTGGACACGGCCATCGTCAAGCAAAGAACCCCGGCGACATAGTACTTGCGCCATGTTGACCTGAGATGGACAGAGTGGTTAGTAGAGAGCAGAGCAGCTGCAGTGGGTATTAACCTACCAGTTTAACGGGTCGTTGGGATCGGAGGACGGCGTGGGAACCAGAATCACGGCATTCGTCTCTGGATGAACAAGGCGTAGATTGCCTAGCGTCCTCTTTCGGGTCTTTTCTTTGAAGGATTCTTCGGCCTGTGGATCCAGCGCTGGAGCTATGATATCGTCTTGGATAGCCATGATTGAGGGCACAAAAAGTGGCGAGGCTTCCTCGACAGTTCCCAAGGGTATGGAGATTGGAAGAGAAATTTGAATCGGTGTCATGAGCTTGGCATCTTTGAGGACTGCCCGCGAAGCTGGTCCGGGGATCTGGTCAGAGGAGCCCCGTGAGCACCCTGGATACCGCCAGGTTCTGAGTGGGTGGTGAATATCACTTGGGACATGTGTACATGTAAGAGGGTACCATGAACATAGGCTCAAAGACACGGGAGGCTCCTCAGGGGTTCCGTGCCGCGGAGTTTCTCAAAAGGGAGGGTAGGGTTGGGATGGTGTTGAACGAACTGAGACATCTTTGCCCTATGACAGCTAAGTCGGATTCGATATGCCAATGAGAATCCACAAACCGCCACCAAATATTATTTAGGGAAAAGAAGCAAGGAAAATTGCATCTCGCAAGGCTTGCCGTGGCGCCAAATCTTAGCATCTAATAGTGCCGGGGAGGGGGAAAAGAAACGGAAGAGAGCCCCGTAGGTGTAGCGTGTCGCCCACTTAATTACTGATATGTACTGATATTGCACATGTACTTACAACGTGGAAGATATAAATGAAGATGCCGAACCTCCAGTAGTACGAAGTACCGACCTATTCTGGTAATGCCACCTATTTCTCCATACGGATAGATGACCGTAAAAGGGATCCCAATTTGGAGATTGCTTACAAGTACTACAGGCAACGACGCGAATTGCTGGGGACCAACGTGTGTCGAGAGGTCGGCATCAGCAAGGGCCGTTTCAGTATCCCTGTACCAGCATTCTGTTTGCCGATTGCTCTTCTATTCCAAGATGCGACGGCGCCACTGCGTTTGATGTTGGTTCGAGTAGCATTACTGATGGTGGCCGATAGGCCTCAATACTACCTCAAATTATTACTCGAAATAATACCAGGCCTTATTGGGTGTCTGGGTGACAACTATCGCCTCTGTGTGTGCCGCTGATTGGATGCCATACCTTGACGTGTGCTCGACGTAAATCTAATCCCAGTGGCATCACGTTTGAGATTGACAACTTTAGCCTGATATGATAACATACGAACACATGTAGTACATACCCAGGGCCTTGCCAGATCAACTCCCGAGAACCTCTGCACTACCGGATATCTCCGGCTGCCCTGTTCCAAGCCGAGACGCCACAAGTAATAGAGATTGATGGATAATTCTTTACCAGGCGGCAACGGGCTGCATGACATCGAGCGGTCCGCTGGTGGCGACTGCTAGGTAGTTTGCCAGAGTCATTTGCTTGTCGGAGCCCAAAGTTTGTCCCCAGCTTTTGAATCCATCTAGACCTTCGCGTGCCGAGATTTGGGTTAAGCTTTGCTAGGGCGGCGGCCACTAGCAGAGTTTTGCAGCACATACGCCTAAAAGGCGCCAGCTGAAGAAGCCGGCGTCCACAGACACCAATCAACGACGGACTCCATCTGTGAACAGAGAATTTTTAGTAGGTGACTTGGACCAATTACTGCCATCTGCCACGCCTGTAATTCCGGACAAGGCCCGAAGCACGCATTTACCGCCTCCAGCTGGCACTTATACGGGCATCAATACGTATGGACAGCCTGTAAGGGCTCCAGCAGCACCCCAGATTGGCCCCCACGCACCCTCGGTGACCGCAGAAACGGCCCTGAAATCTATGCAATACTCCAGCTGCGTCTTCAGCCCTGGCTTCGAAGCTCGTCTGGGCCCCTTTCGACTCAACAAATCTTCCGATGTTCCACCGCCCTCACCCTCATCACTCACACGGCCCGGCACGGCTATGCCCATTGGTTCTGGTACGAGGTATCAGTACCGGCACTTGTCCGTGCTACGCACCCGCTGTGGCGGTACTAGTACCACTAGCGACGGCTAGCAGCCTCTGAAACCTCCATGGAGACGTACGTACGTATGGAGTACGCGTACTCAACCTCGACAGCCACAAGTTGATCTCAGGTCCACGAACTCCTGGCACCAACACTAACACGACGACCAGGACCCTTTAGCAGTATGCCGTATGCCAAGCTTCCTCACGCACACCAGCTCGCGCCCAACCTACACGCGACGCCTTGGACAAAGCGTCTAAGGAACCGCGTAGCGCCATCTGTCTCTCGGTAGCTCTGATCGGCTCATGCCTGGATAGCATCTTAGAACTTAGTATTCCAGCTTGCTCAGCCTTACCGGCACCGGCGCTGCCTTTGCTCCGGCCCCTCTGGTCCGGGGGTTCGCCTTTCAGCTTGTTACAACCCTGAGCTCGAGGCGGCGCCTTCTCCTAATCCCCAATTCTATCCGCGAGGCTGTCCTCCAATCTCATCCTCGAAGGGCCTTGATGTGGTCTTAAACCCTGCCAACCAGATTACCGGGTGGACTCGGGGCCTCCGCCGCTCCGTAGCCAGCACGCAATGGCCGGACCATCTCTATCACACATCCTCGATCCCATGGGTCCGGGCAGCGATCCTCGGCCGCTACCTGCGCCTGGCTCTGTCCCAGCGCCTTTGTCTATGCCCGTTTCTGCGCCTCCTCCGCCCTACCCGCTGGCACAGCAGCCTGTCGTTGGCTCCGATGCTGCCGCTACAAGTACGGTAGGCTCCGCGCCGTTGAATCCTGCTGGTACGGCCCATGATCACATCGCCATGCCAGCAGTGCCGCCGTCAACGACAGCTCCCGGTGTTACCACTGCCGCCGCCGCTGCTGATGGTGTAACTCCTGGTGTCACTGCTGAACCCTCAGGATCAGGGTCGAATCAGAGCCACCAAAACAGCAACCCCTATGCTTGCCGCGACTGTGGCCGCACTTATTCACGGCCAGAGCACCTTGTTAGACATGTCCAGACTCACACTCTGGGGCGGCGCTTTGCGTGCGAAATCTGTAAAAAGACATTCGCCCGGAAAGATTTGCTGAGGCGTCATGTCACTAATCATGAGAACGACTCGCCCTTGAAGCGTGAACGGATGGTTTCATCACCAAACTCCAGTCGCGTTACCCAGGCTTGCCGTCACTGTGCCGTTGCTCGCGTGAAATGCGATGAGGCGAAGCCGTGCAGGCGCTGTGTCCGCCGTAGCCTGCCCTGTTCTTCTTATGAGACCAGCCCAGGCACTGTTAGGCATCTTGTCCATCTTCCAGCGGGCGGGCAGGATGCCACGCAGACTCGTCCAACCGGCGGTGCCTCTGTAGGATCCACAGACTCCAACTCCACACTTCAAAATGCCTCTGCAAACTTCATCCGCGACAATACAACTAGTAAGAGCAGCCCTCTGTCACAGTCTACGTCATCAAGACAAGGCGACAGCCAGCTGACCACTCCGGATACGGGGGTAGGACCAGGTAAGCCTCGTGATTAATCTTCGGAAAATGAATATTGGATCACACATGTATGCTGTTTTCGATTGGGGGCGCCAAGACTGACAATGAACCCCCTTTCTAGGCAGTATTACTAACAACCCAAGTCAACCCCATGATCCTTCAAGAACTGGCTCAGGTCCTATGGAGTTCAATAACATCCCTTTCTTTGACTTCCTGCGCGATGTCCTCTACCCTCAGCCAGTGGATCTGTCACGGCCATCCGAGTCTCAAGGTCCAGCCGTGTTGGACTTCTGTGACGATATGGATATGGATCTGACAGAGATGGACTTTGGCCTCCTGGACCATTGGAACCTGGATCTGGACGATGGCTCACTGATAACACCCACAATGGCTGGCCATAACCCGCAAAACTCATTGGAAATGTCTCAAATGAGGCAGAATCTTGCCAACGTCTGGGGGGAACTGCCGTGGAAGTGGGACCCCACCACCAAGGACAACGCCTACACTGAGCAGGGTAATCTTCCCATATCAGCCACAGATGTTTCCAATGCGCAATTCCAAGAGGTCAAGAGACAACTGGAGCGAGTGGTTGATCAAAGACTGAATCTTCCCAGCCGCGATCAGATTCTAGCCATTGTCTTGAAGACTTGTCGAGATGCTTCCACGGCTGGCCGGGTGGCCGCCTCTTTTCCAACAGTCGATGTGATGGACACAATGGTTCAAGCCTTTTTGGCGGCTCACCTGCGTCAGGTATCGACATGGATACACTATCCTACTCTTAAACTGAATGCGGTATGGCCTGAATGGATTGGAAACGCTGTGGCTGCTGGCGCTGTCTTGATGCCAGCTCCGACGTTGCGAAAGTTTGGATTTGCCGTTCAAGAGGCAGTTCGTAAGTGGAATTCCTTTGGCTCTCTTTGCTTCCTCTGTCACTTTCTTCATCGATAAAGTTGTGTGTGTTGAAGAGACATCATGAGCTTACACCAGAAACTACTAGGAATTACAATACCTGCACGGGTAAGATACATTTACACCCAGCCGACGATCAGATGTTCACCGAAAATCCGCCCCATCATCTAACTCATGTGACAGTTCGAAGACAATAACACAGCCATACAAAACCTTAGTCTTGTCCAATCCCTCATTCTAGGGCAAGATATCGGCTTATGGAGTGGCAACCGCAGGAAGATGGAGATCGCCGAGTGCCATCTAGTAATTCCGGTAACGGTATGGGAAATTACACATTGCCAACTTTGTCTTCCGTGCAATTAATCAGTGCTGCTAGATGATGCGATATCGTCGGCTGTTCCAGCGATGTATGTACCCCGTTATCACCGTCGAGCCCTCCGATGAGGGCGAAATACTAGAACAAAAGTGGATGAAATGGGCGGCTGCGGAACAATGGAAGAGGTCAGTTTAGGATAGGTCTGCTCCTCATCAATCTGGTGCTAACATGAAAGGGGGAAAGGCTCGTATTCCACTGTTACATCCGGGAAGCCCAAATATCCATGACAGCGTTGACGAATCCATGCATGTCGTATGCCGAGTTGACACTACCTCTACCGGAACAGAAAGACCTGTGGTCTGCGAAGACAGCTCCTGAGTGGAAGGCTATCTATTTAACGAGATCTGTTGGACCAAATTCAAGGGCGCCATCAATCGCCGACATGTACAGAGACCCACGTCAGTTTGCTGACAACAGCACGCGCATCGACATGCAGCTGTCAGTCTCTATTTTCCTTCACGGCTTTTGGTCAATGGTTCTGGAATACTCTCAAATGAGCGTGGTGCACCAATTTCGTAACTACTCCAAAGAAGTGTCAAACCCGATGCTTAGCTCAAGACGTCAGGAGCTCATGAGAGATCTGCAGTCGTTTCAATTTGTTGCGTCAAAACTGCAGGATGTTTCTCCTCAGGAGCATGTTGTCTTGTATCTTCTTATGATGCATCTGCATGTATCCTTAGACGACCTGCAGATCTTTTCGGGCAAGCAAGGGGAGGAAGAGGCCCGTCGTATGTACCCCATTCTACAACAATGGACAGCTAGCTCCGACTCCTGGTATGCAGTCTATTGCGCTGGTCAGATCTTTCGATATGCCAAGCTGTTTCCTCCAGGGTCCTTGAAGGATTTCTACGCCATAGCAGTCCACCATGCTGCGCTTGCTTTGTGGACATACGGCGTTGTGTTCCGAGCCAGCCAGCAGCAAGAAATGCCATCGCAGTATGGGTTTGAACCTATGTATCTGGACGACGGCAGCGACGCCACAACAATTCAACAGTTTTTAAGTTTCGGACAGGGGCGGCCTTTTATTCAAGGGCCTGCAGGATCGAGCTCTGGCGCTGCGCCAGGCGATGCATCGGTTTACGACCCTCGTGCGTGCATGGACATTGCCCAGGAGATTTTACAGGCCAACTTTCGACGGCCTCAGGATGCCTTGCCGCCTCTTGTAGAGAATCTCTGCCAGCTAATTAAACAGCTTGGAAACGCAGCTTGGGCGGTTGGATTGGGGTAATTGAGTTGGTTGTATTTTTCTTGGAAAGTGTTTTCCCTTGGCTCGTCATTGGGGGGATATCTTGCATCGTTTTATGATACCCGAGCGCGGGGGGATACTGGCGTACAACGGAGGTCATGCAGTGTAATGTAGATTGATTGCATATTAGATGGATGGATACATGTATTATACGTCGAGCTCATATATATTTTCTCTCTTTTTTGCATCACACAGATGGCTGGCGAGTGTTGGATTGATTTGTCGTCAGCCAATTAGCCAGGCAGAGCCACGTGCAGGCCTAAGTCGAGCCTTGGATCCATTCGTCAGAATCACTGACGCTCCGTGAATGTCATTGCTCGTTAGCTGTAGTGCTAAATATTTGCATGTGCTTATAGGCCAAGCAGCACAGCTTCAGCTGCCCACAGACAACAGCCCCCCACCAAGCCTAAGCTAAGAGAAGACGGCGCCCGTAGCCCGCTATCCTTGAAACGAACACTTTGGCAATCAGACTTCTGACAGGAGCAGCGAGGCTGAGTGAGGATTGGTCATCGCGGTCTCTTGCATGTGCTTTTCCCTCATTCATGAGCCATCGTCTATAATCCTGCTGTGTCTTGTGCTCTTGGTCTTCATTTTTCTTTTCTCGACATTTTGGTGAGAACCTGATGATTGACCGCTTTCCTCTTCCCTCTCCCCCACTGCTCAGCGATTTAGATACTCGTATAATATCGTCGTCTTGCCTCTCACCTCATCTCTCTTATCTACAAACACATCACTTGGAAATCAGCACGCGACGGTTTCCTCCCCAGTAATATTCATCTGACCGCGGCTATCAACAGCAATAGCACCATAGCATACGCCGACACAGCAGAACACAGAGAGTTTCTAAACATCTACGGCCAGCGGGGCATTTGTGGTCACCCGTACATGTGATCGCGACATTTAGGCACGGCCATGGACTCCACATCCAGCTTCCTCCGCTGGTCGCCGCTGTCCCAGACCGCCGTCGCAGTCACTACGACGGCCGTTGCCACAACGTTGCTCATATTTGCCAGATCAGCGCTGTGGCCGCGATGGGGCAAGGCGCTCCCGAACCCGCTCAAGACGGCGATTCCGGGACGGCCGAAGGACGAGATTGACGGGCTGGTATATCGGCCAGATGCCTTTCCGGGGGCGAGGGATGTTGATACACCGGTAAGTGGCTCTCTATGTACTATTTGGGGAGAGTATTGGGCAGGTGAGATCCAGTGGGATGAAGTGGGATGAGATTATATGAGATGGGACCAGATGAGGCGAGATGAGGCGAGGCAAGGGAAGAATAGCGGAGAACCTATCAAGCGTGTAAAGGCAAGAGTTGAAGCTAAACTTGACGATTTTCTTTCAGTATGGATCCATCCGCGTCTACGAATTCGGTCCCGAGGATGGCGAAAAGGTCTTGCTTGTCCATGGTATCAGCACTCCGTGTATAACTCTCTCCCGCATCGCTCACGGACTTGTCGATCGTGGATGTCGTGTGATGCTTTTTGTAAGCCAAACCCGACCCCGCGCCTCCAAACGGGAAGTGCCACGTACTGGACTAATGACTGCAACAGGATCTCTTCGGTCGAGGCTTTTCAGACGGTGTTGGTGACCTCCCTCACGATGAGCGCCTCTACACTACTCAGATTCTTCTCGTGCTGGCCTCCAGTCCCCTTGCCTGGACTGGTAACGATGCTTTCCGTCTTATTGGATATTCTCTGGGTGGAGGCATCGCAGTACACTTTGCCACTTCGTTCCCTCACCTCGTTTCATCGCTTGTTCTGCTCGCTCCCGCCGGTCTCATTAACCCTGAGGATTTTGGTGCCATGTCTCTCTTCATCTTTCGGTCAGGCTTTGTACCAGAGGGACTTCTCGCCTACTTGACACGGTATCGTCTGCAGCAACCTATTGCCTCAGCCAGGAAGCCCAAGGAAGCCTCCCCAACTGCATCGATGGCTGAAGTCGCTATGGCAGAGGTATCCGGCACTACCGAACAGACAGATGGCACCATTCCCCTGGAACAACACGTATTGATGTATGTCAGATGGATGGTTCTCAACCACGCCGGCTTCATCCCCTCGTTTATGTCATCCATTAGACATGCGCCCTTGACGCACCAGCACGATAGCTGGAGGCTTCTTGCCCGCCGGAAGCCTGGTACAACTACGGTTCTCTTGGCTCAAAACGACGAGCTCATTGATGTGAACGATTACGAGCGTGAAGCCCTTCCACTCATCGGAGGAAGGGACAATGTGGTTTGGAAAGTTCTTCCGGGCACTCATGATTTTGTCATGACACATTCTAATAACATTCTTAAGGAGTTGGATGAGGTGTGGAAGTAAAGTGTTGGCAACATTCAGTGATTTAACAGTTTTGAGATTTTTAAACAAGACATCACCAGCGAGAAATTTTAGCGAGAAGGCAGGAAAGAAATGGCGCCTTTGCTCCCTCAGGGGGGAAGGGTGCATTGATTTGAAGAAGAGATTTGTATCAATGTCTGAGTAAGAGTTGCGTTGTTAGACTTTTCGCAAAATAAATGCTCCAATAAAATGAAAGAAAACCCAGAACCCAGTCGTCTGTTTAACCTCAAATGCCGATTATGTATAGTATATAATGTATGCTCTCCCAATAACCGCTGTATTCTTACAAAAATTACCTGTCTAAGGCCTGGCTTTGACACTGTTTCATCACATCCGTTAGCAATCGGCCATAAATGAGTAGAGACAGAAGTTGAGGAAAAGAGGAGACGACTCACCATTTGCCAATAAACGCCCTTCTTCTTCAACAGTTCGAGATGGCTTCCCTGCTCAAGCAGCTTACCCTCTCCCAAAACGAAAATGACATCCGCATTCTGCACCGTAGCCAGTCTATGAGCAACCACAACCATTGTGCGGCCCTTTCCGGCTCGCTCAAAGGCAGCCTGCACGAGCTTTTCGCTCTCGGAATCGAGCGAGCTGGTGGCCTCGTCAAGGAGCAAGATCTCCGGGTTTCGAATGAGCGCGCGGGCAATCGCGACGCGCTGCTTCTGGCCTCCGGAGAGGGAGACGCCGCGGGAACCGATGTTTGTGTTGTAGCCTTCTGGGAGAGAGACGATGAAGTCGTGGATGGAGGCGTCGCGGCAGGCTTGGTGGATTTGTTCGTCAGTGACGGTGGTTTCGTCGACGCCGAGGATGATGTTGTCTCTGAGGGTGCCTGTGTTGGGGACAAAGTTTGTCAGCTTGGGGGACTTTTTTTTTTTTTTTTTTTTTTTCATGGAATGATTTGAAGTGGTTGGAAGAAACTGACCTTGGAAGAGGGTTGGCTCTTGGGCTACAAGAGAGAGATGTTTGCGGTAGTCGAAGATGTTGACCTCGGCGATGTCCTGGCCATTGCACAAGATGCGGCCCTTGTCAAGATCATAGAATCTGTTGCACACAAAACTATTAGTTCCTATAAACAGATATTGTTGCTCAGGGGCTTCTGCTTGACTGACCGTTCTAGGAGGGAAATGATGCTCGTCTTGCCACATCCAGATGCTCCCACAAGAGCTGCAAACTGGCCCTTTTCAATCGTCAAGTTCAGTCCACGAAAGACAGGAATGTCTCGAGTCGGGTACTTGAAATGCAAATCCTGCAACTCAATCTTCATCCCTCCCTGAGACTCTGGGAGACTCTTTGCTCCAGAGCTCTTGCCTTGGATCATAGTGTCCCTCGTGTTTAGGATCCGGTTCGATGCGGCCGTGACCTGCGCCGCGTTTGGTCCAAAACCGAAACTCTGGCCAGCCGACTCAGAAGCGTTCATAATGGCCATGAAGCACACAAGATAATTCTCAATCTTGTACTCGCCGCTGACCAAAAGGCGGCTTCCATAGTAGAAAATGAGAGACTGGCAAGCCAATGTGCAGCTGTCGGCAAATCCAAAGAGGAGACTAACCCAACGAGCCTTCTTGAACGCCGTCTTAACATGACCATTGCACAATGTTTCGAAACGCTGCGATATAGGGGCCTCGAGTGTCAAAGACGTGACTGTTCTAAAGGCACCAATCGATTCGGAGGCGAACTTTGAGCTTTCTGCAAAGACCTCGTTGTTCATCTTTTCAAACTGGATTTCGTACTTGAAACGCCAGTACGACGAGGCGAGAAGGATGGGCATGACGACGGCAGCACCGACTAGGGCTAACTTCCATCCAAAGGAAAAAGCAATGGCAATGGATCCGGTGAGGTTGAAAATGGCGATGTAGACGCTGGCCATGTTGGCGCCCATGAGTTCCTCAAGTCGCTGGGGATCTCCTGCAGCACGGGCTGTCATGGTACCATGAGAATGATCCTCGTCGTCGAAGAAAGACGTCTTTTGGTAAAGAATGGCTTCAAAATACTGTTGCTGATACTTGGCTCGAATAATCGATGCCATCCGGGTAGAAGAGAAGAGCGTCCCAAAGTAGGCGCAGCCAACGCCGATCGCCAACACCAACCACATCAGGGACCAGAACCGGCTCTCATGTAGCAGCTCCTGTCCGGTAAACTGAAACACTACAATGAGTTTGGCAAACAGCCAGGCTTGAAGTGGAACCGCTGCTCCAGCGCAGGCGGCAAAGCCCACCGTCAGGAACATCAAATACCAATGGCTTTTGGTCTCGTAGAAAAGGCGACCGAAACTGTTAAAGATGTTTCGTTGCCTTTCGGTGCTGTCGCTTGTCTGGGCTTCGGCTTCGGTAACAGCATGGCTTTTTTCGCGGACTATATCCTCATAAACATCTTCCTTTTCATCGCTCTCGTCAGATTGGGGCGATCCTCCCAACGACAGTGCTTGAGCCTGGACGAGGCCAGAATAGACACCACCATCCAGGGCAATAAGGCTTTCGTGGGTGCCCTGCTCTACAACTTTTCCCTTCTTGATCACGATGATTCGGTCGGCTTTCTTAATTGTGGATAGGCGGTGGGCTATCGTGATTGTTGTCCGGTTCTGAGCCACGCGGTCAAGGGCAGCTTGGACTATACGCTCTCCTCGAACATCGATGGCGCTGGTCGCTTCATCAAGGATAAGGATCTTTGGCTTTCGGACGATAGATCTCGCAATGGCAATACGTTGACGCTGACCACCGGAGAGTTTGGCACCACTATCACCAACAATAGTGTCGTAACCCTAGAATCAGATTTAAAAGTCAGCCTTTGTAAGTCCAAAATGGAAGGTTCTAAGCTGACCAGTGGAAGCTTGTCAATAAACTCATCAGCAAATGCTTCGACACATGCATCCTTGACCAATTCTCGTTTCTTCTCTTCAGATTCGCTCTCCCATTGTGTGCCAATCAAACCATTCGCCACGTTTTTGAAGATTGTGTCGTTGAAGAGGAAGGGCTCCTGCTGGACTAATCCAATCTGTGATCTCCACCATTTCAAATTGATGTCGTCTAGAGCATGACCACATGTCGTGAGTGTACCGCTGAGTTTCACCGGCGGGCCCGTTTCTTCTGGCTCTTGCGCTCTGATCTCCTCTGCTTCCTCCTCGACCGACTTCTTGTTCTTCTTTTTCTCCTTTTTCTGTTCCACGGCTTCCTCGATGACGTATTGCTGCTTAAGCGTATACCATCTTTCGATCAGTCCTACAACCGTACTCTTTCCCGAACCTGAGGGGCCAACAATGGCATTGATTTTACCCGACTCGATGCGGAGATCCAACTCGTCTAGAATTTTGACATGGGGACGGCTCGGATAGGCGAATGTGACTTTATCGAACACAATATCTTCTGTGGCAGAGACATCGGGTTCCGTGAGATGACCTTTATTCGGCTGGGGGGCATCTATCACAGTGAAGAACTGGGCAGCGGCAACCGTAGCTTTACTGACAGCTAGAAGAGGGGTGGTGGTTCGTTCCAGGGAGAAGACGACCATCATGACGGACATCAAAACGCTTTTTGAATCAGCATTCGGCAATCCTGCGTATAATAGAAGTAAATAAACTTACATGACAATCGTTCCAACGTTATCAATTCGACCTTCGGCCACGGACTTGGTTCCATACCAGAATGCGAGCGCAAAGGCGGAAAACACGCTGAAGAACTGCAATATGTTAACAAAGCTCTTTGTGTGCATTTTGGAGGGAGGTGGAGAATATTTACAATGAGCCCAAACTGCAGGGAAATGAATGGAGCTGTACGCTGAGCGTGCTTCTTGGCTTCCTCAACAGATATTCCATATTTCTTTACCATGCGGCTCTCGGCGCCACACGCGGCAATCATGCGGATGCTGGCAAATGTTTCGCTTGCGACGGCAGAGGATTTTGCCTCAGCCTAGTTAAGCGGGTTAGTTTATGCCCGGTAGCGCGTTATTGTATCAATGAATTGAAGTACCACTTACGAGAGTTACTTTTCCGTGGCCCTTGACAATGATCGGCAGCAGCACTGATACAGTGAGGGCAATGAAGAGAATCGCCGAGGATGTAACGAGCGTGAGGGCCCAATTCCGAGTAAATGCAATGATGATGGCAGCAACAATTGTGGCATTGTACTCAAAAAAGACACCGAGCTTCTCCGAAATGCCAAGCTGCAGCACATTGCTGGTAGATGTAATTGTTGTAGTAGCATAGCCGGGAGGCATTGAATCCAAGACATGTATGCTTTGACCCAACAGTGCTGTCAAGTAATGCAGTCGGATAGCTGAGGATATTCGGATTCCAATCATTCGAAAAGCAAACTATTTAGATGCAATACGCTTTAGTAATCTTGTGGTTCGAGGGGAATAAGTATAGTAGTCGCAAACCAACGACGGTAGGTCGCACCTTGTTGATATAGTTGAGTCCTAGTCGACCAAGAAATAGAGCAAACATGTATAGGCTAGCAATGATTCTGTTTAGCGGGTTAATAAATAAGCATAGAAAGCAGTTACTGACGATAGTTTATCCGCCCTTTTGCGGAAACCATCCTGACCTAGGTTGGCAGCGTTGGTAAAATCGCTTATGCTTCCAACGAAATTACCTATAGCAATACTGTGAGTCTCTTTTTCATGGCGATTTGCATGGAATTATACACAGAATATTAACGCGACGCCTCAAGGAAAACATACCAAAGACTACGTTCATCAATGGCAACGTGATGCCGGCGCCAATGGAGGCAAAGACGCCGGCGGCGTAGGCGACAAAGTCCCATTTTGTTGCGTATTGGAAGACTCGCTATGAGAAGTGAAACCCCAGTATTGATTAGCAGCTCAGAAGTTACAGCCGTTTTGCGTATGATTGGAACATACCACATAGTCCTTAAAGGAGGCTATTCGCTTGGGGCGACCCTTTGCATGCTTCTGCGCTGACTCGGCGGTGGCGGCATCGTCAACAGAGACGTGCTTCTCGGCCTCTACAGTTATAGGGCTGTCTGTCTTCTCAATGTCGACCTTTTCCATCACGAAGCGGCGAGGATTTTGGAGCCGGAACGGATGAAAGAGACACGGCAGACGGAGGGCATTACATCAATGGGATTTTGAAAATGGGAGGCGATGATGCGAAGCAAAAGTACCAGGGTATGGTATGTACATGGACCGCCTGGGTTAGCTGACCATTCGCAAGCCGATGAATACGACTTGGCGGGACTTGGCCGCGCTTCGGGCCCTTCTGGGTCCCGGAAGATTAATTAGAGGTGGCTTTTAACGGATTCAATCAAGAACGATGAATGCGGGCGAATCGCAGTGGATACTGCGTTTGCCCCAGGTGTCTTCTCCAGAGCTAAAACGAGGCAGCCCATGTGGTGTGTATTTTAAGTTCGTCTCGTTACGTGTACACGGTGTCATCCCTGTATGGATGCCTAGCAGAAGGCGATCGGTTGATTTGGATCTGATTCGACACATGTCTATGATGCTCGGTTTTATCCGCTGGCGGTGTGTGATGCGTACCTGTATCGCCACTACCTGCCTATCTGTGCTATCCGTCGAATAAGCACTGTATCTACTAGCTGCAAACTTCATCTCGACGGAATATCACCAATATCAGACCACCACTGCAGTAGGGTTTACAGGATATGAGGTACCTTTGCTTCAAATTCAGCAGGCAGTGCAGCTCTGCAACGCTATGCTTAGTTGCAGTTAGATCCCAGGCTTGTTAACATGAAATGCTGTCCTTAATTTCCCATTATTGCCAGACTAGCTCATTCTCAACTCCATTCGGTTACCCACGCCTAGGGGAGAACCATTGACGATGAATGACTGTTCGTATCTATCAATCCGAATACATGTCTTTTTATGAAACCCTTCTATTCGCAGTCTTATTTACCATGATAATAGACGGCCCGTAGTACGCGTAACGCTGAGGCGCATAGGAATGGTTATGGCAGCACACACATACCTGAATCTCGCTAGTATTAGTCGCGCCCCAAGGCAGCAATTCTTCCTGCAGGCATCACCCCCAAAGTGTCTTTGCGCTGCTGACGTGGAATCACGCCGAGTGGTACTGCTGCACTGTTTGATGCGCTTGATGTCTCATAGGGCTAAAAAGTCGGTAAACTTGAGATTATGTATGCCATTTAGAGCACTTCGATGGCTGAATCTCTGGCTATGCTAATAGATGTCCAATTGAAAGCCTTCAGTGGCGCTGTATTGTTCGGGTCTGCAGAGGCTTGGTTACAGCGCCCGAGACTTATACTTGCCATTTAAAGTAGGCGGTAATGGAATGGGAAAACGTGCACTAGATTGGCCACGTTGTGTTGGGAACGTGATAGAAGACACTGGCATGCACACCATCCTATCGGAGATGACATCTTTGACTCTGTCGGGTTGCTCCTAGACCCCGAAAAGCCGTTCATCAGGCGCCACATGGCGGCTCGCTTCGCTGAGGGTAACGATACTCGATCCTCTGTAACAGCAGGCTTTAGGAGTCAAGACACGCAGTCTTGTATCTAATATATTCTACAACAAAAAGACAGTTGTGCTGTGAGTCACGTAGCATAATATTGGTCCCTTTTCATGCTCCTGAGATAGGTTAGTTTCGAGATACTTGTACTGTCCCGACCAAGTTTAACAGGGCGTTTGAGGCTGCTCCCAGAGTCGTCGGACCCGGAGATTTCCCAAATGCATAAGGTACTGGCCAATGTTTAAAGATGAAAAACAGAAGTGGGATCACGAAGCATTAAGCATATATTCCTTGTGTTTCTGATTGCCTATCTTTCTACCCAGAATAGGTGGACATTTCTGAACTGCTCTCGAACGGGCTTAGTTCCGCTGCGCTGCTAGCATGACTTACATACAGGTACGTACCTATCAAGCCTGTATTCTGGAGAAGCCGGCCTGTCTGCCACTTATGGGCTATCTCTACTTTGGATATTCGCCCACTCGTACTTGATATGTACGGCATAATTGTTTTTATGATGTACAGCTAATAAAAACCTCGCGTAGAATAATGCGAAGCTCAATAAAGTAGCAACTGCATTGTGCTTTATGTTGTTAGATCACGCATTTCTACAACTCTGTGTTTATTGCATGCCTTATCGATAACAAAATTCCGCACTTTCTGCCCCGCCTGTCGAGCCACCATCTAAACAGCGCTGATGACTCCTGCCACAACTCCAGGCCTAATTTTTCCCCTCTACCCCTCGGATGAAGATTGCTTTGGCTGCATTTAGGTCTCTTCGACCATATCGGCCATTGTCGCAATTGCAAAGACCAAGACTTGCGACTCCTCTCTCTCTCACTGTCTCCCTCTATCACTCACAAGCACCAGCCGTCGAGATGGCTCCCAAGACAAAGTTCGAACTGAAAACGGCCAAGGGCACCAAAGATTGTAAGTTGTGACTCTTCCTCGCGGTAGAAGAAAACTCCAAGCTTACTCACCCCACGGGAATGGCAAGGACATGGTCATTCGAGACAAGATCTTCAGCACCATCACTGAAGTCTTCAAGCGCCACGGCGGAGTTACCATCGACACACCCGTTTTCGAGCTCAAAGAGATTCTGTCTGGCAAATATGGCGAGGATAGCAAACTCATCTACGACCTCGCCGACCAAGGTGGCGAGATTTGCTCGCTGAGATACGACCTGACGGTCCCATTCGCCCGCTTCCTTGCGATGAACAAGGACATCCAGAACATTAAGCGCTACCACATCGCCAAGGTCTATCGCCGAGACCAACCTGCCATGACCAAGGGTAGGATGCGAGAGTTTTACCAATGCGACTTCGATATTGCTGGTACCTACGATTCCATGTTGCCCGACGCCGAAGTCATTCGCATCATCACTGAAGTCTTTGAGGGTCTGGGATGGAACGGCGCATACACCATTAAGCTCAACCACCGCAAGATCCTCGACGGTATCTTCCAGGTCTGCGGTGTCCCGGAGGACAAGATCAGAACAATCTCTTCTGCAGTTGACAAGCTTGACAAGCTGCCGTGGGCGGATGTCCGAAAAGAGATGACCGAGGAGAAAGGTCTGGCAGAAGATGTTGCTGACCGCATTGGAGAGTGGGTTGTCCTGAGAGGCCGCCACGAGCTGCTCGAGAAGCTGCGCAATGATGAGAAGCTTTCGGCAAACGAGTCCATGAAGCAAGGTGTTGCGGATGTTACTCTTCTCTTTGAATATCTTGAGGCCTTTGGCGCCCTCGACAAGGTTTCATTTGACCTTGGCTTGGCTCGCGGCCTGGACTACTATACCGGCCTTATCTACGAGGTAGTCACCGAGGGCTCTGCCCCTGAAGCTACCCCCGGCTCAGAGGATGCCGCAAAGCCAAGCAAGAAGAAATCCAGGGGCAAAGGAGACGATGACGACCGGTCTGACGACCCCACTATCGGCGTTGGAAGCGTCGCTGCTGGTGGTCGATACGATAATCTGGTTGGCATGTTCTCTGGAAAGACTCAGATTCCGTGTGTTGGCATCTCATTTGGCGTCGACCGCATCTTCTCTATCACCAAGGCCCGGATGGCAGCTGACAAGTCAGCCGACCAGGTGCGCGGTAACGAAGTCGATGTCTATGTCATGGCTTTAGGTGGAAAGGGACTAGTCAAGGAGCGCTTGGAAATCTGCGCAAAGCTGTGGCAGGCTGGCATCAAGGTAAGAAACTTCATTCCGACTGATAACTCTCAGAAAAGACGAGGCTAATGAGGCATCTACAGGCGGAATTCCTATACAAGGCGAAGCCCAAGATGCAGGCTCAGTTCAAGGCTGCGGAAGCCAACGGCGTGCCCTTTGCCATCTTCATCGGTGAAGACGAGTTGGCTCAAGGCAAGGTCAAGATCAAGGAGATGGGTCTCAAGGACGGACACCCTGAGAAGGATGGAGTACTGATAGACACAACGCGCATGGCGGATGACCTGAAATACCGGATACAGCGCAAGCGGGAACTGGAGAGCATCACGATACAAGCCGAAGGCCTCAAGGTTGTGGGCGGCGTCAAGGGTGAGACAGCCAAGCCAGCAGAGGCTCCTAAGGAGGAGGAAGCCCCAAAGACGGAGGAAGCCCCAAAGACGGAGGAAGCTCCAAAGACGGAGGAGGCTCCAAAGACGGAGGAGGCTCCAAAGACAGAAGAAGCCCCAGCAGCGGATGCTACCACCGCAGCTCCCACCGAAGCTCCGGCATCATAGACTATCTGGACAAAAATGAATGAATGGAATGACGTGCAATGGCGCAATTTGAGTAACATACCCGGACGGCCTCAGTGAACTAGGAGATGACCGCGGCGCGAACCCAGCTCTGAATGGAGTTGGTACAAGCAAGTCGGCTGCAGGGCCAGGCCTAGCCAAGTTGTCAAGTATTTCAGTGTTATACTCGTCATAACACCTTTCACAGCGCACTGTTAGGTCACGGAGTTGATGTCATATGTGAGATAAAGCTTTAGGCAATAGATAGCAGGTGGTATTACGAATATAAAGCACAGTTATGGAAAACATTCTCATAAACTGAGTGCCTGATTGTTGTTACAAAGAGAAGGGAAGAAGAAAAAAGAACCAGCCATTTGATTTACTTGATCTCTGCGGCTTGCTTAGCGGTTGGGTTCTCAACTGACCGTTAGCTTGACTAGTGATGGAGATAGATGCGGAAGTCCAACACGATAGATTCTCGATCTGCTGTTGGGTGATAGGAAGAGTAGTCTGTTATCTCGCAGAAGATGGTAGCTTCTTGAAGCGGCGGTGCTACCATGGCTCATTCCGTGTGGAGTATCTGGCAGCCAGCATCCGAAATGATGTAGAGAGGCATCGGCTGAGCAGTTTATGCGAGTATCGTGACTGAAGCCATTTACATATCCAGTGCTACTTGGTGCTACCAATTGTGATCTACTGCATATCTAAGGGCCCACGCTTCTCCTAAGATGGGGTACCAGGGCAACGAAGGACGGACATATCTAATTAAACAACCTCTCAAACGGATATAACCCTGATGCTTGTCCCGTGATATACATGGACCGATTCCGCTTGGACGCCACGTTTTTTCTCGATTTTTAATCTCATACGGAGCAAAAATCTTGGGGTTCTCCGCAGATGTGATTCATCAAGATGAATTGCCTAATTTCCAGCAGTCCCAACACTGATGTAGAGAGCTGAGTTTGCTCGTACATGTGATACCCTATCTACCGTTCCCGGTAATTAATATGAACACATCGTTGGCGGAATGATGCGTTACGCAGAGACCGCGAATCGTGAGAGGCGGTACGGCTTGTACATGGTGATACGGAGAACACGGGAAGCATATACAAAGGTACCAAGTACTTCGTTTGGAGCCCCTTGGTCGGGTGTTCGCACCTGAGATTGAGATGGATACGAGGCACGAAGCCGCACTCACCAAACGCGCGAAGTAAGAAGCACGGACTGCAGCCGCCGCACCGCACCAGCATCGTAAGAGAGAACGGCGAGCAAGGGCTGGCCAATGGAGCGGCCGAAACGAAGCTGTGACTGGGCGAACGGCCGACTAACGGGTCGGGCTATCAACTGTCGGAAGCTGTACGAGTACATAGCTGCATGTACTGCACTGTTACTGGTAACAAAAGGCAAAAAAGAAAAGTGTGGCTTTCAGTTCTCTTGTCTTACTTTGCGGCCTTTGTACTGCAGGGATAACTGTGGCCGGTGACTTTTGGACGCGGTTCACAGTTCCGGCTTCCGGTGGTTTTTCTTTTTCTCTTTTCACAATTTTTTTATGTTTTTCTTCTTTTGGGTGAGTAATGCCCCGTACTTTGGTCCGTTCTCGTGAAGTTGGATGGTGATCGAAACGGTGGGCTTTGGCGTACTTGTTGGTTCTTAGGCCTTTGCGTTATGAGGTTGGATCATGAAGCAAGAACGCGTCTTGCGCGAGGTGGAAACTGCCTGGGAGAAAAAAAAAAGAGAAAAAAAAGTTTCACACCGGGACGGTATTTCGTGCATTCCCGTACATTCCAAAAGAGAGAGACACGGTAGTAGCCCTTGCCTGCTTGGTTCAAATGGGGGATTTGTCTCATCAGCGCAGCTCCGTTGGGGATAAGCGTAAACGGTCGAGCCTGCCATGGTTCGACGCATGGATCTCTCATACCTGCGCAAAGTCGGTGCTAGAATCCTCCTCTGGCATACATGTTACGTTTGTCACGGGACATGAATGCCTGAGGAACTGAGCGAGTGCTTTCCGGACGCTACCAGGTAATTACAATCACCACTGCAGTTATTTCCTGCCTGGTACCTTTGACTAATACAACAACTCACGGACAACAATCGATCCCCAGTCATTCATAATTTCACCGCAGCAGCTCATTCCGCGAGAACCACAATTTCTCCCAGGCAAGGGCCCGGGGAAGCGGGATCCAGGGGGGAGGGCCCGTTAGCGCGGCGTCCAGTAGACTGCCAGAACGGCCAACCGGTACGGCTACCGCAGCTGTCCGGGATCAGATTTTGCTGTGCAAGGGGGATAGGGGGATGCGACCAGGGGATGCGACCGGGTGTGAACATTAGCAGTACGACCTACAGTCCGCATGGGGATTTCACCAGGCTCCCGGGTCCCTATTGTCGTGGTGTTGTGAGAGCAATGAGATCGAGGTATCGTTGCTGCCAACGGGCACTCCGCACAACAGTGATGCGAGAAGAGGCATAACACGATTTGTTAGCAGGGGACATTAGACGCTGAACCAATTGGAAGAAAGAGAACCCAGTCAAGAGGCAACAGAGAAAACATGAAGGCAGGAAAAAGAAAGAAAAGAGCCTTTCCCGTGTGGCGGGACTCTGAACCCCTCTGAGACCCCCCCCGGGATGCCGGCTGGTGTCTGTGTTGCATCTGCCAGTCTCAGATGCGCCCGAGCTTTTTTTCCCTCTCTCTTTTTTCTTTTTCTTTACCCTCCTTCACATACTCGACTGTTATCGCCATTTCCACGCTCGTTGTGCAAACCAATCCTTCTTTAAAAGCCCTACCTGCAGTCTCTCCCTCCCTTGGTGGACCGGTTTTTGAAATCGTGTTTCTACCAACTTTCAATCCTTACTGTCTTGCATTCTGCCACTCTTTTCTTCCCTTCCCTGCCTCTCATTAGCATAACAAGTATACTTAATTCTCTCACACTGCGGCTCGAGTCCATCCGAGTAGTTTCCTTTACATGAATACATACTACTCTTCATCATCCACCATTACGCTCTCTATCTCCTCTTCCAAAGCTATTCGTTGTCTTATACATACACGCTCTGGCTATTAATCACCTCTCCTGTCTTGACCACGCTTCTACGACATTGTACTTTCACGTACTACTTCCGATTTCTCGATACACCCTTTCGTCTATCCAATCCGGCAAACCTTCGTTCTAAAAGCCGGAGTCATATTCATCAACAAACACACTCTCCTTCACAATGCCGGGCCTCATCCCCCTTCGTATGAGCACGCTCATTCCAGCTTCAAAAATCACATTCTCTTTCTCAGACGACAAGTCCGACTACACATCATGGGAACCAACACCGTACAGACCAAGAACACATGAGGTGGAGCATAGGCGAGCAGCACGAGAACGAGTAGTTCCCGAGCCTCTCATCGTTCCTAAACCAGCTCCCACAACGCCTGCGCAATGGAAGAAAGCTCTAGCTGAGGTTAAGAGGGAGTTTGCCAATCGAAAATATCGGCAATGCTCGATGCGATGTAATGAGATTCTCGATAATATGAAAGACTCGGTAAGTTACAATGCACATCCCAAGGCGAAGAGCTTTGTTACAGTTTTACTAACACGATCACCTCCCAGAACAAGCCAGAGATGGCATGCCTCATCTACATCCGCTTCTATGCTGCCTCTGCTCTCGAGATGCAAGTGCGCTCCCTACAACACAACTCTCCTTACAGGACAAAGCTCCTCCATCAAGCTCGGCACCATTATCGTGTCGCTGCTGATCTCATCAAAGAGGATGAAGCTGCTAAGCGACGTCCCTCATCACGCTCTCTCTCTCCAATGTCCAGCCTACACACTCCTTTTGGTTCAGACGCTTCAGTCTCCACAGTCTCTACACGAATCTCCTCTCCCTCACTATCCATCAGCTCGCTGGATAGCTGTCTGAAGGGCCGCAACAGCCGGCCCAAGCCAAAGAAGCGCGTCGCCTTCTGCGATGTACCCTCTTATGAGCCATCATGCGAGCCATCATACGAGTCCAGCTACGAACCACTGGTCCGACCGGACTCTCCCACCCTTGGTTTTGATGACGACTGGGGCTTCCGCCAGCCTACTCCTAAACCTCCGGCCCCCTACCCGCAGCCCGTCCAGCTCGAGTCCGGAAGGCCACAGTTCCCACTCCCTTCTCCCACAAACTCCGAGTTTAGCACTATCCCGGACGACGACGATAGCTATTTTGATACCCCTACCACTGCAGACAGCTTTCTCCACGCCCGCTCTGTCCACCACTACTGTACTGTGCTCTCAAGTCTGCAGCGGCAAATCGCCTCTCACCTGGAATGGTTAGAGCGTGACATTGCCGCAGCAGAGAACCCCAAGCCTACTCAAATCCTCAGCGAGGAGATGCGTGCTCTAGAACTGCGCACGCGCATCGAGCGGCTGAGGGCCAACGGCTGGAAGAGACAGCGGTTCGACTTCCGACGGTATGAAGCCCTTCGGGAGAGTGCCATGGCGGATATTGTCTGAGGCAAAATGAGGAAGAGGAAAAAAAGTAAAAGTAAAAGCAAAGCAAAAAGTTAAATATTGGTGTTCTGTTGTCATTTATTGATTGGACTTTGCATTTTGTATTGTTTGATTGCATTTGGTCTTGTTTCACTTGAGCTATCTGGGTTTTGATGTTTATTAGTGCTTTTTGGAGCTGCGGCGAAGGGCATCGATAGATATTGGAAGTGAGCCATGGGTGCTCGCTATGACAGGACTCATGGAGAAACTCTATAGATATCTACATTGGACAGGATAGAATAAAAGGACAAAGAATTACTTAAAGAGATAGGCTCTACCTGAAGTGTAAGAAGAAGAAAAGAATCTCCATTGCCTTAACATGATTTGCAACTATGATGATTGATATTTCTGTGTTGTAAAAGGCATCATTATCCCTGCGAGGAGATACATAGCAGTATCAAGTAACGATAATTGGTTGCTGGTGCGAGAGAAGAAACCAAAAAAAAAAATTGCAGGAAATCATATTTGGATAACCAAAATTGGTAAAAAAAAGACCCAAGGTATATGCAATAAAAAAGTTGCTGAAAGCAATCCTCCTCTTTCGAGACCTTTAATTCTCGGTAAAGCTACGTCTCTTCGCTTCCTTTCCCATTTCCTCCTCCATCTGCAATGTCTCCTGCTTCTGCTTAACATCCTTGAGAGCAAAGAGACCGAGGGCATGCAGTCGCGCGCCATCCTTCTTATCATCGCCAGCCGATGCGTCTCCCATCTCTGAGTTCTCGGGGTCTTCTTCGTGCTCTCGGAGCTTGTTGATTCGGTTTTGGAGCTTGACGATTTCGATGGCACGACGGAGGCGAGAGCGTCTTCGGAAGGCCTCGATTTCTGGCAACAAGTTGTGGTCGGTGGCGGTCTGGCCACTCAGCCAGATATGACCCAAAGCTTGCTGTAGTTTTGTTAGCCTATCTGTTGTGTCTTGTGCGTAGCAATGGGGAACGGCATAATACCTCGCTAGTCCATCTCTTGTTGGGTTCTGGGACAAGGAGACAGTTGATGAAGTCCTTGGCGTCGGAGCTGACATCCTTCCAGTATCTCTCATGGAAGATGACATTTCCTCTGGTGCACTCTTCAAGAAGATCCTGCAGGTTTTCACTTCGGAAAGGAGAGTAGCCACAGAGCAGGGTGTAGGTAATGACACCCATAGACCACATGTCGACTGGTTTTCCGTGCCCTTGCTTGGCCATGACTTCGGGAGCTGCGTAGCCAAAAGAGCCAGCCATGGTCTTGAGTGTCTCGTCCTTGCTGTCCAGAGTCTTGGCAATACCAAAATCCGCCAACACAAGGTCAGAGTCATCGTCAGGAGTCACATAGATGAGGTTCTCGGGCTTAAGATCTGCACACATCATGTCAGCTTCGCCTTGTGTCACGCCTAGGAGCATTTCGCACCTCTGTGAACGACATCATTCTTATGCAGGTAGTCAACAGCGTTGAGAACTTGCTTGATTGTTTGAGATGCGTCTTTCTCAGTGAACTTGCCCCTGTCGCAGATACGATCAAAGAGCTCTCCTCCTGTGGCCAACTGAGTAACAATGTAGAACTTGTCCTATAGGCGCGGCTGTGGTTAGCATGTTTGTAAATACCCCGCGAAGTATATAGAACCAACGCACTCTGGACTCGAACCAATCGACAAACTTGACGATGTGAGGATGCTTTAGTCGCTGCAGCATAGAAAGCTCATCATAGACCATCTGCTCATTGCCTTTGACGTTCTTTTTCAAGATGATCTTGACGGCCACCTTGCCGGTAGGGCCCTCTGCCTCGCGAACGACACCATAAGTGCCAGCACCAAGAGTGCGTCCGAACTTGTACTTTGATCTGCATTATAACATCGAGCCGTTAACGTTGGATTCCATGTCGGTTATTTCAGGTATGTATCGTACTTTTTCTCATAGCTTTCGGGTTGGCCATGGAGGCGGTTTAGCATGCCAGCGACTAGATTCGGAGACGGAGCTCGTTAGCAACCAGTATGTAATGGAGCTTGGCCGAGAGGAGAGAAACATATGGAGTAGGAGTTCAACATGTATCTGCTAGCCTCGCAAACACCATTGTCCCTTTCCACAGGCGGCGGTGTAAGAAACGCGACTTACAACTCATCTTGAGGTCTGGCGGGGTATCTGTGGGATGCGAGAAGCGGTATTCAAGCCGAGTTTGCGATTCGAGCACAGGTCTAACTGACAAGCGCAGATACACCAAGGACGTAATTTAAACAGGCCAAGAGGCAGCCCGGAAGAAGGAGGAGAGAAGCAGCGGCCAGGAGGCGACAACCACAGGACAGCAGAGCAAGAGAGACAGCTGAAGGAGCTACATGCGACGGCTGAGATTAAATACGACCGTCTACAGTAAATACCTGCTAAGTTCCATGCTAGCCCCTCACCAGCCGGGCTGTCAGCCATAGGGGCACTAGGACCTGTATGTACAGGTACTCGTACTAGCATTGCATGGTGGAGATACATATGGAGAGCAGGCTGGTATTAGGCCAGGAGACAAAAAGGGTGGGCGGACGATCCATGGCCTGCTGCTAGCAAGTAAGGCTATTTGCATGTGGATAGGGCCTGCAGGTATCGCGACTCTGGGCCGACCAAGGTGTGGACGGTGCTGTCAAAGGCCAACAGGTACTGGTCAAGTATCCTTACATAATAAGGGCCGTGGGTAGGAAAGGGAGGGGCACCCCTAACGCAAGGCCTCACTCTCTCGCCTTGCTGCTTCTATTTCGAGTTTCCCGTTACTCATCCAGGTTGATAAGGCATTGGATGTGAAGTCCCTTGACAAAATCGACGTTGCTTGCCATCTGTGCGCAAGGTTAGGGACTTATTTAGGTAAGTACGTGATATATGTAAACTCAACCGAGTAAATCAATAAATCGGCCATGCTCTGGCGGTTGCGTATATGCCCTTCTCTGTTCCTCTATCTACTGCCAACTTGAAGGTATCAAGTGTACATTGGGCTCTTTGCATGAGCCCCCACACGCAAAACGACATGTACTCTTACCTATCGTTACTCTTACCACTCAAAAGAACCCTGTTTACACACAGGCACAGGTCGGCAGTTCTAGCCAGTAGCAAGGGATCAGCCATTCTCGTCGCACGGCTGATTTGTGGCTGTGCAAGCCGGGCATCTCGTCTGGTCCGAGTTTTCACCATAAAACGCCCTGCTGTCGGCAAACGTCACTGTGCTTCAGACGAACCAGACAGCAAAGACCACAGTGCTGCGCTGCGCTGGGCCGTGGCTCAGTTCTGGTAGCATCCGGACAAGACCGTTCCCAAGCAACCAACCAGCAAACAATGCCGATGCAAATGCGCTCTCAGTTGGATTTGAGACATTGGCCCAAGCCCTAGGATATGGCGGGTAGGCGGCCTCCGTCGCCTTTCCGATATGCCAAGAAGCAGCTGCCGATTCGTTCAAGGGCTCAAACGCACTACGGCTTATTGCAAGGCTGATTACCGGGCCGTTCGTGCAAGTCTGTCGGGCTAGGATGGCATTTAACAATGCATGTGGTGACAAGCAATGCCATAACGAGCGGCCTCAGAGCGGGTCGCGTGCGTGGACGGATGACGGAGCTCATCGAATCCCTTTCCAGACTTGGACGACATTTGATGAGTTTGTACAAACAGACGCATGTTGCCATTTGATCCATATACATGCTTAATTATTTAATATGCTTGCTCGATTATTATGACCTTGTTGAGTTGAGGACGCCGAGCTGAGATTTAGGTACATACATATATATCCCTGGCACAACAAGTTCGGGCATGTTGCTTCAAACACATTAGGCGTACTTCACGCGAGGTACCTACCTGTAGTGCAAGAAGTACCTGTACTTGACATCAAAGCATTTCTGGTTTAAACCCAATGGTTTTACTAGCATAAGAGAGAAAGTGAAGAACCCATAAACAATCGCGTAGTCAGGCCAGGATTTGAGGAACCGCCTCATGGTCTGTCCCATCATGTGTCGCATAGAACCGCCCGGGTGGAGATGCCTGTGATACCAGCGGCTGTTGGTTGTTGATCCTTGGTCGTTTATACGTACTTGCTTGTAGGATTCTCGTTAGGCTGGCGAGTACTATTTTGACGATTCAAATCTTTTCTCTCGGAGAAATAATAGTGCAGATTCAGGCGATAACGACCTCCAGCAGTCATGGAGAGCGATTCAAATATCAGTGCGCTGGCTCTGAAGTCTACAGCTACCGAGCTAGACCTAACGCTCCAATCGAAAGCCAACATGGAGCCAACAGCAAAGTCTACTTCGCCTGGTCAAAGCTTGCCTGATCAAACGCTCTTTAACCGTGATACAACTGGGCTCAAAGACCCTCTGGCAGACGCAGACCAGGCCCGTGGATCATCCCTTGGCTCGTTCCGTGCCCATCTCTTCGCCAAGTTTGGGCGCAGACATGAGCGCTCAGTCAGCGTTTCTAGGCCCAAAGGACCGATGGGGCTAAACACATTATTTGATCCTGGAGACATTGCTCTGGTAGATATCATCTTCGTTCATGGACTGGGAGGGGATTCCAAGAAGACTTGGTCAGGATCCCGTGACGCTGAGAGTTACTGGCCACAGGATTGGCTTCCCAATGATCCAAGCTTCAAGACGGCACGCATTCATTCGTTTGGCTACGATGCAAATTGGCGAGACCGGAGTCTGAGCATTCTATCCATTCATGATTTCGGCCAGGATTTATTAGGAGAGATGAAGAACCACCCTTCGATAAGGCGAAGCAAGACCAATTTCGTTCTTATAGGACACAGTATGGGTGGAAACATCGCCAAGGCAGCGTATGTTCTAGCTAAGCAGGGTCACACGACTGACGAGATTGCCTCACGGTTTCATTCTATCATCTTCCTAGGCACTCCTCATCGCGGATCCAATCTGGCCAAGGTTGCCAGAAACATTCTTCAGGTCATGGGTGTTTCCAAACCCTATCTCGACGATCTCTCTGCAAATTCGGCGTATCTGACTGAGCTTAATTCGTTGTTTCAACCTTATGCTGCAGATCTACATATATGGTCTTTCTTTGAGACTCGTCCGGTAACTGAGCGTCCTGCAATCGTGCTGGTGGATAAATTCTCCGCTACGCTTGGATATAACCATGAAGAAGTACTTCCTCTGGACGCTGACCATCGCCACATATGTAAATTCGGTGCCATTGAAGATCCAAACTATAGAAAGGTGCGAAATGCCCTAAGTAGAGCCGTGGATATGATCCAGCTCAAAGGTATGTATTTGCATCAATCCCCGTTCCAATGTCGTAACCCATGTGTGTCATTAACTTTGAGAAGACGAGCCTTATTCCGCTACAGCATCAAGAGCTAGACTCGAAAAATATTTGAACACCGACGACTCTTACCAGGACGATTTATTTAATTGTCAGAACGCGAAATTGCCAGGATCATGTGTCTGGTTTACGGAGCATACCGTCTTTGCAGAATGGCTGGGTTTCGATAAGCAACTGGAAGTATCAGCGACTCCTCCAATCCTATGGCTGACAGGGCCTCCAGGGACTGGAAAATCCATCATATTTGGCCATGTGGTTGATTTCACAAGAGCCAAAGATGCGTATTGCGAGTATTACTTCTTTCGCAAGGGGCAGGCAAACAGCAGTGGGCTAGGGCCCTTCTTACTTCATATGGCCTACCAGATGGCATTGCATGATACAGTAGTGCGACGGCGAATATTTATGTTACAAGATAATTCTGTTTCTTGGCAATTGCAAGATGAAAAATCCATATGGCGGAAGCTATTTGTCGATGGTATATTCCAGGTTCAGTTTAAATCGCCTCATTATTGGCTGATTGATGGTCTGGATGAGTGCTCAGCTGCACCGGCCTTTTTCAAACTAGCATCACAGATCCCCGACACTATTCGAATCTTCGTTACCAGCAGAAATACTCCAGAGACCGAACGCGGCATTAGTTCCCTAGGCTCTCGTGTTGTTACTTACCCTCTCTCCATAACTGATACAGGTCAGTATCTTTCATTATACCTAGCATCTCGATTAATACCTAAATAAGACGTAAACATACTGATAGAACTGGAAACAGCTGCGGATATTCAAGCAGTCATCCACACAGGCCTGGAATTATTGTCTCTCCATGATGTTGCCCGGCTTGAGCCAAAACTTGTTGAAAAGGCATCAGGGTCCTTCATGTGGGTTCGCTTAGTCTTACAAGAACTCGAAACTGCCTTTACAGACGAAGACGTCGAAGAGATTTTAACAGAAGTCCCCAATGATTTATATAAAATGTATGAAAGAATCCTTCACACTATCGAAAACGAACGACGAAGGGCTAAAGTCGCAAAGAGCATCTTATTCTTTGTCGTCCTGGCTGTCAGGCCAATGACGCTAGATGAATTGTGCCACGCGATGCAGTATGAGCTCGGTCAGACTTTACACAAGATGGACCAGGTCATTACTCTCGCGTGTAGCCAGTTTGTCACCATCAATCACAGGAACAGAGTTCAGATTGTACACGAAACAGCAAGAGATTTCTTCCTCAGTGAAGGTCTCAACTCCCCGTTAGCCATTCCACGCTGTCAAGGCCATAGCCGCTTTGCCAGTCTATGTATCTCATATCTGGAGGCTCAATTCCAGCATTCGCCTGGGACTTCAGAGCCAGAGGTCAACAGTGCACATCAAAACGCAACAGCATTCTTTCTTAGATATGCATCAACATCATTTTCGCAACATCTACTTGAGGCTGATAAAAAAAGCCCCCAGCTCTTCAAAACAGTCGTTGGCTTTCTCAATACTAAAGCCCTTTTTTGGATAGAGTACCTTGCTTCTGAATCTCTCGTTACAGTTATTTCAAGGACCTCTATAGATCTAGCCCACTACATCAACGAAGAAATGCATGATTTAACTCCAGACAGATTCCGAGCGCTTAAATCCTGGATAATCGACCTATCCCGAGTGGTATTTACCTTTCGTGATCAGCTACTTCTTGACCCTTCTATCATCCACGATCTCATCCCCCAGCTATGTCCTACATCCTCGGTGGTTTCTCAAAGCGCGCTTCTTCCGCCGTCGACTATAGCTATTTCTAGGACACGAGATCCGACTTGGGACGACTGTCTTCTGCGAATACCAACAGACCAAGAGGTCAATTCTGTTGGCTATGGAGAGGCACATTTCGCCATTGGTCTGCACGATGGGGAGATTGCTGTGTACAACTCTGCTTCTATGCAGCTTCATGTTAGCCTCGTACACCCAGATTCCAGAACATCGCAGCTGGAATTTAGCAATCAAGATATATACCTTGTTTCATTAGGACGGTGGACGGTATCGATTTGGGATGTTAAATCTGGCTCTGAGCTTCACCGCATCACGTGTTCTTCACCTCAGAGAATTCATCTTGAAAGTGACGAGCTCCACATTGTTCTAGAGGACGGTGGCGTGATTTCAAGGTGAGAATTTTACTCATACGTGTTTAAACTATCTGAGCTTGGTTTATTGACGATGCCCAAAGGAACTTTTCGACCTCTGAATCAAGATCTCGCAAGTGGTTACCGTCCTCCACAGCCTCCAAATCTTGGCCATGGGAGGATTATCGGCTTCAACATGTTGTCTTCTCCCGTTCTTCTCCTAATATTCTGGCTGCGTCATTTCATACCAAAGACGTCTACTTGTTCGATATTGATGGCTCTGATTTGTTTGGAATATGTTGTGCGCATGAAGACAGCATTATTAGAGCCATGGAATTCAACCCCCAGCACGATATTCTCGCCATTTCATATACTAACGGGTCTTTGACAGCATTTGACACTCGGACAATGTCAAGAATCTTGATGCTGCCTCATGTGTCAGCGCATGTCCTCAATTGGTCCGCGAATGGCAGACATTTGATCGTGGGAACACAAAGCGCTGCAGCCCATAAGCACACTATAGAAATATACGAGCTCGGCCTAGATGTCGATTCGATTAACCTCAGTATTACATATCGCACCAACTATCCTCACAAAGTCATATCCCAGATTTCTACAGCGCAGGATGGATTCCGATTTGCCAGTATACATCTCACTGAATGTCATATCTGGGATCTTTCTCAATCTCTTTACAAATTTGGCAATTATCAGCCCATTAATCACTATAACAATGCCTCATTGCCTTATTCACAGCAATTATCTATGCCGGAGACGCGAGGCGAGATCTCAGCTATGGTTTTATCTCAGGATGGGACGGCTGCTATATGTGGGAATGAGCATGGAGAAATATGGACACTCTCAACCATTGACGGCTCTGTAATCAATGTCATTCATCGAGCTCTAGTCCCAAGAGTGATAAGCAGAATTACAGTCACTGAGCGGGAGAGTGAAGATTTGATAATCAAATGCGACTGGCGTGGCTTTGTGACGATTTTAGAGTCAAGCCGTTCGCCAAGCCGGTGGGCGAAGGCTATCGTGGTAGCCTATTACGACCTTGACCGTCATATGATAGAGCAGTTGCTCGTCAGCCCTACTCAAGATCGCTTGCTCATTATGACAACGATGAACACCACGATGCTGGAACTGCCTTCAGGGAAGTTGATTACGCACAGGGACGTACCAAAGTACAAGACCAAAATACGAGCCGCGCATAATTGCCCGTCAGATTCCTCTCGGTTTATGGTTTTCGAGGATGATTCTGCCTACCTATTCCGCTGGGACGATGTCAAATCAGATAAAGGTCAGCAACTGGCAATTCTACGAGAAGAAAATGCTACCTCTTCGCAGCCAACAGACACTCTTCATTTCCTAGGTGATGGCATCTACGTAGAGAGCCTGGTATATCCTCTAGAGGGACATAGAATAAGTTGCTGGAACTCGTCCCAATTCACCACTTCCGACGATCCTGCCACCATTACACCCTATACTGGGTTACAGCATCTAACGGACGTCCTTAAAGATATCCTCCTCGTCTTCCAGACGACACTCATCTTTGTAGATTACCATTCTTGGGTGTGTACTCTAGATCTAGAGACTTTTGCATCTACTTGCGTTGCGAAGCGCCATTTTTTCCTCTTGCCTGAATGGACAGAGACATATGGGCGTCCCATGGCAGCCATGACGCCTAATCAAGACTTGGTATTTGTCAATTTGCATCGTATTGTTGTGGTTAAGAACTGGTTCACGTCGGCGCAGACGCTTGTTCTTGAACCTGATTCTGGAGACTGGCAAGTAATTTCGAGGAGGATGAGGGATGATTCTGCAGTTTTGGGCAAAGGTTAAATGTAGCCCTTTGACTTGGCGTTCGACACTGAGAAGGTAATTGTTGAAAATGTCTGAATAAAAAGTGAATTAAAACGGCGCTGTATGAAGTGCCCTGTATATAAGTGAATGAGCAGGTATTATCCATACAGCATCTATACAGAATCTCATTCAATATGGTATTGAGAACATTGAAGTCTTGCATGCATGTATATTCATGTATCAAGTCGGTATTACTGGTCGGCCTGCACTCTGCACAAGATGCATGCGTCAACAAGCGCTTACTATACTGCTCTGGTGACCTCGAGTCCTACGGGAACAATTGCATCCTTGGCAAGGCTCCTATTCGGTTGGGCACAGAATAGCCGCGTGTGAGGTCTAATAATTGTTTTGTGTGTAAGGTATGAAGTAATGGTCGATTCAATCTCCGTGTCTCAAAACATTCACTGTAGACGCCGGCGGTTTAATAGTCCCGGCCGCCACACAGAGGCTGCATGCACTAAATTTTTTGGCAGTTGGTTCCAAGGTTCACTGTTCCGCTTCCACAGCTGCTGCGCCTACGCGAGCGCCACACTTGAGCTGCCTCGGACCCCTCCGACGCATTTAAAATAGCCCGTCAGGTTGCCGCTCCGACTTGACCTCTTAGTACATATTACTCCATACCTCTGGAAGCCTTGCTTGCTCGACAACCCAAACAAACACCAACTCGTTATTGCTATTTGCTCGGGCATCTCTTAACATCTCCCCTCTCGGCTGACAGAATGGCTACGAGCATGCGAACGAAAAGAGTTGCCAAGGAGCGTCAGAAGGTACTTTGTCTTCTCCCTCGCCCACTTCCATGCCGGTACCAGGCTCGTATCAAAGATTTAAGCGCTGACCATCGGCAGATTGATAAGTTCGGCCTGCCTCCTGGCATCGAGCTCGTAGACGGCAACGACTTGAAAGAGTGGCTCTTTGATATTCGCGTCTTGGATAACAACCCTCTATATAACGGCAATGTCTACCAGCTGAAATTCGTCTTCTCCGATTCGTATCCTATAGGTAATCCTGTTCTGCCAGCTCCCCGCATCACCTACCATGGAACTGGTCGTCTAACAAGCACTTTAAGAACCCCCCGAGGTCACCTTTGTAGACAGACCAGCTCGGCCAGTCCCCATGCATCCACACATCTACTCGAACGGAATAATATGTCTTGATCTTTTGGGCAACCAAGGATGGAGCCCAGTCCAAAGCGCGGAGAGCGTCTGCATGAGCATACAAAGCATGCTCACGAGCAACAATAAGAACGAGCGACCACCTGGCGACGAAGAGTTTGTGCGCGGGAACAAGCAGCGGCCCCGAGATATAGAATTCTTATACCACGACAACACCGTGTAACGATCATATCTTCATGGACTACAGGGGCTCTTTTTTTCTGTTATTGGTTTACTTTTGGCGGATTCTTGCATCATTCCAGCAGCCGCGAGGGCTCATCGGCGTTTTACAATCACGTAAATGTGACACAGGAACAGGCATATGTTACGGCAATCTGAGGCTTTCTTCTGCTGATTCTCGAGGCTAAGCGATCTTTTCCTTTTCCCTTTATTTTTTGGTTTCATTCAGCAGTTTTACGGAGCAGTGTGTTTTTTATTCTCACGTCGCCTCCTCACACAAAATCGACGACAAAGGCATCGGGCGCATGCACGGCGCAACTGGGGCAACGGCTGGCGAGGAAAGCGCATGTAACCTTGTTTTCCCAACCTAGAAGACGCATTTACGTATACTCGGATGTTCATAGAATTGATTTCCCTTCTTCAAGATTTGTATTGCATCTCTGTTGTCGTCAGGGTCCTTCTTCCTCTTCTTTCGCCTCTGTGATAGACGTCAAGGGAAAAATTCTCATCATGGCATGACTGGCCTCCATCTGCCGACATGTGCCCAAAGGGTACATATGACGTCGTCGCTCAGTCTCCTCTGCATTCATAGACCAGCCTGCTAATTTGTAGCGGCCACAGTCACTAAAGCCGCAAGCT